TAGCTAAATAAATACACTTTTTTTTTTTTTTTTTTTTTTCCTTGTCTGTTCAGGTATAACAGCCAAATGTAGCTTTTTTTTTTTTTCCCGCTAAAGGAAGCACAAAAGCAAAATTTAACCTGACCTGTTCACAGCGATACACTGCTAAGACAACAAAGGCACATTTGCACACTTGGGTTTTATTTGCACTATTTCGAACTGAACAATCAGATCTAAGTCTTCCTTATGGCAATAATTTAATCACCCCTTCGGGAGTACATTTCGGTGAAGTGAGGCTTTCCATTTTTGCGAAAAATAAGGCAAATGCAGTGCCCGCCATGTTGTACACCTACAAGATTGCCTGTTTGAAGCGTAACAGGTGTAATCAACGAACAAATGGGAAAACAGACAAGTGCGCAAAACTGAGGTCATTGGAGCTTCAAATTAATGCTAGTGGGATCACTTAGTCGACTTCCAAATTGTGAAAAGTGTAAACATATGTGGTGGGAACGTCTTAAGGGGTACGTAATTTTGCCGGTCCATTTTTAGGAAAAAAAATGCATCTTCCCTTGTTTCCCTTCAAAGGAAAAGGGCGAAGCATGGGCTTTAAATCCTTCTAGCGACGGCCACCCAATGAGGCTCGTCCGCTTTCCCCTTTTAATCTCGCAAAAAAGATTTGCATTCATGCGAGGGGGACCAACATCACAAAATGGGGAATAACAACAAAATTTATACATATTTCTATTTAAAAATGGTTAAAATGTTTTTACAATGTTTTCTTTTTTTTTTTGTGAAAATGTGACATATGTACGTAGTTCATGTGTGTGCATATGTACGCATGAATGCCGGCATACCCACACCGAAGGTGCAAGTGCCCACAAACACACACATGTAGAGATATATACATATGCACGTACAAGGCTTATTATAACACAAAAAAAAAAAAAAAAAAAAAAACACTAACAAGGATGTTAATTTGCATTTCATTTTTGCATTAATTGGATAAAAAGGGGAAAGGCTGGCATGGCGTACTTTGTTACTTCCCCATGGAAAGTTACGCGCTGAGAGGTTATATCCGTGGAGACTCACATTTGGTCGGATTTGCCTCAGTATTCCCTGTCCTTGTACGGCACGGATCTGGCGTTGTAGTTGGCCTTCTTGTTAATCCCTGGCGCGCCGTTCTGCCCGCTGCTTTTGAAGCTGTCTCGCTTGTGCTGGCTGACTTCGCTGTTATGAATACTGTTATGGTTGCCATAGTTTCCGTATCCGCTGTGGTGTTTGTAAATGCCATGGGTCTGCCCTCCCTGACCCCCGTACCCGCCGCGGTTCTCGTTCTTGTACCTCGCATTGTGGGAAGTGTTGTAGGGCGCGTCATAGTTCGGATTATCCCTGCTGGGCGGGTTTCTATGCGATGCATAGCTGCTGTCGTAGGCGTTGTTATAGTTGCTCTCCTTTTTGCTGTCGTAAGTGTGCACCGGGGTTGCATTTTTGGGGACCTTGTACATGGTGATGTTTTTGTAAATTGATGGCGCGTAACTGTTGCCGTAACTGGGATTTTGATTTTGATAGGCTTGATGATTTTGGTGGCTCCAATAATTTGGGCCGTGATGGTAGGAAGCGTGGTTCTTGGGGGCACTCATGTGCGAGCTGTAATTCGCGCTGGCGTAGTTGCTTCGGTGATCCCGACCAACGTGGCCCCCGTAATTGGCGCTGCCATAGCCGCCTCCTCCGTAGCCACCACTTCCATAGACGCCTCCTCCATGATCGCCTCGCCCGTAACCACCTCCTCCATAGTTACCACTTCCATAGCCGCCCCCGTAATTTACGACATAACTTCTCGGCTGGCTACCCTTCGTGTAGGAGTAAATATGCGGGTGGTTCGCACTTAGGCTGTTCAAGATCATCCTCTTCGCCGCGGGTGCGTTAAACCTCAGTTTCCTCTCCTCGTTGTTGATGTCAACCACGGTGAGCACCTTCCTTGGTCTCCTATGGTTTGGCAAAAGCGATGAGCGGTGTTTTATAAGTTCGGGTTGGACAAAGAAAGCGCTATTACACGTGGTGGAAAAATTGGACGAGAATTTAAAAATTTTCTTTAAAATGTTAACGTCACTGTCTTCGTGTCTGCAATTGAGATAGCCAAACAGGTTCACGTCTTGTTTGTTACTTATCGGGATGGTTAAGTTCATGTTCTTAAAAAACTGGTCGTATGGGGTTGCGCTGCTGTTTGCGATGTTGGTGCCTCCCCCTTTCTGTTGCTGCTCGGCTGCCTGTTCCACGTTGGTTGGTGCCCCGCTAACAGCAGGGGGCTGCACCTCGATGGTACTTGCAGCGGGCGGATTGCCATTCACATTGCCTGTGCTACCCATATCAGCATCGTTCTTCTTATCATCCCCCCCTTTCATTTTCTTCACGTATGCCTTTATCGACTTGGTAATTTGCTTCGAAAGAGTGTGTGAACAGTTCATATAAATTTTGTTCATCCCCCTGCGATTCCTCTTCCTCTCTTCCTCATTCAAGGTGTCATTCAGCTCTCTAGCATGTTTGATAATTCTCTCCTTGTCGACAAAAGGGAGAAGGATAACCCACTGGTATTTGTACTTCTTGCCGTTTTCTTCCTCCTTAAATGTTTTGGGGTAAAAATCAATAATGGGGGAATCATGTCGTACCATTAACTCTCGATACCTCTCAGGTAGGCAGTGACTAGAATTCGATGGCAACACACAGAGGAGCTGCTCAAGGGGAAGAATCGGTTCGTCCTTTTGGAAGGTAAAATTCACATTGTCAATAATTAAGTCTGATGACAGGGGTGCATAATAGTAGGGGTAATACCAATGCCACATGGGACAGGATTGGAAATAATAGGAAAGAACCCAGGCCAACCCCTCAATATATTTGTATACCACTTCTTTGACGAAATCGTCCACATAGTCGCTCTCGTCCAAATGGAACTTGGACTTGTAGTATCTTATTCTGATCAATTCTGGATTTTCATCCCCCCCAAGTTCTACGTCCTCTTTAGGGTTTTCACATTCGTTTGCCTTTTTGATCGCCTCCTTAAGGAGCATGTTAAACTCGTTAATATCGTTGATGCGTCTGGTTTCCTCGTCTTCTATGTCCCATTGAAGGTCTCCTTTGGGGGGAGGACCCCCCGGTTGTGCTGCCTCGTTGTTGGTCTCTTCCTTACATTGTGCGGCCTCCCCGTTAGTCTCTTCCTTACATTGTGCTGCCTCCCCATTGCGCTGTACCTTCTGTAGCGCCTCCCCCGATATAGGAGCTTCCTCCCCGATCACGCTCTGCAAAGTCGACGGTTCGTTGTTTGGCGCCTGTTCCGAAATGGAAGACGACGCCGGGCGCACGAGGAAGTTGATGCTCTTCTCGCCTTTCTTTTCCTTAAATTTGAAATTCCTGATCGGCTGCATGCTCTGTATTTTGGACTCATACAGCATTTTCTTATTAACAGGTGCGGGAGGCGATACCACGGAGGCTAGCGAGGTTGCTGATGCTGTCCCGGTTTGGGTGGCTACCACCATGGAGTCACTGTGACCGTTGCCCCTCTTCATGTTGACGTCCTTAAACTGTAGGCTTCCTGCATTTGAATTGGCAAGTCCCCCTCCAACATTATCATAATCGCGACTCTTTCCGGGAGCATTCCCAAACATCGCAGCGATGTTGCCCGAACCATCATTTTGCTCATCAGTGCACTTAACCCTCTTTAGGGAGTCCTTTTGCTGGTCCCGCTTTTCTCTTTTCTTCTTAAAATCGTATTGCGAAATGAACGTTTCCCTTTCGACCTCCGCGATGAAGGATACATATTTGGAAAAGGGCTTCAAATTAATCTTGCCCTCGTTAATTAGGTAGTCCCCCAGCACGGGCAGCACCTTCTGGTATAGTAAAACTAACTGATCTATGCTCCCCGCGGCAATCGAAATGGAAGGCAAATGCGGAAGGAAGTCATTTCCGCAGAGAAAGCAGATAAAAATAAAATCGTCAATGCATCTTTCCAGGTTGTAATTCCCATCAAAGAGGAAATCCTTCGACAGGTACTCCCTCAGAATGGTCAAGTCCAAGATCTGCAATTCGTTCCAATTCTCACTATTAATCAAACAGTTATGACTTCTGTGTATGTTAGCATAATGTGGGTCATTATATTTGGTATACATTTTTTTCGTTTTTCTCGTGTGGGTGGTACACAGAGGTAAATCCTGCTTGCTCTTCAACATCCCGACAAAGTCCTTATTTTGAACCTTCTCCTCCCCTTTAGAATCTAGAATAATTATTTCTCTTAAAATGTAAAAATATGGTTCATGGCTAGCTAGGGATAACATGATTAAGTCGGCGTCCATCCCGTGGATTACATGTCTCGTGTTAGGATCGTAGCCAGGTTGAGCCCTCTGCGATTTTATGAAATTAAAAATTTTGTGTTCCCCTTCTCCACAAACATTAGCATCAGAAAAAATGACCACAATGTTTTTCCATTTGTCATCATTTGTAATTTTGTGCTCCACGAAATATTTCAAAGCAACGGACAATTCATACATGAACTGAGTCCCTGGGGTTATAATGTTACTGTCCCAGAAGGTGAACTCCTCTGGAACTATTCGATTTTCTAATAAGAATTTTTCCCTCAATTGGATGTATGCATTTCTTTCAATTTCTGAGCAGAGGATGGACTTAAACCTTCGACTCCTCTGCTGGTTCATTTTGGCCTTAGGAGCCACTCCGTCAATGGCCATGTAGAGAAGTTTCTTCGGCTCGATTATATCGAACAGACGTTCTATGTAGAGGAAGATATTTAGAAATATTTCTTCGTTACTTTTCGCTCTCTTGCTATTGTCACTGTGCGAGCACAGGTGGATTATTCCATTCATGTCGAGATACAAATTGTCAAAGTATCCATTTATGTTATCTGAGCAATGGGTTTCATCTGTGTTGTTTACGTAATCGCTCAGGTCTGGTACTCTATAGGTGGCCTTTCCTTCCCCATCCCGGTGTCCGTCTTGAATCTTCGTTCTCCTCGCGTACACATCGCTGTCTCTCGTCTCGTAGGTTGCTTTGGCTATTTTTGGGTACCTAGTAACCAGCCATCGGTAGAAGGTTGGTACTCCCATGCTTCGCGGGCGTTTTCTGGTTTATCCTTCGCCTGCTCGAGTGGAAAGATTTGAGGAGCACGTTCTGAGGAGCACGTTTTTAGGACTATTCCAGGATGGAAACCTTTTGGGTCACTATAACTCTAGGTTAGCTTCCTCTCCGTGAGAACTTCTTCACCCCCCCTTTTTTTTATGGCAGATTTTTTGGAGCTGTTACTGCTCAAAGGAAAAAATATATCCAGTTCTATTTACTTATTAAAACTGTGTAAGACTTTAGGGATGAATCCTTCGCACACTGAATAATTTATTTTGATATAGAGAGTGGTCTATTCTGTCACTACGTGATGATATGAATGACAGAAAACATATGCTCTGCATACCTTTTTTTACTGTTCCATTTTTCACACGGGTCAGTATTCCTCTCGTACATATATCGATAGGTGTATATAAGCGAGTTGACCATCACGCGCATCATATGGATATGCATATGTACATGCACGTGCTGGGGGTAGAACTGGGCTGACCTCCCAAAATGGGGGGTTGAAAAATATTTTCGTGAATTCTCCTGATGGGCATAAAACGTGCTAACGTCTGTGCACATGTGCGAGTGGGGTTTCTTTGCACGAAGGGGAGGGGTGAGGAGGGGAGGTCTTCCACGTCACACGATGGTTCAGCCTAGATGTGCTTAACCGACTCGCGTAATACACTGTGCATCACTCGGGATATTATTCCCCCGTGTAGTATTTTATCTACGTCTGGACGCGTAGGTGCCTACAGAAATGTGGACACTAGCAGGCCGCAATTTTTGTGCGCAGGTGGCATAAGCTGCGTCAAATGACCAAACAGTTACGGTTCGACGGATACGCTTCTAATATGCAGTATATGTGCATTTATTTTATGCTTCCTTGGGCACATCTTTGTGTAGATCTCTATGAGCAGTTTTTGTCTCCTCCGTGGTTATATCATTTGGCCGCTCGATAGGGTTGAAAATCCGGTAATGCATCGCTGCGTCACTTTTTCATTTGCTCTCTAGTTGTACAGTCCGGAGTGGCGTCTCCGATGGGCGCTTCGAAACTGCGTAACCGGGGCTGCAAATGCGAGCGGAAAACTCAAGTCCTTTCTCCTCCTCAGAAGTGGCACGTCGGTTAGCAGAACAAGGCAAAGGGGGGCAGCTGCTGCGGTATGTATTTCAATATACGGACTGGAGGAAATACATGTAACATTGGTGGGGAGGTGTCCTCTCGTTCATCTGCTCTTACATTATTAGCTGCTCGCTGTTCACGAATTCTTTTTTGAAGAATTTTAAAACGGGAATCTAATCTCCAATATGAAACAAACTCGACTTCATTTCGCTTCGTACCATTTCGTATCATTTCGTTTGAATTAGTTTCGCTTCGTTTCTTCGAAAATTTTTTTTCCTTTTTCTTTTTATCTCCCTGAGTGGATTTTAATTTCATCCCAATTCGAAATGCTTGGCTTTGTCGCCTTCAGCAGGGGGTGATTCCTAATAAGAGGTTCGTCGCTTAGCATGCGCGGGTGGAAGCTTTGATGCGCAAAGGGGGAATTTACTACTCCAGTGGGAGGCCTTCAAATATGCGCATAGGCACACGTGTGAAATGAGTGATAAGTAATGTAAGCTTGTTCAGTTGACGTTCACCTGAATGGCTGTTTTGTTTTTCACTTTTAGCGCGTCAAGTATATCTCTTCACTTGATGAGCTGGAAGAATGAATCTCCAGGCGAGGGAACATACATATAAATAAACATATACATGGAAATATATACATACAAATATATACATACAAATATGTAAATACAAATATATACATACAGACATATACATACAAATATATACATATATGAGTATATATATGCATATATTGCTTTTCCCGAAGTGCCTTTTTTTTAAAAAGCGCCAGGCCAAATGAACGAGAGCTTAAAAACGTGCGGCTATTTTTCGTATATGCAACTAGCTTTTTTGAAAAAAAAAAAAAAAATACCAGTACGTAAATAGTACATACATAGCGCGCACATTTTGCGTACATATGGAATGCGTAGCACATCGTGGAACAGTGCGGGGGCGGAAACCATCTTACGTTTCATCCGAGTGAGCCAAGTACAGTCATCTTCTGCGGAAGGGCCAATCTTGCAATTTGTTCCAGGGAGCGTGAATCAAATGCTGCCCTGATGGGCCTCATGACATTTGTGATGTTCTATCCGTTCCCATAAAAGAGCGATAGTACAGGGAAAACGGAAAAATTGCCCAAGGTGGTCCAACAAAAAAAAGTACAGCTGAAAATAACAAAAACTACAATAAGAGGCTAGTACAATGAAAAGTACTATGTATTGCCTCTCCCAAATAGAATTCACCTCGGGGAAAATAATCACCCTTTGCGATTTGTCGTATGATGGTATTATAAGTGCAGGTCCCCCTTTTAAGCATTTGTTCTCCTGAAAGAAAAAAAACGGAGCAGTTTGTTGCTAGCTCTTTTTTTTTTTTTAAATCTACATACATGGAAGGGGGAAAACGGGAGGGTAAATCTGTGTAACATCACACCCCATTTACTTGGTTAAAATTGGCTCTAACAATCTGCCGCATATTTTATGTTACACTTTCTTTTTCCACTTTTTATCTCATTTTTTTTTTTGTTAAACAAACTGATCCCCCCGTTTGACATTGCGCAAAAAAAAAGAAAAAAAAACGCTGACGCCCAAACGCTTTCGTCACCGACTTTTGCAAAAAATGAACGCTGAAAAGGCTGAAGCGAACTCGAGGCTTCTAGAGCTTTCGAAGAGGAACCTGGAAAATGTAGGCCCTCCGTTGTGTGTCTCACCTTTCGCGAGTACACGCGTAGACATATGTTCCCACCCCTATGCGCTCATTCCCCGTGCGCACACATTACATGGGCACGTGGCTGTCTTTCCCCTCTTTGGCAGAAAACGAAGAAGGAGCTGGAACAGAAACAAAAGCAGGAGTACGTATACACAGCTCGAGTTTGCTAGCACCCCCCCCCGCCTTAATAAAACACACACAACGATTACACCTCTACATGATTGTGCACTTGCACATGCTTTGCTTAGCTGTATCGTGTATCTCAACAAATGTGCGGAATGATGTTCGCCGATGTATTCCCAAATGGGTGCACTTTACCAGTAACCACTCGCATACGTCGCATTTTCCATTCGTTGTGATAGGGAACAGCAGGAGCAGAGGAGGATCATCATGAAATCCCTGTTGACCCCGGATGCGCATGCACGCTGTAAAGAAAGAAGTGTCCTTTTAAGAGTGCTGGGCTGGCAAGAGAGGCAGTACCGGAAGGACTAGCGCCGCCGAGAAGTATAACAAGTGAGCAAAAGTATAATGCAATTTTGACTAACCCGAACCGCTCGCCACTTTTACTTTTCAGTATCGAGGATAGCCATTGTGAAGGAAGAGAAGGCCAGGCGAATCGAGGACATAATCATAAGGGTAAAAGCTAACAGAGAGAGAAAAAAAAAGAGTGATGCACAAAAAAGGGGACATAAAAGGAGTTAATTTAAGAGGATGTGCATAATGACTCTTTCGGCATGGTTGTAAAAAATGGGGTCTTTTCCACCCTTGCCTTTCCTTCGTATCGCTTTATTCTGAAAAAAAAAATCCCAACGACCAACGTTGCAATGATATAGTGAAGTAATCACGTGTGCACATGTCCCACATGTTCCCTTCATATGTTCCTACCATTTGTTCTCTCCTTTCTTTCAGAATAGCCAAATGGGTCTGCTTCAAAGAAAAATCGATGACCAGCAGCTAATTAAAATTATCGAGGTTTGTTTGCGCGCGATTGGGTGTAAAGCAGGGATGTGCTGTAGGCCTCCATGTTTGCTTTCCCCATTCTCGCGTCCCCATCTGTTGCTGCGCTCACATGCACACCGTTGTAGCGCCTCATTTGTTTTTCTTCATTTTTTGTTTGTTCCTATGCTTATTTGTTTCATTCTTTCCTCGACTTCACTTTCCCCCTGCAGCAAGTGAGCGAAAAGATTTACAAAAAGGAACCAGTGATAGAAGTAAGTCCTCACAGACAGTTCGAATGAGTGCGTATATGTCTGTGCACAGCTGGGGAGAAAAAAAAAAAACTCCCCTCCATGTGAAGTTATTTTCCATGTTTGCTGATGCTCCCCATGGTCAGGGCCCCCCACACCCCTGCGTGCGTGTGTATTCCGTTGCTCAAAAAAAAAGTGATATACATAATTCCCTCTGTGCAGATAAGACGAAGGAAACAGTTCGATGACGATGATGACTTCAACGAAGAAGACTACACGTGAACGCGCGCAGTTGCGACGTGGATAATTTTTTTTTTTTTTTTTTTAAAAATCATTTGTAGAATAAATTCAAGCTTTGTTGCTGCCCGTGGCTTGGTTGTAGGCAAAAAGAAGGGGAAAAGAGCGAACGCTGAAAATGACTTTTATCAATTGTTTTTTTTTTCCCCCTGCTTTTATTAATTTTTGTCAGTATAAGCTAGTTCGTATCAAGCATATTATTCTTTCGATTCCTCTATATTTCATTTTATTCCCTTATGTTCCCTTTTTTTTTTTTTTTTTTCTTTTCCTTTTTTTTTGGATTTCGCGCCTCTCTGCGTTTTATGTTGTCCCGGGACACGTTCCCACTTTCTACGCCCCACGTTTTTATCCCCACCCCCCAATAATTAACACCAACCATTTTAATTAATATGTGGCCCATGTTCTACCTCGCGGTGTAAAGATTATGTGTCTCGAGGAGATTGCCCCCCCTTTTGTTAGAAGTCTGCCTGGGTAGACAACCCCTCGTTACGTGATTTAGCCAAACTGGAGTGGCGCCAAGAAAAGGCACGTCGAAGCCTTCCTTTTCCTGTCCTGGTTCCCTTTTCCCCCACCCCCCCTGGAGACGCTTAAAATAGGGTCTTTTTGGATGGGAAGAAAATATTATCCCATTTGTGGATGCACAAAAAAAGTGTGCCACCGTCTCAAGTTGCAACGCTCTCACTCCAGGTCGTAAGTTTTGCTTCCCTCGTCAGATTGGTCCCTTTTAACCAAACATCAATCCTTGCAGGCTTCCCTTCTTTTTCCCCCACCATGAAGGGTAGAGCGTATATTTGGGTTGCCCTCCTGTTGGCTTGCCTACCCTCTCGTTTTAAAAATTTAGACAAGGACGTTTCTGCCCCGGTATGCAGAACTGACGATGTGTACACGGGGGATTCCTTTTTCCCTTTCAAGAAAAAAAAATACGTCCTCTATGATGTGAACATCGGAGAAGGTTTCAATGTAGGTGTTGACGATGGATGACGGATTAGGGCGGCATTTTCTGGGCTATTAGCAAAAGTGGCTGAAAGAAGGGATCCCCCAGATGGGTTGCCCCCTTCCCCGGGTCCTGGCAGAATTTCGTGTTAATGCTATGCAATGAGTAGTCCACTTATGCACATTTTTACGCCGATTCCCCTCGCACAGTGGATACAACTTCTCCCCATGTTTGCGTCGCTTTTCCCCCCCCGCGCACAGCTGCAGAAGGAAGTACTATACCGAGTCGCGCTGGCCGTGTACTACCTCAACAAGGAGGAGCGGACAAACGTGTATTATCTTGTGTTGCCTCCCTGGTGCTACGTCACCCACTGGGGAATGCAGGAAACACACAACAGAATTAAGTGGGACCTTTTCTTCAATCTGAAGGCTCTCCAAAATGTGATCCCCGTGATGGAGTACACGGAATATGAGGGACAGTTTGGGCCGCACGCGGACTACATCCTTTCGTATCGACATGCCATTGAAGATTGGTCGAAAAGGAAGGAAAAAAAAAGCTTCCAAGTTGTTGATATAGACAAATGTAACGTGAAAGATTATAAATTGAAAAAAAATCTATGTAAAAATTGTGACCATAAATATTCAGTTGTATATTCAGGAAATTGCACAAATGTGAAGGGAAAAAAAACGGAGTGTTTCGAATTTTTTTTTATAACTAGCTATTTTGTAAGCTCCACTCTTTCAGACATATTTCACTACGACACGGATTCTGTCCTTATCAAACATGGAAGCAGCATCCTGGTTGCTTTCATGAACGAATTGGAGGAAGCCAATTTGGAGGATGTTCTCCCATACAGTGAATATTTAATAAACGAGGGAAACCAGTTTGTTGAGAAAACTTTCAAGTCGAGTAATAACTACATAAGTTGCCATCTGAGGTACACGGACTTTAGGAAAATCGCAAAATATGACGTGTCGCCTGTAGCCATTTCACTCTTAAAATTGCTTTACATCATGTTTTTGCGAAAAAGTGACATCATTTTTGTATCAACTGATGAGAAGAAGGAAGTTAAAAAAGTGATTGATAGGCAATTTCCTCAATTTAAACATTTTTTTTTTTTTTACGAAAATGAAAAGTTGCACACAGGACAGGTTGCTATCGTTGACCAGTGGATTTGCACACGTTCAGGGACATTTGTGGGGAACATTTTTTCCAGATTCAGCATACACATAAAATGGGAGCGATCTTTAATCGGTAAGGGTGGGCCGGATCACAATTTGGATCTTTGCGGTTACAGCATTAGCACCGATAAGGAGTTGCGAAAAAAGTATTCCGACATTCAAGATGCCCCCCTCGATGAGGAGGTCCTGCAGAAGCTGCACCCCTTGTACATGCGCCTCTCACAAACAGATAGAAATTTCATCAGGACGATTTGCTACGACTCTACGTATCATTACCCCCAGAATGTGAGCATCTACCGGAGGGGAAGCGGCGGGAAAAAGAGCGATTAAAATAGTTGGCTTGATAGGGTAAAATATTTCGCTTGATCGGCTAAAATAGTTGCGGGCAAAAGCGGGGCTGGCCATGTGGGCGCGCTGGAGCATGACTGTGCTGATGGGCAGACGGAGAGGCGACCCAACCCCATTGAGGGACCTCTAATCAAGCCGCTATCTCCTCCACGGGATGCTTCACCCCGGTGGTGTATCGGCGGTATACCTGCGGCGTGTCACCGCTAAAAACGCAATGGTGAGTGCCTCCCCGTCGCCCGATCATTGGTGCCAACTAACTCATGCTGAAATACTTAATGCACTCGGAGATGTCATGCTCTCGGTGGGAATCCTTGTTACCAAAAAAGGAATCTACCTCTTGACAAGTTCGGAAGTCAATGTCGTGCGATTTGTTCCTGTGGGCATTCGGGTTGTTCCTGTGGAGGGTGTGACCAACATCGTTCGAAGCTTCGCCTGGGTTACTCACCACGATATGGTAATCTGGACAGTCGTCTGGGGATAGACCTTTCCACCTTGCCTGGTCAGGCGCTTTCTCCAACAGGGCGAGTCCTTTGGTCCCTTCACGGCCCTCCCTGTTGGCGCCCTTTCTGTACAGTACCATCTGTACAATGTGGGGAAAAATGCAATTTTCGTAAATCTCATTCATGACATGCTCGCAGTAGTAAATGGACTCATATTTGCAATTCTTGTAAATCTGATTGAGGAAGACGTGAATGATATTTAACTTGGAAAGGAAGAGAGCATACAAGAAAAAAAAAAAATTGAACAAGAATATGAACAGGATGTAGTATATCCCTTTATAATTTCGCAAATTTAAAATGTGCATTCTGGCTAGCTCATAAGGTGGGACCAAAGGAACGGCATTGTTATAGTAATACACAGAGAAAAGGATGTAAAAACTTATAAGTAAATTTACACACAAATTAATAACATAGGGAATGAAGAAAAAAAAGTACTTAATGTAATTGATTTTATCGCTGCATTTTTGGATCATTAATGAATGGATGTAGTTGTGATTACGCTTCATGTAGTTGCTTATGTTGTAAATGTTTGAATAAATCGAGTTCCCAAAAATGTTGAAAATATTTTTTCTGTCCATTTGCACACAGTGGTAATTGTGGATGTCTTCCCCGGGGTGGCTATTTAACTCTTCGTATAGATCGGCGTTATTTATAATTACGGAGACTGCACGCTTTGTAGGGGCCAACGCGGCGTCTTTATCTGTGTGCGGATTGCTGCAGAGGCGGTTGCTCTCCCATGGTTGCTTATCAGAGGTGGGCTTATTCGGAGTCCCCCTCGCCCTCTTCGCTCTCTCCGCCCTTTCTGCCTTTCCCGTCTTCTCCCTCCGGTGCCCAATTTCCATGAAGAGCTCTGCACATTTCCTCGGCGTGCTGATTTTTCCCCCTCTTGTGTCGCTTTCCCTACTTATGTACTTGAAGATGTTTGTAAATTTGTTGAAAATTTCATCAGCGTGGAGTAGCACCATGTTGTCAAATTTTTTGTCCAAATGGCTAAACATCGTTTTACACCCCTCAATGAGGATTTCCGTGTTCCGATAAATTTCTTTGTTTTTCTCTCGAATATATACATTGTACAACATTTGCAGGATGATCAGACACATGACATCCACATGGTGAAGGAACGTTTTGTAGGTAAAGAAAATGATATATAAATTTAGCAGGCAATACGCCAGAACAGAAAACGTCGAGAAAACATGGAAGTGAATTTCGTACGGGTAATAATGTGTGTTGGACGCCCAGGGAAAGCTAAGAACTGTCTGCAGGCGAAATAAGAGGCATATGCTTAGCAATAAAAAGAGAATATATACAAGGTAGAGAATGTACATTTTTTTTCCCCCAATCGGGTGTAGAAGCCAGGTCCCCTTTGGCGCTTCCTTCTCATACTTCACTATACATTTCAAGTTGTTATATATTTCGTAAAAGTGGATATAATTTGAGAAGGGCGAATTGTCGAATAGATTCCTTTTCATGTTGTGCAGCTCCCTCAGCAGGAGCTCTTTCCTGTCCTCGTGGCTGTATCTGTGATCTGCACCCTCGAGGGGGTCCCACCCGGGCCTCTCCGTGCAGATTAGCTCCACGCTGCTCTGCCTCTTCTGCGCCTCCATCCTCGGCTCATGGAGTAGGAGGCAACAAATGAATAATAAGGAGATAAGCCGGTAAGCGGATAAGGAACAACGGAGAAGCACAAGCGTGCCAAAAAATATAAATAAAATAAAACCAAGCCCAGGAACCGCGGGGGGAATGCGAATGTTGCTTTGTGCCCCCCCACAGCGCAGCAACGATGAAACAAAAAAAGAAAAAAAAAACGAACAAAATTAGACAATCATCAGTGTGAGCAGCGAAGCCCAATCCTTATGTGAACAAAAAGTTAAGCCATTTGGAGAAACCCTAAAGACAATGTGTGCAGCTAAAAATGCGCCGTATGTTTTTTTTTTTTTTTTTTTGCAACATGATGAGGACGTACAAAAGGATGGCAGGAAAAAACCTCCTTCATGCAACTCTGTACAACTTCACCCGGAAGAACAGGCGTGACGTATTTTTGACAGTGGCACTTTCTCCATAAGATCGAACAATTGAGGAGAGAGAACGCCCAACAAGGTTGCATTTCTTCACTCGTTTATTATACCCCTCGGTGGTGCACACGCGTTTGTCCATTTGTTCATATGTTAATTTGCTCATTTGTTCATTTTCGTCTTCCTTGGGGAACTACGACGGACAGGGAGGGGGGTAAATCCCCCATTTACGGGGGTTAACCAAAAATCAAGCTGCGCATATTACAGTGCCTCGTAAGGTCTCTTCTATTACCCCTTTAATTTGCAAATGCCCAAAAGGAAAAATAGGGAGTGATACGTAAGAAAATAGGGGAGCGCAGAATGGCCGTAAGTGCGACTCTTCGCTAAAGGGGCAAATCGGGTGGCACGTGGGAAGTTGTATCCATATAATATATATATGTGCAATTCTTCGCGTTCGGTAGGTCACTCACATTTTTTTTCCCCCTTGGATTGTTCACCTGGCATAAGTTTACCCCTCTACGGTTGCTTTCACGCTGCTGTATGTACATGTAAAGAGCCTCCTTTTCTTTTTTTCCTTTTTTACCCACCTCCACTGCTAGCTCAGTCATGCAACTACCGCAGCACTTAGAACGTGGCGCGCCACGCGTGTATACGCTTTAACGGGGAACATATGAGAACAAATGAGGAATACCCGCACAGGCGTAGAAACGGAAAAAAAAAAAAAAAAAAGAATAAAGATGGGCATGCTTGCACATTCAAAGAATTCTATCAAAATCAGGAAATTGAATCAAAGTGATGTTCACTGTGATATTCCACTAAGGGGGGATGAAGAAAAAAAAAAAGCAAAATTACAATACGTTCTGGATATGCAATTTTTTTCTTTTACTGTCCTGTATGTGCGTCAAAAGGGGAGACCATTTTCTTTTTTTTTTTTTGCACAAAAAATTTTGCATACCATAATACACGTATGAACATTCATTCGTAGGGACAGAACTCAGCAAAGCGAATTAGCCACTTGACAAGAGTGTAAATTTTCAGTTTCCCTCTCCTGGTGTGAGTACTTAGCGCAGGTGCAGGCTTAAGTACATGTGTAAGTGGGCCCAGGCGCGCTGGGAAAATAGCTAGCCAAGCGGGGTGTGCAAATAGCTAGCCAACTGCGTCGCCGCCTAGCGGATAGTTGTCAGGTGAGCACTTTCCAGCGGGGACATTCCAACGGAGCACCTTCCAACGGAACACCTTCCAACTGGGCCCCTCCCCCCGGCTGAGCAACATGCCCAAGCTATCCTATTTGATACGGAAATGCAAAGGCAAGGATGGAGATAAAGTCGGCGAGCACGAAGAAGTGGACGTATTCAGCATCCTAAACGAAGACAGCTGTTATTCATCGGACCAGCTGGAAATAGATAGTCACGTTGAAGAGGGGTGGGCCGATGCCAATTTGGCGCAAAACCAAAGAAATAAACACCGACAGGGGAGTAACTCCAGTGAGACCAATGGGAGTAGTGCGAAGAAATTCTCACGTGGTCCCGGCGGTAACTCAAAGGAGGGGTGTAAAAGTGGAAAGGACGACACGACGAACGAACAAGTAACTAGCAGCTCGGGGGAGAGAAACCTGGATAACATTATGTTGTCGAAAAGGGCACACATATTCCACAGCCTCAAAATATTATCGCCTAAGGGGGAAGGGAAAGGTGAAAATGGGGGCGGAGAGGCGAGAGCGAAAGGTAGAAGCGACGCGAGGATCCAAGTGAATGAAGGGCTCCAGGACACAGATGGTAACCGCTCCCCCGGAGAGGAATGCCCAAAACAGAATAACAAACGCAGGAACCCCCTGAATAATACGTACAAAAATTTCACGGTGTACGAAAATAAAGTAAAACAAATGGAAAAAAAAAAAAAAAAAAAAAAGGAAAAAAAAACAAAAAAAAAAAAGAAAAGTATGATATATTATTTGCAAAATGTAGATTGTTGTCATATATTGACCCTCTACAACAGCATCCACACGTCTCGGAGCTGTACAACGACATCTTGGAAAGCATCAACCATTTGAATAAGCTAAATGTGAGAGAGGCGTATCATCACTTAAGAGATGTGTACGTGAAAAAGTACGCCACAGACAGAGAGCTGAAGAGAAAACAATTTTTCCAAAATCGGTTTGTTAGCGAAATATTATATAGATACAAAATGATGAATAAAATCGAACTCATATTTAATTTGTTCGTTAAAGACACATGGGATGATTGTTTGAATTTTTCTGTCATTTCGAAGAAGGTTTACAGAAATTTTATTTTTGATTATCTCATTGATCTGGTGGACGTGAATGGGATGCTGTGTTTTTCCAGATACACCAACTTGCCAAGTGGAAGCAGTGACGACATTTCAGCCTCCCTCACGGCGCAGACCTCCGAGGAATTTGTGAGCGACGCGGGGGGAGCGGAAGGAATAGAAGATGTGGAAGGAGTGGAAGACCCAGCACGGGAGGGGAAGTCCCTTCAGAAGTGTCCTAAGAAAACCCTACCCCAGGGGAGCAACGGAGAAGAACAATACAACGGCTACGAAGAAGGATGCTCTAACCTCCGTGACAACCGCCGCGGTAGCCGCGCGCGGAAGCGGGACAGCAAGAGAAAAGAGGCAGGGCCTAGGCGCATAGAGAACAAGTACATCGATTACGGACACTTCCATCTGGCGTATGATGACGAGGACGATAACGAAGTCTTTTACTTCGTGACGAAAAAGGACTTTAACACGTTCAAGCGGATATATTCTAGGAAACTGGGTGAGGGGTTTCTGAGCGCCGAGGGGCAGCAGGAGGAAGACAAAGGGGGGACTCCCACTGGGGAGGAGGCAAGCTCAGACCAGTTCCAGACGGCTGAAGAGAGCGAAGAGGATAGTGGAAAGACGAGCGAATTGCAGAGCGAATCAAACAGCGAACCGAGGAGCGAACCGAAGAGCGAATCGAACAGCGAATCGAATAACGAATCGAATAGCGAACCAAGGATCGAATCTATGCGCAGAGCAAAGCGGCAGCCCACACGCAAAGAGAAAGTGAAAAAGTCTACGAACCAGAGTATGAGGAAACATGAGGACGCTAACGCCGAGTCTATGCATAGAAGGATTGAAGAAAGAGAAAGAAGTGACCTGAACACGTTCATATATTTTTACGTAAATTTGCTGATACCCTCCAATTTCGTGTACGTCATTGCCGCCATGATTGAGAGTTCCCTGTTCAAATCATGGATTCCCTTCTATTCCTTCCCCTTCAAGTAGGTCACCCATTTATGGGGGAGCTCATTTTGGGGCGTAGTTAATTTCAGGAGTAGCTTATTTCGCGAGTAGTTCACTAGACGTGTAGTTTATTATATGTGTAGTTTATTAGACGTGTAGTTTATTTCGCGGGTAACTCACTTGCCCGTGGAACACCCCCCTCCCTCTGCGTCCCCATTTTGCCATCGCGCAGCAGTGCGTTGTTTTCTTTTTCTATATGTTGCACTGCCACTTTAATTGCCTCCCCAACGTGTAGATTTGGAATCAGCGAATGCAAAACGTTAAAGCAACGAGGAATGCTCGATAAAATAGTTTACACAAAAATTGCCATGCCGTGGATAATCAAGGACAGGTAGGAAACCCCCGCCCTACACCCCGTCTCGCGGGCTGACAACTTTTGCAGAGTGGCCGAACACTGCACGTCACGCCATACTTTGCTATGCTACGCTGTGAGGCGCTATTTCGCTCCCTTTATGTTTTTCTTTTTAAACAATCGAGAATTCTCCTTGGCCGCCCACGCAGGTTCTTACTGATGGACATATGGATATGCGAAGACTTGAAATTTTCGAAAGGCATCTTTTTATATGCCTCAAATTTTCCGAAGAATTCTGGAAATATGGTATTTCGAAATGTGTGCAAAGTGGAGCGGCAGAAAAAAAATTACGGGAGAGTATGTACACCTTCCTCCCCCCCTTCCTACGCCTCCCCTTTTTCAGACGAACGTGGTTTTGGACACGGACAGGAGCATGGAAATTGATATGGCGATCCACGCGTTTATCGCCCCCAGGAATTTCAACGAGACTGTCGTCAAGTGTTACATCGAAGTATCACCCAACATAAATCTGAACGAGTTTTTTATTTCATTTTTGACAAAGTAAGCAGGGCGAACTTATTGGCGGGGGGTGCAGCTCCCCCCAGCCAAGGTACATCACACCGCTTTACTCTCCTGTTCCCTCCGCTCCACACCACATCGCTTCTCACCACACACTGCAGAGTTTTCATCAAAAGCTGCATATCCCACTTCGTCAACGCGTGTAGAAGTTTCCAGTCCAACGAAGAGTACAACCGTGAGCTGCGCAAGAGCCGCTTATTTTACGATCTCTTGTGGAAGGCAGCGGAGGAGTGTAAAATATATGACCCATGACAGAGGGAAGAACTTTTTGTGCAGTTTTCAAATGATGAAGCTTGCAGCTCGTGGAAGGTCTAAACAAACGTTATTGATTAGGATTCATGGCTGTCGATTTGCTAATGGGGATGCCAATTTATGTTTGCCTGTGCTATTGCATGGTGGAATTCTTTTTTTTTACCTCCACGTTTTGCAAGAAAGAAAAAAAAAAAGAACCCTTTTAAAGGTGCCCTCTTATTTGTACCCCCGTCGCATGCATTCCAGCGTCGTGTAGATATAATTTATCTCCACAGAAGTGCGCTACAAATAAGGATGGCGTGAAGTCCTAGCCGTTTCACGCCCACGTTTTTTTACGTGAATGTTCACATGTGTCCATGTTACGTATGTATGTATATTCATACAGTGCGCTGCCACACCCATTTGTTAATTGACAGTTGCGCGTTCCCGTAACGCGATTGCGCGGATAAACTCGCGTAATGGAAATTTTTTCATAGAAGGATAAAAGGGTCTCGTTGCAACGCTTTAAATTTTGTATGTACGCGTGCCCGTACAAGAACTCGTTATGTAGCATCCAATGCGCCTGCACCGCCGACAAGTCAGTTTTAAAAATGAAAAATTGAGTAATCTGACCGAACGTTGCAACGCCCAGGAGGAATAACCCCCACATGGCGTTGAGCGTACCGTCGTGGGGATAACTTATTCATGTGAAAGGGCAAAAGGGAGAAAAAATTGGAGAAATTTATCTGTGTATAATATTTGCCCCCCACCCCGGTACGTCGTTAAAAATGCAGCGGACTACACAAAAAATTTGTTCCCCATTTAAGAAGAGTATACGATGATTAAACAGTCAGCATTTGCCACATTGGACATAGAGCGTATCCAGAAATATGTCGCTACAGACTCACGAGCGTTTTTCCCCCCCTCCCTTATGTAAGGGAAAACGTTTTAGCGCATGCATGTGCAGGATGACGTGGTCTACTCGCAAGGAGCTTTACTTTGCTGGCGACACAACGTTTGTGGGTTGCCGCTTCTGAGGATTGTCGCCCCCCACACGAGAGAATATGTTTAAGGTGGCCCCCTACGTCCCATACATTTACAAATGCTCAAATGGAAGCAACTTCTTCAAATTTTATAACCAAATAAAGACAAAGGGGTATTCCGATTTGCTTAATTTTGCCAAGGGTCTGTACCTATACTTGTGCAGGAATTGCCACAAAAATGGTGAGAGGGAGAAGGGGAAAAAATGGAGCACAGATGTAGTTAGCTAAATTTGTAAAAATTATATTTTTTTTTTTTTTCTTTTTTTCCCCATTTTCTAGATGACCTGTTCATACTTTTTTCCAAAGAATTGTTCAGAGACATTCATGGGGAAAAGTTCGCGGAGAGGAACAAGAGAGACCTGTGCTTGCTAATGCTGTTGTATATCAAATGCAAAAAAAGGAGTAAATCGTTTGTACTTGGAAAGGACATAATTAAACACCTAAGTTGCGCAATCGAAGAAAATTTAGACGACTTTGATGAAGATGATCTATCCACCGTTTTGACCTTCTTAAACTGCACAGCGAATAACAAGTTGTACTCACCGCGCGGTATAGTAAAAAATGACGTAAGCACCAGAATTACAAAACAAATTATTCAGCGGAGCGATAATTATTTGCACAAATTCAGGCAGACGAAAAATCTATGCATATTGTACAGTTATTTATGCAGGGAAAACATAAGCCTGAATTTACACAGTAACATTTTGGGGCGAATTTTTAGAGATGTAGATCGCTGTGGGGACACCGATTTGACCAACATTCTATTTAACTTTTACTACATTAACAGCGTTTTTTTTAAAAAATTTTTAAGCAAAATATGTGAGCTGTGTGCACACAATGGGGGGCAACTATGCCAAGTAGAACATACTCAGAGTGGTTCTCGCTGTACCAGCAAAATAGGGAAGAAAAACGATAGCAGAACTGAAATGTGCCCGAGTGAGGAGGTCACATGGTTGATGAAGAAATGGGGTGAGGAGTTATCCTTCCAGGAGGAACATTACGTAGGTAGCACTCTCAGCAGTGATGAAGTTTCACATCATTCGAACCCCGTTTATAAATGTGACATGTTAGGACGTGCAGCGGGAGACACCCATTTTTCACAAGAAAAACCCACCCGTTATGTAACGTACGGCAACATATTCAACATCTACAGCTGCAGTATGTTCCTGCATGGATTCATAAATCATTATAACAACATTTTTTTAAAAAGAAGAATAGGAAAATTGTTAGACCGATGTAACTTCATAGATAACATTTGGAAAAACTGCAGATTGATGCATGTTTTTTACTACACACTTGAGTATTATATCAACACAGGGGAGATTCTCGAAGTGAATGTGAACAGCGTGGAGCGCATCTTAAAAAAGGCATACAGTGATGAGGACGATAGCCTTAAAATGAAGGAGGTAAAATTGTACAGCAACATTTTTTGCGCGGATAACATAAAACTGTTGATGTATGTATACCAGGGTGGAGTGCGCTACTACGGACGTTACTTCGACGCATGCAGGGCGTTTCTAGATAGGTATATAGTAAATTTGCTTCAAGACGAGGTTTCCAAGAATGAATCTATTGGGAAGAACACAACGAAAGGAACAACCCGAGTAAAGGACGAGCATATTTACCTACTGGTGAGCGTTTTAAACCAAATGAATGTGCAGAATGAGGAAACATTCGACCTGGTAATGCGAAATTTTAAGCTAAATGGGAAGAGTTACTCCCTTAAGACAACTCTCCTGGTGCTGCAATTTTGCCACTCCCATGGGGGGGATGATTCATACCGTGCCATTTATACACACATAGGGACAACTCTCCATTCGCTGATCAGCTCGGATAATGCCATCTTACCAAATAATTTTGGAGTTTTATTTTTACCCCCCTTTTTGGTGAAGGAAGGAATACGTAGAATGTACCTCTCTCTCTTTGTAAAAGGCGCCAAATGGTATTTACACAGAAAGGAAAAAACACAAACGTATAGGTTAACTGATGAACTGCTATACTTTGCCTTAAGTTATAACATACTATGGAGAGACACTAATGCACATGGTCATGGTGAGAATTTTTTAAAATATTTTAAATTAAAAGAATTAAAAAAGATTTATGAATTTATTCACGAATTCGAAAAAATAACAAAAAAAAATTTCTTCAAATTAAAGCAAACGGGGACAAAAAAAAAAAAAATGAACAGATTTTATTTTTACCTTGAGAAGGTACACACGCAGAGTATTTCGAATTATGTTGAGATATGCCATCGGCAGAGTGGAAGTTTGTGTTTAAACTTTTTGAATTTTTTTGGCCTCTATAAGGGGTGCTCCCACGTGTATGAGGGCTACGGCGCAAAGTACCTTCCCCCTTCCGTGGCTCCCCCGATTGCTGTGTGCCGCGCGCCGGCCGTGTGATCTGGCCGAATGGGACCCTAACCTGCCGCTTCACCAGCTTTAGCAGCTTCATTACAGCTTCACTCCCGCCTGCAACTTCCTCATGGCGTACTCGTATGCGAACCACGTAATCGACGTGGCGGGTATGGTTCTTAGGAGATTCACGTAGATGCCTGCAGGGAGATGATGATGAATCGGGGGACACGCAAAGACGGCACTAAGACGGCGCCACGACAGCGCTAAGATAAAGCCACAACAGCGGCACCATGCAATGTATCATGTGGGGGGCCGAACAAGCAGGCCCGCCACCCCCTTGCCAACACCTTGGCGCCTCCCTGATGGCCCTACCTCGGTAGAGGGACCTAAACCCATAGACCCTGATGTTGTACAGAATAAAGCTGCACGACTTGATGTGCTTCCTCTCGTTATTCAAATAATTTGTAGTTATCTCATTGTTGAGAGTTTGCATGCGGGTCCGCAAAACGAGAAAGGGGTAGCTGACAATCTGGGCGATGAACGAGCTGGTTATACCAAAAAATAGGAAAGACAGACAGTTGATGTTTTTTACTCGATAGTTACAGTAGGCGCATTCTTCTGACCTGTTCAGGTGACTTTCCTTTTGGTGCTTATAGGTTGGATTATTCCAGTGGGTGGATTTTTTTCTAAAATGGGACAATCCGTTTAGTAGGCTGTACTTGAAGAAAGTTACTCCTCCGCTGCTGTCTCCGTTTTTGCCGCTTCTCCCGCCTTCGGTTTGGGACGCATCCCTGTCCGTGTCTCGCCCCTCCGCTGCGTTGTCTTCACCCGAGTCATCACCACCTCGGATGCAGTGCGTGAAGTGAATATAATCCTTATAGAGTGTAAAAAATAGGTACTTCAAATAATCGTAGATGCTCATATTGCACCCTGAAAATAGGATGACTCCATAAATGTGCATAGACAATCCGTTGTAGAAGTTCCTCCATCGTTCCTTCGTATAAATGTTGTAAAAACATTTGGCAATTCCGTTGTTGTCATTTTTATTGGAGACGATTAGTCTCGTTTTGACTATTTCGAGGGGATAAACGAAGAGAGCCGCTATGACCCCGCTGGAGCTTCCTATGATGAAGCGAATGAAGAAGGGGATGTCGAGGTTTTCCTGGTCCTCCGCATAGTTGAGGGGTCTCCTCCCTCCGCCACGGCTATCACCACCGCTACCCCTGTCACCACCACTACCCCTGTCACCACCACTACCCCTGTCACCACCACTACCCCTGTCACCACCACTACCCCTGTCACCACCACTACCCCTGTCACCGCCGCCACCCCTGTAGTAGTTGTACACGTTAACCTTGAAAAACTCGTAGGAGTACATTTTTATGGAGAGCTCCGGAATGATCTTCACGATGTTCACGCAGTTCCCCCTGAAGAACCCGCACACAATTCCGTCCTTTTTTATGATTTCGAAAATCTCAGAAATGGGCAGATTGTTCGTCACCTGCATTATATACTTTACCCTGTCCAGCGGGGCTGTAACAGTCCTAGACATTATTCCCGCGAATGTGGAGCTCAAAATGCTGTTTATGGCGCCTTTCTTATCTATAAAGATGCTGTACTTTGGGGGGGCATCGTTCCTACTGGCGTTGGCGTTAGTAATGTGCGTGTCTTGCACATTTGCTGGCGCCCCATCTTCGCCTTTGCAGGTATTTCCCTTACTCAGGGGACTATTCCCCGCGTGGTTTGCACTCTGTGGGCCCCTTTCCCTTATCTCCCCATGCTGTATGGGGGGGTCACTAAGGAGATCTTCATCATTTTTGCTGTCACTCATTTGGTCTGCCTCTTCTTGGATGGTCTTTTCCTTCTTCCCCATGGAGTGCAAGCTGTTTTGTTTAACTGTTCCATGAGGCCTTTTCCCTTGACGGGATTCATGTTCGAAACGTGTTGGCATTTGCTGCGATCATTTGGTTGGTTCCGCTTGGTTCCGTTTCGAGCCGTTATACTTTGTGAGTCTGCCGCGTTGGCGTTTTGTTACTCTCTTTTTTGTTGCTTTTTTTTTTTCGTTTTCTTAACTGCGTGAGGCATGGGCGTTGCACAGATGAGTACGGAGCGAGAGGCCTAGGGCAAGCGCGGACCTGCAGTTGTATGCATGTACTCATATGTACATACAAGTGCGTTCTGTGCTAGGGACTGCGCGGGATTGCGGATAAGGCCTATGCTACGCTGCGCAATACTACACTATGCGACGTTGTGCTATGCTGCGCTGAAAGTTGTGTTCTGCAGCTGTTCACGCGTTTATTCATTTTTTTTTTCCCACATTGACCTATGCTCTATTTTCCCTTTCGGGGGTCTTCCCCTTGTTGCTGATTTGGCTATTCGTTCGGTTGCTCGTGGTTTCCATTTTTTTTTTTTTTTTCGAAAGGTGGAAAAATGTGAAGCTAATGCTTCATGGAGCGCCGTTTGTGCCGGGTGGGCGTTCATGATTAGGGGGGCGACAAAGATGGGGCAACGGCGGGACGCTTGACCTAGCCTAGCCTTACCTATGATGTTTGCAGCGGCGCGGGGGAGTGCCTCATCAAAGTGCAACATCCATGTAGCATATTGAAGCAACGCGTTCATCACGTAACCGCTTCGCACGAGTCATTCCCGCCTCCCCTGCAGCGCAACCGGGAAAAAAAGGCGATTCTCTCCAACGGTTGCCAAGAGAGAACCATTTTGACTGTCACGGGGAACTATCTCCCCCCTTAGGCGGAAGCCGCATTGGAATTATTCCTCGTGACATCTCAGAAGGGTTACCACTTTGCCACAGATCGGTATGCAGATGCCCAACACAGATGGCTACAGAGATGGCTACACGGATCGCTAAACAGATCGCTAAACAGATCGCTACACAGATTGCTTAGATAATCCGAACGCTCCACTTCAACGTTGTCACCATGGAAGAGACGCACAAATTTATAATTTTCTTTTCGTATGTCGGGATGGGGTTCAATGTATGAAGCTTCGCTTCGTTCGCGCAAACGTGTGAACTGCGCGCACATGTACGGATGTAATTTGCTCGTCACGTTATGTAGCTAGCGTGGCGACGTACCTGTTTTGTCAGTCGGTCGACCCATTTGGATTCCCTGTCCACTTCACAGACCCGTTGTTAACTGATCGGGCGGACAGGAAAGCGTCTAAATAAACGAACTTCTCGGTACACACCTTTTTCCCACAATCGTCCGAAAAATGCAGGGATCCGCGTTCCAAAAGGACAACCCCAACACGGTGGAGAAGAGGCTGATGGAGTGCTTGCACGCCTTGAACTTGATCCCCGGGGTGGACCAGTATGATTAGCGCCACCATTCGCTGGGCGTATACAGATACATAACATGCATATGTGTAATGTATAAATGGGTTAATTCTTTTTTTTTTTTTGGAGTCAATACAGATTAGCCCCTCTTCACCCCACCGTGTAGGCCATTTTCCAGAGCCTCCAGAACGGACAAAGGCGTTTCTGCGCGCATGAACGCCCTGACCATACGGCTGAGAATTCGACACCCCCACATGTCCCTACAAGACATACAAAGAGTGTACGTAAAAGACATCAACAAGAAGTTGAAGAACATGCAGGTGATTGATATCCGGAGTGTTCCCAATTTTTTTGACGCCCGGTAGGGAGAAAAAAAAAAAAAGAAAGAAGGAAGAAGAAAGTAAAATAACAAAGCAGTTCCATGCGTGAGTGTCCTGCCTGCCCTGAAGAGGCACCCCCCTCACAACGCTTCGCACCACATATATAATCTGCCCCCACGAACAATTCGCGTACACCCCTTCCCCTGTAGGCTAAATTGCATACATAGGACCTACTTATATTTCTTCATTGACAAAAATTACAATCTTGAGCGAATGAAGGAGGGCTGCAAGTTATTCGTACGAGATGGAAAAAACAAAAAATTCCCATCAAATATTTGCAATCCATTTTTTATGCATTTATCTGTGGCCGCGTCATGTGTGCCTTCTTATTTCTTCCATTTTTTTTTTTTCGTTCCTCTTCAGCTAGGGGAACACGATTTTTCTAATTTCTGCAAGAAGAGGAAAAACAGCACATGCTTGAGGTAGGAGTTCGACCGGACGGGGTGTTTTATTTCCCGCGGCGTCCCCTAGGTTTTGCCGCCCCATAGGTGTATCCGACCCATGGGTTTCTCGCCGCCCCCGTGCCGGTATTCTTCAGTTGTACCTCCTTTGTACGCTCCGCGTGCCCCGCAGAAGGACCATCCTGAAGTTTGAGGTCAGGCACATGAACAGGAACTTCCACTACTTCAAAATAAAGGGAACGTCGTTCCTTTACAACCAGGTGCTACAGCGGAGTAGTGTCCCAATTGGTTCGGGCGGCCCCAAAGAGGGACACCACATATTATGTGCATATAGAAATATACACACTGGCTTATGTGTATGCACCCGATAAATTGCTCCCTCTCTCATTGATCACAATATTTTCCTCCCTGCGCCAGATTAGACACATGGTCGCCGCCCTCTTCCAAGTGGGCACAGGGAAGCTGCAACTGGCGGATCTAGCAATAATGCTCAATAACCATCCCTGTAGGGATAAGAAGTAAAAAAAAAAAGTTACTGTAACAATGTGGTTAACTTGTGTTCTTTTTTCCCAATTTCCCCCTTTGCAAATGCCGGAGCGCCCATATATATCTATACCACCTCGTTGGCACCACTTGGTTTTCCTTGCAGTTTCAAAATAGCCAATGAAGATGGGCTGCTGTTGTACTCCATCAAGTTTAGCGACCTTAACTTTGACGTGAACATTGACAACCGTGTGTTTTCACACCTGATGGAGAAGTACATACAGAGCGCGGTACTCTTGGTTTCTCTCTGCTACCCTTGGAAGGTTAAGCGATCGAATTGCGACTTTTTTGAAGACATCGTAGATGGAGGAGGTGGCCATGGCAAGGACGATGAGAACTGCCTTCCTTAATTCGTTGCAACCACGAGCAGCAGCAGCACTGCGTCTGTGCGTGGGTCATCGTCCCCATCTCCCTGTGCCTCTTCATTTTTAAGTTCCTTTTTTATAAAATACCTATTTGATCGATCGCGCCAAAATTGTGGAGAGGTTTTTTCTACTTCGGGCCCTCTCCCCCCCAATCGCGCGAGGTTATATACTCTTTGGAAAAAAATCTAAAACGCTGACTCATCTGTTAATTTTATTGTGATTTGCACTGGGCGGCGCTCGCTCTTCCTTTTTTTTAAGCTTTTTTTGCGCCTTTAAAACGAGGTGACTACCACCACTCCCCCTTCTTGGAGGAGCGATTTCCCCGAGATATGTTCTTCGTGTACGATAAACAGATGGGCAGTTGCACGACGGAACTGAAATTCATTTCGTCAGGTTTCTCCCTATGCGGGAAAAATAACTGTCGCTATTTTTTTTAAAAACAAGTTTTCTCTAATTTTTATTACGATAAGGAGCGACGGTCACAGTCAGGAAGAACGCTGCTTCTTTTTGAAGCTCTCCACAGCAGTGAGGCAGTGGAGAAACAACCGTCACTAAATACTTTGGGCGCACAACCCTACACGGATGTAACAACTTTACGGAGGCCCCCCATTTAGAAGGCGCATAAAAACATATACCTACAAATGTTCATTTGAAAATGTGGGCTATGTGAAAATAGAGGGCTCAGAGTTTATGTGAACAAACTATTACTACCTCTGCAGTTTGCTCTTTCTTTTTTTTATCATCCAAAGGAGCACGTTCATGATAGCTATTCCTACGTAGAGTGACACCTTCCACGAGGAGAAGAATTCCACGGAAGGCGACATTACACCCGTCTATCGCGGTGAAAGTGGTCATCACCGGGGACGCAGCGAAGGAGTAAGAGGTGATGCATTGAAGGCGCAGCAGATGACTTAGCGAAGGCACAGAAAAGATGGGGAAGCTGAGCAAAGATAGGAGAGACATCTACTACCGGAAGGCCAAAGAAAACGGGTACCGAGCAAGGAGCTCCTTCAAACTAATCCAGATAAACGAAAAGTTCAGAATCTTCAAATTATTTGACCCCGAAAAGTATGGGAAAAACGACATGGATAAAATAGGGAACTTATATAATGAAAACTTCTGCTACAATATAGTGGACCTGTGTGCAGCCCCTGGCAGCTGGTCGCAGGTGCTGAAGAATATCTGCCTGTACAACTACTACCAGATGCTTCATTGGGTAAACAGAAATGAGGGAATTCCACTCAATTGCGATGAACATGACAAATTTTTAAACAATTTTTCTCTCTACATAAATTTTAACGAGGAGCTAGAGAAGAGGATAGAAAGTTTGCCCAAAAAGAAATTTGTGAAAAAGCCAAAAATTATAGCTGTAGATTTACAAGAAATAGGGAATATGAAATATGTGCAGATTATACAAGGTGATATAACCAAAGCGTCCACTGTGCATCAGATTTTAAGATGTATGAGCGAGCGGGAAGTACAAAACGGCATGGGAGATGATACCTGTGCGGATGACACTGTCCAGGGGAGTGTCCAAAGTAAGAGTAGTCAGCTAGAGGGACAAAACCTACAAAGGAACCACTTCCGCACGTACGCACACGCTGTTGTGAGCGACGGAGCGCCAGACATAACCGGCATGAATGACATAGACGAATTTATTCAGTCGCAACTGATTTTATCCAGTTTGAAAGTATGCTTCTCTGTTTTAAAAATCGGAGGAAATTTTATAAGTAAAATATTCCGAGGTGAACACACTGGCCTGCTTATTCTACATTTGAATAAATTCTTCGAAAGAGTTTACGTGTGTAAACCACAAAGCAGTAGGAATAAAAGTTTGGAGTCCTTCCTCGTTTGTTTGAACTTCTCTTTGCCCCTGTCCAGCATCTCAGCGCTGAGCCATCGTACAGGGGAAAAAAAGTCTAATCGTCAGAATATGCCTGAAGAAGAACTTCGAAAAATGCATGCGAAGTTAATTACTGAGAAGGACAATGAGGGAGATATTCGCAAAAGGGGCAAATCTCTCGGGAAGGAAGAAAACAGGGATGATACCAGTGGGGAGGAATTCTCCGATGAGGAGGAAGACCCCGCTGAACCGAGTGAAGATGATAGCCGAGTTGAATCAGGGGGGCACAAAGAAGGTGACGGAAAAGGTGAAAACGAGCCTGGACACATAAACAGATGCACCAATGACAATGCTAAAGCGGGGAACACATTAAAGGGAGACAAACGGAACGATTGCGACCCAGAACGCGGTGATACTCTGACGGGGGCAAAATTTCAAAGTAAAAACTTTACCCCCAAAAATTTCGACATATTCAATTTTTACTGCTCTGATAGTGACGAAGAGATAAAGTATTTCAATTCAGACGATGAAGAGGTGATACATGAGTACATTGCATCGGAAGTTTTTATGAATGACAAACTGTTTTCCTTCGTCGCGACGCAGAATTATTACGACTCGGATAAGTCCTACTTGCTCCCGCAGAATTACGTTCGCCATGAGCCCCAGCTTATGCCGCTTCAGCCTCCCTATCTGTTGTCTTTACAGAAGAAGAGGCAAGAGGGGAAGAAGCCATAATGATAAGTATCACACACGTGTGTGTATGAGCAGGACATGGAATGGATCCTGTGGAGCAGCGTTTTTCCCCCTTTAAATGGGGAAATAAAGCGAATAATAGTGATCATAGAGCTCCGTCTGAAGAGGAAGTATTTGCCTACATGTATATTTTGTAATCACTCAATTGTGAAGTTAACCCGGGTGATTTTTTACCCCTTTGAAGGTGAAAATGTATGTATTATGGGGAGAAAGTAACCCCGCGCTGCTTTACCTTAAATTGCTTCCCTCCTAGCATGCACATAAAAACGCCGCCTTCTTTTTTGAACTATCGTCTATGGCGGAGGGAGAGCTACGCAAGTAATGTCCCATTCAGCGGAGTATCCCCTAAATGAGATTCGCAGTGCAGGGCTCTACCCCTTCGTCATTTGTCTTCTTAAATAACGGGTTGCATTAACCCTCATAGTTTTTGCTATGAACAAGTTTGGTCCTACCCGAATGTTTCCCCCCTCCCCTTTCGCATTTTTCTTTTTTTTTCCTAGCCATTTTTACGTTTATCGTCTCCCTCGAGTCGGTAAATCCTAAACCGCAACTTCGCAAAATGGTATTTGCAAATCTGCCATTCTGCTAATGCGTGTCACTGTCACGTTGGCAACTCGTCGATCGTTTTAACGGAAAAGGAAAAAATTCACTACTAGCTAAAAAAGTGAGGGAATTTTTTTCTTTTTTTTTTTTCATTTTTTTTAAAATGAAAAATCTTATTGCCCTTTCAGGCAACTCTGTGTATGCCCATTCAACGCTGCGCACACGGGTGTATCGTTTTTTTTTCACTTCACTTTCCGCACGTCTATAACGCGTTTAAGCGTTCCAGAACAGAATGCGCACTACACACGTCCACATTTTTACAAGTGCAAAGGTGCACATAAGTGCAGAGAGGCACATTTACCAATTTTGGCAACATTGCAGCGGCGGAGATTGCGAGGAAGATATGGGGGGCTAGAGGATGGTGTCGCGAATAAAGCGCAATGGATATAGAAGGAAGTCGTTTTTTTAAATGGATTCAAAAATTAAAAAAAAAAATAATAAAATCGGTAAGGAGACATCCCTAGTGGTGACAAAACGAATACACACACACACGCATACAAAGCGGCGTTGTCACAAAGGGAATTGTCTGCCCCTTTATTTCCTCCTGCAAATTTATATGTAGGAGTTCATCAGACTAGCTAACAACCATGTGGAGTGTGTTACCTGTTCTTCCTTAATGAGAGAAAGAATGCATACCGATGACCCCGAATTTAAAAGTCATTTTGCGCTGAAAATAAAGTTAAAAGCGTTTCACCTTTTTTGCGAGGATTTAAGCGACGCGTTAAAGGTATTGACAAAACAGGGGGAGCGATAGAATTGATTTCCTCAAATGATATTTTTATTTTCTTTCCCTTTGGAAATTCTCGCCATTGTTCTTCCCCTTCTTTTGACTAATTTTAGCTAAAATTCAGGATTTACTATGATGGCGAAGACGAAAGCAGTGTCCGCGTCTGCCCGGAGAGGGTTCTAGTAATCGAGGTGTTGAACAGGGACTGGAACGTTATGGTACGCCAAACTCCCTCTAAGGCGTATGCCTGCCCTACACGCAGCGAAAGTATTTCCGTTCGTTACTTGTTCAGTTGGCTATCTTCTCGTTCCCACCACTAACCGCAGCTTAAGTCGATCATAAAGGAGTCCATCTACCTACCCATCGTGTGCCTAAGGGGGAAGTGTCCTCAGTTCATTAACATTATTTTCAGCATTGGCAAAAGAAGAGACCTAGGCCTAAAGCTATACCTTAATAAAAATTATGCCTTCTTAAAGTATTACGGCACGAAGAAACTGTACAGTATATACGACTTAGACAATGGCAGTGTGCAAGGTTGGACCTGAGGAGGCGCCAAAGGATGTGGTCACCACTTGGTTGGCGCGCGATTTATTTGTCTGGTTGTATATTTCTCCGTGCAGCTGTCCCTTCACCTTTCGATTCACCCTTCGCTTCATCTATCGCTTGAGCTGTCACTTCACCTGCCGCGTCACCTGTCGATTCACCTGTCTTTTCATTAACACCGGTACCACTTGACAGGCCACTTGGAACTGGCACTAGACATAGTCAAGTGCAACCGGTCCATCCCCTACTTCGGGAGGGAGCCTTCCAAAATGGTAACCCTCCGTCCAAGTGCATTGGTATGCCCATGCCGCGCGCTACACAGTATCATATATAGCATGGGAATTCATGCAACTTTTAATTTGCCTATAGGGGAAGGAGGACCACTATCTTTTGGCAACAGAAGTTTCGGTCAGCAAAATGTGGAAGGAGATGGTGGAACACATGATGAACAGGGATGTGGACGCTTACGTGGAGTCTTTTGTAAGTTGATAAAAGAGGAACATAAAATGGACAAGCGGGAAAGGGGGAACTCCCCACAGCCACCACCGCCCTTTAACTTTACAGCGTTTTCCTCATTGAACGTTCCCTCCTCTTTTTCCTATACTGTAGAGAATAATGCGGGAAGATGGCTTCAGCGGAATTCCACTAACGGGTAAGGCAAAATGGTGAAATGCTCCAATGTGGTGTAGTGATTCCACACTTTTGTGCCATATATTTTATCGCCCTTTTTTTCTGCAACCACTTAGACGGGAATACCCCCCTGAGCCTGTTTGGTGGCTCAGCCAAGTATGCTTACGAGCAAGTGCCAATTCCATTAATATCCCCCGCTGTTTTGTTTGACTATTTCTACATGGAAGTGTTCCCTCGATATAAGAAGAGTAAGGGGACGCCTACAAGGAGCGCAAGGCTGCGGACACGTGTGTGTTTGTGTGTGTATGTATGTATAGTCCTCCTTGTATGTATACTCCTCTTTGTAATGTTGCATGTCGATGTATGTTATGACAAGCTGTGTAAGATTCACGTCGGCACGAAAATTTCCCTCCTGTTCAGGTAACCCATCATGGATTAGAGTCGTTAACGATTCATATGACAAATACCTGTGCAGGCACTTCCAAGTAATCCATGTGGATAAGACATAGAGGCACTCCAACAGAAAAGAGTTGCTCATTTGTGCCTCTGCTTTAGCATGTTGCCCCTTGGGAAAACTTCCATCCATTAAAAACGAAATTACTTGTTCTCAGAAGAAGGACATCTACGAAGAGATCCGAGCCTGCGCGCTCTTCTTCTACCTAGAGAGTATCTTTGTTAAAGTGGCCACAAGTTTTGCAAAATGTGTTATTATCCAGGAGTATACGTAAGGGGGAGGGGAAGTGTTACTGCGTTGAACTGTTTGGCTGCATAAGATCAATGGCATACCTACATGGAGTGTCCTTCAACACCGAGCTGTCACCTCCGCGTTCGTATGATCTGCACGTGATGCGTATTTTGCCTCACCCTGCAGGAAGTACACCTCGCCGAGGTACCTTGAGAAGCTGTTTGCAGGTGAGCCGACAGAGAAATTAAAGCGAAAAATGGAGGAAAAAAAAAAAAAAAAAACATACGGTACAAATGATGAGTAGAACAAAGCTGTAGACAAAGCCAAATCTTACTAAGGACGAAAATGACACACCACCGGTGATATCCCTTGTGGCTACCCCTCCCTCTGACATCTTAAGGAATGCCAAAGCGTAGGATCCAGTTCGACGACGACTTTAAATATGAAAAGATATCTGGGAAGAGCCCCCTAGACGTTTTCAAGTTGTTTGACGGAGATGAGGTCAGTTCAGAAAATGGTCCATTGAATTGATGCTATGTTTGCTCACTTGTGTTGAGGTCTGCATTTGGAGACGCCTCCACCCCGTTGTCCCACTTCTAATTACGGAATATGAACAAGTAGAAACACTAGGAGCGCCCCCCTCCCACGCTCTCTCTTTCTTTTTTCTCTCTATGCAAAAATTTCAGGTGTACGTAACACAGGACTCTTATGTGGTGGGAGAGGGGCTCATAGGGATTCTCATTTTTGGGGACGACCAAACGGACACGGACCTCGCGTGCAAGTAATGAGCCCTTAAGAGTGTTCAAATAGTAGCGAGCATGTGCGTGTGATTACGCATGAATAATTACACATACATAGTTGGGAAAATGTGACTGACTGTGTGTTCTTTTTTTTTCCACCGCGCAGGACGTACAACCGAGAAATAAAGGCGCAGCAGTGGATAAACAAAGGCATAGCCAAGGTTAAAAGCCAAAATTTAAAGGGGCTGGCCAAGGAATGCGGAAAAGGCAGAATCGACGGGACGGTTTCCTTGTCCTTGTTGTCTTTCAACCTAAGCGCGCGTAAGGAAGGAAGAAAAAATAAGTTGACAAGAAGGGGGCCAAATCGGAGATGGAAGTGCTCCAATTTGAGGCGTGACATAATGGCGACTTGTCCTTCTCGCCGATCTACCCTCTTTCCGGATGAAGAGAGATTCGCCATGGGAATCCTCCAATCACGTTACCCCATCGTTTCATGTCCCTCCCCGCGCAGTTGTCTCCTACAAGGGTTTCAAAATGTACGTCATTCCGTCCCCCGTCTTGCCGCTGACGGTTAGGACACTGGACGAGGTCACCGATGATCTCAAGCACGTAAGTGTGTCAGAAATTGGCTTGCAATTTTATTGTCATTTTATCAGTTTTGTGTCATTTTTGTTGTAATTTTTGTTGTAATTTTTGTTGTCATATTTGTTGTCTGTTTTGCCCAAAAAAAGGGGGAGAAAATGATGCAATGCAAAATTATACTTGGTGGTGCAAAAATGCATCTAGCATATGCCCCCTCACAAACACACACAAATGGTAACTTCTCCCCTGCGCAGGAATTGAGGCTTCTGGAAAGGGCCATCCCCACTTATGCATTGCTCACACGGATGAAGCGGAAGGAAGCATTCTTGGCCAAGTACCACTCGGAGGAGAATTACATGTTCTACAATATTAACACTATGTTCCTTGGGATGAAGAAGAGGCATTTCTCCATTTTTGAAGATCCACAGGGGGAAGCATCCGACATTGAGGTATGATTGGCTACCCATCCGTTTTGCTATGAGAGCGTTGGGGAAGCGTGATACACACAGTGGCAATAATCCATTCGCAGGTGTGTCCTCTCACTTTTTATCCACGTGTATAGGGAAGTACCTGTGTGAAGCTTCTGTCTCTCCACGGCCCCCCTTTTCTTTTCTCACCCCTTAGGAACAAAACAACCAGGGAGAGGGTTACAAGGGAAAATCTTTTTACTCAAATGATATGAAGGTGAGAGGGAACCTTGACCTCTACTATCAAGAAGTAGAGACAGATGGATGGGGTAGAAGAACACATGGGAAGAACTCAGAAAAATACATTGAGCGTGTCTTAAGGGAGATCGAAAGTCTTTCCTTTAGTGTCCCATTTGATAGTATCTCATTAAAAATGTACTTACATGGAAGGGGGTTAAAAATGAAACAACTTGGGAAGATGCTCAATTGTGTGTCTCTGAGGTGGCTATACGATATGATTGCAAATGAGATTCTAATCCGTTGTATTAAAAAGTTTGTCCATTTGTGCATGCGTGAGATCTGCTTGTTTTGTAAAGGGAGAGTGAATCAGTACGATCGGCTACATGGTGGGGAAATTTCCGCAGCTAACTCATGTACAGAGTTTGACTTTTCTGTGGAGTCTGATTTGTTAAGCGATGAGGTGGGCCAACTAAAAGGGGAGACATCACAGCCACGTTGTTCCGATTCAAGTGGATACAGCTCGACCTGCTCTGAGACGTCTTCTCTGCGTAGCGACGATACGGAGGGTACCTCCGAATGGGGTTGCAGCCATTATCTGCTGAGAAAGAGAGAAAGAAAACGGAAACTTTGCTCAAGGAAGAAGGCACTGATGTCATTTATAGGCATGAGGAAGGTGATGAGTAGGAACGTGCTACTGAATAGTCACATGGGAAGGGTCCTGAGGGGGTATGCCGAGCCAGGTGGATCCTCTTCCAACGGGGGAAGCAACCCACAAGGGGGGGATTCCCTTGTGAGAAAGCTCCTAAATTTTGACTCCTTCAAAAAGTACAGGAGCGGAGAGATGTACATATTAAAAAGGAAGAAGGTGAAGGGAGGCATAAAAATTGTGAGAAAAAAATACAAAGGAAGTGTAACTCTAATCGATATATTTGTCATTAATCTGTTCAATCTGATATTCGTACAGGAGAGTGGAACAGACAGGGATCTCCTAGCAGCTTTGCAAACCATATCAACAAAGTTTTTTCACACGAGTCTAGGCAACTCCGTAGAGGCAGATCAGAAGAATTACCTCTACACAAACTTGCAGCCTTGTTTGGGGATCTCCTTCTACCGTGCATCTCTGGATCAGCAGAGCGGGAAAAGGAACTCTCCTAATGGAAGATTTTCCATCCATCACTTGAAGGCATATCACACAAAAATTAAGAGGTCCATAAATGTTACGTACATGGATTTGCCAACCTATAAGTATACGCATCGACATGAAATGATACCTCTCGAAATAGCCAGCGAAAATAAAAAAATATTGTCCAACGTTATTTTTTTTACCATAATGTATTATCATCACCTCAGTGCCACTAACGAGGTGTACACGAGGGAGTTATTCTTAAAGCAGAGGAATCGATTCCCCAGAAGAAGGGGAAGCTCTGACCAGGAAGATCAAACCAGTGGACATAATAGCACATACACAGTCAGGTTAGACTCTCTCATTGCATCAAAAGACAATGTCGCTTTTTATAGTGACTCCAATTATCTAGCTCTTTATGGCTTCCTAAATATGGTTTCTTTGGGCGTACAGCTTGGCTTCTTCGAAAGTACTTTAAAAAGGCTTATTGCCCTTTTTCGATACATCCCAGAAAATAGTGTCATCTCGGTGCACGTCCGGATTATGTGGCTGCGCATGCATGCGTTGAAGGGGAGATATCCTCAGGGGGGAGGTATCCTGGGGGACGACAAGGCTAACGAGAAGAGGGTAGAGAAGCCCTATAAATGGGGTAACACAAAATGGGTGCCTCACCCCTTCCGGAAGAATTCCGTAGATGTAGAATCAACAGAAGCGAGTTTCAGCTCCGTGTCCGGCAGGGGGGTGTTCCTTCTTGACGACGAGACAGCTTCGCAGTGCGCGGATTGCTCTGCTTGCAGCGATCTTTGGAGCGAGACGTACGGAGAAAAATCGAATCTTGATCTCGATGACAAATGGAGTGACGTGTCGGACGGGGAAATGAAACAAATCGATCAGGCTGAGAAGTCCGACTGGACGGAGGCAAACCAGAAAATTTTCTTCCGCTCTGGGGACAAACTGGATCTCTACAAGGGGACTCACGAATGTTGCTCCGTTATCTTGAATAACTACTTTGTCTTCTTCCACCCCATGCACCTGGATTTCTACCTCTCCCTGGCGTGGTAGGCGCGGCGGTCGCGGCAGACACGGCGACGGCCCCCAGTGGTGGAAATAGCTCATTGGGTCGGCCGCTACTTGGGGAACCCCCTCCCCAATGAGCCGCTTCCCCAAGTGCTGCATTTCTCCACCTTTCACCTGTTACACATGTGTCCATTTGTGAACCCGGTTTCTCTCCCTCACTCCTGGCAGGTACAACAGCAGCGTGAATAACTACCGGGAGTTTCTGTTGCTCCTCCGAACGGCCATTCTTCTGCAGCTGAACATGAGGTTGAAGACCCACCCCGGAGAAAGGATCAAAGATGTGGTGAAGCTCACTGACAATTTTGAAAATCTCGTTTACCTTAACTTTGACGTTTCTTCGTATAGGGCAAACGGGTTGAGGAAGGAAAAAGAGCACTTGTTGTTGGAGAGGGTCCGAAATTTGTCTAGATTTTTCCTCAACAGTATATGCTACCCCCATGAGGATCTATTTCTACATGCTAACCTAGAGACGACGATGAAATGCTCCTCTGTGTATAGCATCCGCCTGGGGTGTACTGTCCATCATTTTGCGAACAGCTTATTTCATTACTACTACACGAATAGGGTGGTTAGGAAGTACCGGAATGAGAACTTCGTGATGAATGGGTCCCTCTGCTGCATCTCCGTTTTGGAGCATGTGCGTGATGTGTATCAGTCGTTCGGCGCGGAGAATGTGCACGTGGGTGAAGCGTCTCTGGACCTGGCGCTGATGGCTCTGAAGACTTACTTGAGCGAGATGCCCGAGTTTGGTTGGAACTGCGTGATGGCATACGCGCTGGCGAACGCGCGGCGCGCGGCGGAGGTAGGAGCGGATCATCAAGCGGCAGTTGTGCATATACTATATTGGGCGTGCCATGAATCTCCTTCGCGCCGCCGTACGCCACGTCTCACCACTTTTCATCGCTTTTCACAACTTCACACCACTTCTCACCACCCCAGACCTTCCGGCGGAACCTTGGAATAAACCACGCCGACACGCTACAGAGCCACTATGTCCTCAGCCTCGTCTACATGTATCTAGACAGTGAAAAGTGTCTGCATATGTTTGAAGGAATAAGTTACTACCTGCTCAATTATAAGTACCCCCATTCGGGGAAAAGCATCTTGAATCGCGTCTACTGTTATGTCCCAGATTTTGTCTTAACAGATGAAGGGGTTCACTCCGAAGGGAGAAGAATCCCCAATCGATGTAGAATAAAGTGGTACCTTCTACACTTCTGGTTTAGCTTTTGCATACCTATGAAGTACCTCCGAAAAATCCGAAAAATTCTGTTTCTGCTCTTTTCTGTGGAGCGGTGTAGAAGGAGAAAGAGTCAAGTCGGAGGGAGAAGCGCCTCAGCCAGACGAGGTGCTCGCTTTGAAGACGGATGGGTTAACCGATGTGATGACCTCCTTCGTGGGAATGTCCTCTGGGCCTGTCCAAAGAATGTCGATGAGGAACACATATTCCCCTACGAGCAGCTTGTCTCCTGCATACGTGGCTACAGACACATTTTACCCCTCCAAGAGTTGTTTAGCCAAATGGAAGAATACAACGGCCTGCTCAAATGTAATAAGCACGTGGTGGAGGATAGTACAAGCAGGATAGACCGATGTGACGATAGAAGAGGACTAGCCACTGTAGAGAGTTTCCATCATACGAATGATATTCGATTGTTACCTTTGCTTCTAAGCAGAGTCGACACAGAGCATAACAACAGGATGGGAGCCTTTTCTGATGGCTTCGTAAAAAGTGCTCTGAAGCACAAAAACGAATTTGCCAATTATGTGCAACATCCAGACTTTCGAAATGACGAGGCTGTGGAGGATTATCTGAAGAGAGAGACCCAAGAAAGCACAATAAAGAGGAAAAAAAGCGTCACAGATTATTACTTAAAAAAGCTAATAAAAATCGTAGAACAGCAAGTTGAGTTGCTTTACAAGAAGGAGAAATACAAACATGATACGGAGCTACATTTCTCCAATTGGACAAATAAAACGTGTGCAAGTTTGCCTTTACGGATGAATAAAGTAAAGAGAAGCGAAAGGAATAACGACACAGAGGATTGTTCCCTTTTGTGGAATAGAAGGGTGTCTTTCGGTAGCAGCCAAGCCGATACTGTTTCTTTCTTATGTTCAGACAGCGGCGGTGATTCCTCGCGTGTGTGTTCCACTGTCTATTCGATTGGCTCTTCGACTGCCTGTGGAGAGAATTCCTCCAGTGGGCAGAGGGACCATCCAAGTGCCCATAAACGGGACAGACACCGAACAGAGCATGTGCGGGCTACACAGACGGGAAAGTTGAGAGGTGCTTCCCTGGTGAACAACGATGTGCACGTCCTGATGAGCTTGCTGTATCACTTTCTCAACATGGAGAAGTTTCGCCTCTTATATTCGCGGGCGGCAGACGGGGGGTGATTTCGCCGTGCCGTGTTATTTGCATGTGTCGCTGCGTTACTCCGTGTAATCCCCGACGCGTTTTTACATATTTGTATTGTTTTTACTTTATTTTATTTTTTCTACTTTTTTTTTTTTCCACTTCGTTGTTATGCCTTTCTTCCGTTGTTCCCAAATGGGCTCACACGCACGGGGGAAACCCCTGCCACATAACTCTTCCCTCCCGCGCGCTAACGTGAAGTGGTCCCCCAATTGGGTGTTCCCCATCAGGTGCAGGCAAGAGGGAGCAATAGCTATGCGAACAACTGTTCTGATTGGGAAGGCTCACGTTCATCAGCGTGTGCGTTGTCAGATTTGCGATGTGAGCCGCGCCAGCTCGCCCCCAATACCGAGGTGTTGCATAGCGTGACAATTGTACACGTTCTTTTTTTTCACGTCCGCGGTTTCGCATAGAGTAGCTTCACCGGCGGATTTTCCTTGGGAGGGTTCATTACGAAATGGTCCCTTTTTTGCTGGTCAAAAAAGATGGTTCCATCTCATCGGAAGAAAAAAAAAAAAAAAGAAAAAAAAAATCGAAATGGGTTTCACAGAACAAAAGAACAAATGAAAAAAAAAAAAAAAAATCCAAAACGGCGTGTAAGCGGGGGCCGAAAAGTTGTATCTTCGTAATTTTTCGGTATGTCTTCTCAATTTGGCGATAGTGTCTTCCCATCGTCGCCACTTCTGGACGATGCTTCTTCTCCACCAGCCCACTGCTTAGGGGCGCCTCGTCCAGCAGGTGGGAAACCCCTCACGCGAAAACCTTAAAAAACTTGGTGGCCTTGAAAATGTCGCAGTACCTAAAGTAAAAATACTGGTACATGACCTCCAGATACTTAAAAAGGTAAAAGTTCAGAAGCTGGAAGAGGAAGAGGGAGACGTTTTGGATTTCCTTGGCGATTTTCTTCTTCTCCCGGAACACGAATAGTGCAGCGGCACACAGGAGGTTCTTGTATGCCTTCATCAACTGGAATCCGTGCGAAACATTTTTTTTTATTACCATTTTCGCGTTGTGTATGTACAGGAAAGGGTTGTTTAAAAAGTGCTTCACATTTTTCACACACACGTTAAGGAAGATGGAAAAGATATCAAATGTGATAAAGCATAATAGCATCAAATTATGAATTATGGTTAAGTATTTTTTTAAGTTATATTTTTCTGTGACATGCCTCTTTCTGTTTTCGTAAGACTTGAGGAAGGAATCGTATTTTTCTTGTATGTGTATCATTTTATTTTTTTCGATTTTACTGTAAAACCATTTCTTCGCATCTTCATTGAAGTTCAGGTAATTTTCATAGTTTTGTTTTTGCTCTTTTATTTTGTCCTTTTTCATTTTGCCAGTCGCCGTCTTGCTGGTGTGTTCTGGTGGGTTTGCTTTGTCGGCGTACTTGCGCGGTGGGATCAGCTTGGTGTCACTTGTGGGGTCGCTGTTGGGTCGCCGCTGTGTTGGCTCTTGTGGTCCCCCTTGTCGTCTGTTTCCGCTCTGCTACGGCGCGCTTTGCTTACAGGCCCCTCGTGTGCTTTCAGGGGATGGAGCTGCTGCTCGGGTACGTGGTAATAAGTGGGCATACAACGTTGTCGTAAGTGAACACACAGGCGAATGGCGATCACAAAGGGATGTGCACCAACGGAGAAGCGGCTCAAGGACGCCTAACCGAACGTCTCAATCGGACGCGACAGCCGCGATGAGAAGTGCCGCAAAGTAGATCTGCACACAGCACTTACAGTTGCAACGGAGAAAAGGAAGGGCGGGCAACGCAACGTGGCCGAAGGAGGAACGGCAGATGGAGAAAACAAAACTGGGAGGCATTCCCAATGGGAAACAAACGGCAACGTACAAATAGAGGAACGCAATTTTTCCAAACGAGTTAATTTCAAACTACACTTTCTGGTTAATTTTTCTCATAAAAAAAAGGAAGTGTGGAAAAAAAACAACTTGGCAAAACGGATTTGGAAAAAAAAAAAAAAACACCAATTGGTTATGTTGTTACGAACTGTGTAGTCACTGCTCCCGGGGGCAGTTACACGGATGATAGTTTAATTAAAAAAAAAAAAGAATAACGCGGAAAAGGAGGCGAAAATTTGTTGGAAAAATGGTGGGGAAATGACGAAACAATGTGAAGCATAAAATGAACAGAACAAATGCAATTTTTAGATCACTAATGGTGTATATTTACACGAACGTATTTCCACTTGACGGAAAAAAAAGCGAAGAATATTTTTATTTCCCATTTTGTTGAAGTGGGGATGCATGCGCGCGAACATTTTAGACACAGAAAAAAGAATACGTGTAACTGGACAAGCGTGCAGCGAGAGGGCGGGGGAAAGAAGAACCGACCAACACATGACCAAAAAATGGTGAAAAGGAGACCCAAAGATGGTGAAAAGACGACCAAAAGATGGTTAAAGGGCGACCAGAAAATAGTAAACAGATAGCCAAAAAATGGCGAAAAGGTGACCAAAACATGCCAAACGGTGGCAACAAAAAAGTGCTACCGGCGATAATGGCGATACGCAGAGCGCCCGAAGAGACATGTTAGAACTGCTACAAAAAGTAAACAGTGCAACAAGTGATGCGACGAAACAACAATTTCCATTCGTGAGGAAAAGGTGGATTTATTTCTTTTGAACCGTGTGCAACTTCTCCCTTCTCGATTATGCATATTTTTTCTGACCCGTTGCTAACTTGGGGTAGACAGGGTGACAACTGCCTCAGTTTCGTTCAGCATTTGTTCTGTAAGCCTATGTCCCCCTAGAACGAACACATACAAAATGGCATGAACAGCAAAAGGGGAAACGAACCAAGTGGCAGGGAACAGCGCGGCAGGGGAAAAAATGACATACCTCTCGGGGAAAGAACATGGGGGAAATACACTATATAATGCCAAACAGGTGGTAGTCCGTTCTGGACGAGTTGTCCATATTTGCGAGGATGGGAAAAACATAAAAATGCGCACAGGAAGTTATCCCCCAAGAAAGACACCCAAAACAGAAGATACCAAAGGGTACAATATGCCAAGTGGGTTGACCTGTTCCCAAAGGGACGAAGACGTAATGTCGCGCTGCCATCTGTTTTGTTAGGCATCTGTTAATTATTTCCCACCTGCATAGGATTTTGTAAGACCGTTTTTTTTTTCCGTTTTCCTTCTTTTTCTTCCATTTCCTCTTTGCGAATACTTCCACACATGGAGGACAAAAAATAAAAAAAAAAAAAATATAAACTCAATTTTTTAGCTTTTCCACAGAGCAGAAAAAAGAGAAGCTCATTTTTGCTTCTTTCTTGGCTGCGTTTTGATTTACACCCCTGAGATGAAACTTTAAAATGTAGAAGCCGAAACGAAGTGGAAGCATGTGCTTAGAAATGAATAAAATATGTTTTTTTTTTTTTTTTTTTTCCTGGCAATTTACACCCTAGTGGGCGAATTAATAGGGGTAAAAAAAATAGGGAAAAAAAAAGAGGTTCACAGAATGTACACATAAATTACATGTATATATTGCTACAAAAGTGCTACACGCAGGGGAAGCGTTTTATGAGGGAATTACAGAAAAGGCGGACCTCAGCCTTCTGCACGAAAAGAAATTTTTTATTTTTATTTTTTTGCTTGTGCCCACTCATTCATAAGCGCTTTTTATTCGCGTACATACCTTACCCTTCCGTTTTGACATTCTATTATTGTGCAATTCTGCTACTCGGCTATTCTGCTATTCCACCTTAGCACATTATTCCGTTTTACCATGTTAGTTTAAGCTGTTGTTTCACCTTCCCCATTTCGCCTTACAGGTTTATGTTACTGCCTTGTGTCCTTCTGTTGGGTTGCTCCCTTGGGTCACTCCTTTGGACCACTCCTTTACGTTACTACATTGCGTTGCCATACCGCGCTACTATACTGTGCTTCTGTTTTTTTCCCTTTATCCTTTCTTCCCCTTTTTTGTGCAAGAATACGGTTAACATAAGTAGGGAAGCGAGCAAGGAGCGAATCATACGCAGTTGCTGCAACAAGGTTCACTTCACTCTGGCAAAAACGGAGTAACATCCCCTTTCCACATTTACCACTTTTAACGCAGTTATTTCCCGTGTTTTCCTAATGACTACGGGTACCTTGCCGTGAAAAGCGAGTGAAACCCATAGTGGGAGTAAAGTGGGCGCCTCCTGGGCATACACCGCTTAGACGCACACCCACGTATTTCTGTACCCATATGCCCACACAACACCACCTACACGCGCCCCCTTCTCGCCCGCCCCCCACTTAGGCATTTATTTCCTAATCCTGTTAATCTTTTTCTATGCCTACCTGAGTTACCTGCTATACCAACTGCTAATAAGAAACGGAAAAGTTTCGCCAGTAGCCTCCGCCAATTTGACGGGGGAGAAGACTAGGAATTTTTTGTTCGTTTTTTTATTTTTCTGTCACATAAGTGAGTGGAAAACGGGGGAGCGCGAGGGGCGGATTAGCAGATTGGCGGTTTTAGCGCTTTACTGCTTTGTCGCTTTACTTCTTTACCGCTTCACTGCTTTACCGCTTTACCTCGTCCCATCGCGTGCGTATATGCCCACAAACGATCACTCCCCCCCCCTCCCGCAGGCAGAATAATATCCCTTACAATTTTGACCTACCTGGACATACGCTATTACGTGATTGACTACAACACACTGTTGTTATTTCCCAACTTTTATTTCTATTTAATCATACTGAAAGCCATTCCCACGTATTTTTTCTTGTCATCTTTCACGATTATAATACTTTTTTGGTCCCAAGTTTACTATGCGTCTATATTAGTGTCCGCTCCGCACTTACAGTAATGTTTTTCCCGCAAAGAATGAAAAAACGAAAAAGAGAGGGCCATTTTGTGTGCATTTGTGTGTGAACTATTTTGCTGAAAAAATTGCCTAGCTCGTGTAGGCGAGTAATCGCAATAGTGATAGCAGTTGTTATTTTGTCCTGTTTTGCTCTGTTCTGTTTTATTTTATTTTATTATTCATTTTTTCTTTCTCATCTGTCAGGTCGCTGTACATTTTCCTCAATGGCCTTGTGTACGCAGTAAATATCGTTTTGGCTAGCTTGAGCTATTTCACCCAGGCATTCTACAACTACATTTATTACAACTACATCCTGGAGTCCATAATAGATTACATAATAGCCATAGCATTCCTCTACTATGGAGTTAAGGTACGCAGGTGTCTTTGCTCATCTTCCAGTTAGCACTGCGCGAGTGTGTATCCTTCGCCACAGTTACAACAATTTTTTTTTTTTTTTTTCCTACTTTTGAAGGTGACGAAGAAACTGGAAGAAAAGAGCAAAGGAATTTCAAAAAGCAACAGTATCATAAAAAGGGTAACTAAGCTTAGAAAAAGAGACACACTGACAATATGAGTGTCCTTCTTCAAATTTCGATACGCCTACGTGTGCCAATGGGTACGAAAAAAAAAAGAAATATGAACAGTGTTGGCCGAATAACGTCAAATTTTTTTTCCTCTTTTGAACAATTCAGATACTCTCTTTGGCTATTATTATGTTTGTCATTTTGGCCCTGAAGGGATTATATTCCTTCTGGTGTTTCGTTAAGGATGCGAACTTTTACAACTCCTACTTGGATTTACCCACTTGCGACGCGATAGTAATGCCATAGGGGAGAAAGAACATTTTTGCTTCACTTCTCATGTTTATATGTATCCCTTATATGCGCGTTAGACATACATGTGAGCATCCCATTTTTTCCTTTTCCTTTTACCCCCCTCTGATAACAGTCTTATTTCATCTCAGAATGCATCCCGTCGCTCCTCATCATTTACACCTTTCAATCCAATAAGGACAAAAACGTACGGAAGGAAAATTACTGGCGTTTGCAAGACGTTTGAAAAAAAGATAAACGTGGCAGTGATTTCCTCGACAAGGCAGTTTTTTTATACATATGGGCGTACGTACAGATATATACCTTTTCGTATTTTTTTTTTTTTTTTCCTTCCTTTTTTGCTTCCCCCCTGCAGTCGATGAACTTCGAGTACACCACTCCTCTTTGTTCAGACACATTCGACCCGTATAATTTAAAATTCAAGAAGAAAAAGACAAAGAAGAAAACGAATGTGTAGAAGATGACGAGGGTCAATTTGTGCCTCCGTCTATCGTTTGGAATCGCGGGCATATGTGTGTGTGCGTGGGAAGGCCCCTTCCCATAAGTGCTATTATTAATAAGGTATGCGCGCGGAGAAGAAAAAGGCAAAGAAGAGAAGCGGGTCAAGGGAATGTATGAAGACCCCCTCCTCTGCAACGAGGCATGGAGAGGCAACCACGTGCATACGGTTTTGTGGCCCGTCTAATTTATGAAAAATAATGAAGTGCTTTACTAAACATTTTCGCGATACTTGCCCGTATCACCACGTTGATCGCCGCGCTGGTCACCACATCCGTCGGCGCGTCTTCCAGTGGCACCTCCTCCATTGTGACTGTCCTATTTGAAAAAACGTATCCGTCTTATTCACCCCTCAGTGACTGCGACAGAATGAAAGTAAAATTATTTGTTTAAATGAACAGCAAATTGTTTAATTTTTTTTTTTCTTTTTTGCTTCTTTTCTTGGTGAGGGGGGGCGGTGACTTCTCTACCTAGTAGAGTCATTCCGCGCAGTCGCCAATTTGCCACCCCAGTAGATGGCACAATCTCTTTTCATAATTTGCGAAAAGGCGGAAGGAATAATTCGATATCATATTTAAAAGAGGAGTCTCGTTGGGAAAAAAAAAAAGGTAAGGTCCGGGACATGAACACTAAAAACGTTTGCTCCATAAAAAGGATTAAATAAAAAACTAAGGTGTGGAGGTGTGTTCCAATACAGTGTCGTATTGCATAGGCAAACGGTTATCTTCATTTTTGTGTTGGCGTGATCTGTAGGGAGGTTGTGTTGGCTGCTTATAGGTCCGCTCAACTTTTTTTTTTTTTTTTTCTTTTTCGCTTCTGTAGTTATAGTCCTTGAAGTATCAGGCACATGTGCGGTTCCCAGTTCGCAATAATGGAGTTCTTCAAAGGGGAAAGAGAAGAATAATGTAAAGGGCGGAAATATGGGCACGTATATATGTGCATATTGTACATGCTCACTTTGGGCGCATGCTCTTATTTTACTTACGCATAGTGTTTGGAGCCTGAGGTTGAAATTGTTGGCGCTGGGGTAGTAGGATTCCAGGTTGGAGCACTTGACAACTGCGGTGGTGGGAGGGGGGGATGTGAGGTGGCGATGCAAAGTGGCAGTTCGAAGTGGTAGTTAGACGTGGCAGTTGGGAGTGCAAATTGCACGTGACCAGAGGATGCAGCCATGCGAAGCGGTTCTAACTGGTGTGATGTCACACAAAGAGATCTCGGAAGGAACGAGGTGGTACGCTAAGATGTCGTGCGGTGTGACTCGCCCCGCAGTTTAGCACATGGTGCGCTTCTTATCTCCTTCGGGACTCACCGCTTAAATCGTTGGGGCAGTCCGCCTTCCGTCTGCGCTTGAGGGGGTTCCGCTTGGAATGCCCGTACTTCACTTTGAGCGAGATGATGTTCAGCTTCTTGTCGTGCTTGGTGAAGATGTAGAAGAAGTTCTTGGACATGACCTGGGGGGGGAAGGAGTGATGTGAGGAGGTGAAGTGGTAAGGCGGTGGAGTGGTGAGATGGTAAAGTGTTCAAGCCACGAAGCGGCACGATGTGTATTTCTTAACGTGCTTGACCCTCCCGCTGGGGCCTACCACGACACTGAGGACGGTGAGGGGGCGCAGACTTATGCCGAGGGCACGCCTCTGGATCAACTTGAAGCGCAGGGCGCACTGGTAATATTTGTCAATGCCGAGGAAGGAAAACCGGTCGCAAGTGCAGACGTAAAAGGGGTAAACCTTGGAGCGCACTGGGCCATCGTAGCTATCGTCAAAGTAGGAGGAATTACGAGGAAGGTTATATTTTATGATATTCCCTGGGAGAGTAAAATAATGAAATTGATGGTTACTTGAAATATGGAGGATGGAAATGTTGTAAATCGAAATGAATTTGTTGTCTTCCCTTCTGTTGGAGAAGGACTGAAAAATTTGATCCAAGTTGTGTTGAATGGTAGAAAGAGCTAAAAAGAAGTTGTGCTTCTTCACCTGACTGCTATGTAAATATCGATCGAAATAATTGAAGTGGATTTTTTTCTTCCCTTTGACGGAGTTGTAATTTTTTAAAATTTCCACATCGACATTTCGGTAGTTCGAAAAGGCTTCCTTATAGTGAGGAAATTTTTCGAAATAAATATTTTTGGAAATGAACACTAATAACTCGATTAGGAGAAGGAAAATATTCAAATGTGTTTTCAAATTGTAGTACTTCTGAAACTTGTTGACACAAAAAAAGACAATTTCTTGTAACTTTTTAATTCGATCGAGGCGGTACGTCTTCAGCATAACGTGTATCTTGTCACTTAAGGATTTACAGATGCATATTATTCGGTGCAAATTTGTTAAATGCTCGTTTATATTTTTGAGGAAAATCTTTTCGTAGTAGTTTAGAACCACTTGGAAGTTCGCCATACACTTTTGTAGTTCCTTTTCGCTAAACTCTTGTAGAAGTAGCAGCAGATTGAGTGGGCATTTTTGTTCGCTATACATGAGGTATATATCTTTGATCAGGGAGGTGTAAATCTCTTCGTCACTTATTTTTTTTTTTTTTTTGGGGATCACATAGTTCAGTTCCAACTTTTCAAAATTGTGCACTGTCTTTTTCTGCACCAGGAGTTCGCAGCTGGAGCATATGTTCTGTCCGGGGGGAACGATGAATTTTCGGCTCCTGCGGAATTGCTCCTCTAGTTCGCCTTCCGACAGGGGCAGGTCGTCACTGTCATCGTCATCATCACCGTTGTTCTCTTCCGCTGTGTCGTTTGCTGAGTCCTCCGCTTCTTCCTTCCCCCGGTTGGCCATGCCAACTCTTTGCGGACTTTCAACTGCTGTCCCTTTTGTGGGCCGATGTGTGCATGCCACTCGTTGTGCGCTTCTAGCGAGCCGCGCACTAGAGCCTCTCCCTGCGCCGCCACAACTGCGTTTTCCCCCTGCAGAGACGATCTTCTCGAGTCTTCCCGCTACCCCTTGCTTATGCGCAATTCCGCTACCTTTCCTAAGGAAGCCATTTCTTCCCCTGTTCTTTGCCGCTCCCCTTTGAACGGAGGCGATTGTTCCATGACTACAGTCGTTTTGATTCTTCCCATCAACACGGTTGTAATAACATTTCGCGCTGCTACTTCGGCAAAGGGGCGTACCACACTGGCTTCTATGACTTAGGCTTTTCCCCTTCCCCCTAGGCTCGACAGTATCTGCGCCACGGCTGCCCTTCATTCTACTTATCTGACCTCTTGCAGTGGTCCCCTTTTTTGTGTCCATTTTTTGCAGACAACTGGTTGTGTTCTTCGCCCCATTGGCGCCATCTCTGGATTGTTTTTTCATTACCTTGCTTGGATGCCTCGTGAGGTGAAGCGTCCCACTTGAGCTGCTCAAGCGCCCATTCATGTCGCTAGCACATCGAGTTGCGGTGCCACCATATGGTATCGGAGCGGTGACGCACCCAATCGTGGGGCCCCCTTCGTAGCTGTTCAGGACCCCCCTCTTTATGTTCTCTTCAAACGGGTCTTCCTTCTTGGCGTCGCGCCGTGTGCCTCTAAAATGGGCCTTCAGACAGTCCTCTGAGAATTCCACACTTGATGCATCGATCTGATTTCCCATAGACGCCTCCCCCCCACTGTTTGGCCATGGGATCGCTCCATTTGTCCCGCCTCCGAGTAGATGAGTGTCTTCCCCCCGATGGAGATTCTTCTCCTGATGGAGCATCTTCCCCTGCTCCCCAACGACCATCTCTCCACTAAGAAACTTCTCCTTCGAGCATGAGCAGCAGATCGTGTTGTCGCTTATCATCTTTTTTATCACATCGTAGTAGCGAGAGAACTCTCTTTTTTCGTTTTCCTTAAAAAATAAGCTGTACAAATTTTCGTCAAAATTCTCCCTACGATTTTTAATATATTTGGAGAAATAAACCATGGTCCGATCCTTGTAGTAGAACTTCTTAAAGTGGCCATTTAATTCGACAATGCTTCGATAAATTTTGTGCATTTTCTTGTACTCATGAAATTTTGAGTACATGGCTGACATTTGTTGGTATATGTGAAAGATGCTCTGCAGAATGTTGGAAGAGTGTAGGAGGTAAAGGACTATTTTTTCCACGGATTTTAATTCTTTCTCCACGTCGCCAAATTTTTGCATCCCGAGCAGACATATTTTGTACTTGTGCGATGGCAGTGTAAGTTGGTTTGCCTTTTCTCTGTTCATGATGATTTTTTTTAGGTTTAATCTGTTGTGTCTTCTTCGGGGTTCGCTGTCCCTTTTGGAGAGACTGCCCGCTTCGATGGTCGAAATGGTGGACGTCTGGCTGGTCGTTTCGCTGGGCGGTACGATGGATGTCAGGCTGGCCACTTCGCTGAGCCGCTTCCATCGGCGGGGCTCCAGGCTGGAGAAGCGCAAGTATTTCCGCTTCACATGTACGTAGTAGTTGACTAAAACGTAGTGCTGCTCATTCGAAATGTACGATTGCTTGATGTCAATAACGAGGTCATTGAAGATCCTCTTAATGATACTCTCTCTTACGTCTAAATGGTGAGGAAAAGAAAAAGACTCAGTCGCACCCCAAGTGTGTGCATTGAGACCAACACGGAGACTGTTAACCCTGTTCATTGACGTGTTCAAGTTTTTCATTTTGGTTCGATGGCAATTATGTTTTTCCGACTTGACACAATGCACACATGAGTACTTATTTTTCGCTTTACATTTTTTTATAAATTCCTTTTTAAATGCCTGAACAATCTGATTTTTCAGCTGAAAGTACGAATTAATATTTTTATAAAAATGGTTTAAAATGTTGCACTTGTAAAATATAATCTTTAAATTCATGGAGCATATAATGTTAAACCCTACATCTAGGCTATGAATAATATGCACATTATCAAAGTAACTGAAAAGGTAATAATAGCCATTATTTTCTGAATATTTATTTCTGTGATCTTTTTCTACGTTAATCCAGAATATGTCCACAATTTCGAGGGGCATTTTTTCGTACTGCGCGTTGGAATTTAATTCGTTCACTTCTCCATATTTCGCAGTCTGCTTCGTCGAGGGGATGGAGAAGGAGTAATCACACACCTCTTTTTTTAAGCAAAAATTGTAATTTCCTAAGATGGGCGAATTGGATTTAATACTCACATTGGAATATTGTTTTTCCATCTCGTCACCAGTTGTCTGGTTATCATTCGTTTCGTTACCAGTTGCCTGGTTATCATTCGTTTCGTTACCAGTTTCCTGGTTATCATTTGTTTGGTTAGCATTTGTCTGGTCATCACTGTTTGTGTGTGTGCCGCTTTTCTCTCTCTGCTTTTTGGGCCTATTTATTCCACATCGGGTTATCTCTTTGGAGGGTTTATTCATGTTGCAATGACGGGCTTGCCTGGTGGAAACCCTCCCGTTGGGTTCTTTTTTCCTCTCTTTTTCATTTTCCACAGATTTGTACCTCCTTGCTGCTGTGCCGCTCTTTAGTACGTTCCCACTGAGGACAGGACCCCTTTTGTTTTTTTCCCTTCTCATAATAAAGCTGCTGCTGGGCGATTTCTTTCTACTTTTTATGTCTCCATTTTTTCTTGACCAGGTTAGGTGATTTTTTGGACCCGTTAATTTTCCGCTATTCGTTTTTTTCACATTATTGTTAAGAAGGGGTGCAACTGAATTTTCTTTCTTTGCCATTTTGTCACATTTAAATCTCTTTGTGGTGTTTTCACTCGGGGTGTTGCCTTTCACTTGATGTTCGTTATCGGCGCAAGTCAAGCTCGTCTCTTTTTTGCGTTTTCTTTTGGAGTAACCTGAACGAGGAAAAAAAAAAAAAAAAAGTGCAATAAAGCTAATTACACACAGCGATTGCATTTGTTTCGAGAGTGAATTCACAGGGAGACTCAGAAAATTAAAACGGCCATCTGTTATGTGATTCTTTTTTTCTTCTCATTGTATCATATGTCACATAATGCGTATCGGACATTATGTAACATCAAGACTCCTTTGATAGCATAACGGAACACATCGTCATTGTCTGCTTCTATTCCCCTTCTCGTCTCACCATCTTTTGAGGGGACAACCCCGCTCTGGGCACCTCTCTTTCTCCAGTACAAGCAATGCATCTGCTCATTTTTGTACACCAGGTTCCCCCTCATGTCGAGGATGTATATGCTTCCATTTTGACTCGTCACGCAAATGTACTTGTTGCAATGATTTATATAAACTTTGTTAATGCTGTCTGGAATGGTCTTTCGAAATATTTTCTGCATTTGGCTGTTCGAGCTGAACAGTTCTAAATTATAATCATTTTCGTAATACGTGATGATGCATATGTAATTGTTGTCGTTGCTTATGGTGGCAAAGATCATGTTGGCTCTGTGCAGCCGCCTGCAATTGATTGTATTTTTCCTTTCGCTAGTCATTTTGGTTTCGATGGGATGAAGTTAAAGTGGAAAGAAGGGAGAACAGATAAGGAACGAGTCAACAAGAAACGATGCAAAAAAACAGAAAAAAAAAAAAAAATGATGACCAACCTGCTAGTAAAGAAACTGAACAACCGAGTAAATGCACAATGGTAACAACGTGTTACGCTTTTTTCCAATTTGTATGTTCTCCTTCACGTAGGTAACGTGCATACGTAACATGATATGCATCCATATGTTGCGTTGCTACTTTGTAAATTGATAAGAAAGAAAAGCACGAAAAAAAAAAATTTTTGACACAAATGTTAAACAAAGGAATGACAAAAACAACATTTCCCTGGGGACGTCAACATGGACGGTTAGAAGGAAATGACAAAAAAGAAAAAAAAAAGAAGAAAAAAATTGCGTTTTTATGAATTGTCACAACGAAAATATCACATGTCGTCCGCTCCAACACTCTTGTGGCTAAACATAACCACGAATAGGCATTTGGTTCATTCGAGCAGTGTGGACAAGTTTAAGCGTTGTGTTCTTTCGTAATGTTCTGTTTCATTCCTACGAACTGGTAGAATTGCGCAGTGCGCTTTACGGATGAAGAAAGGAAAAAAGGGGGAGAGGTAGTGAAATGAATACGGTGCACGCAAGAAAAGAAAAAATAAGAAAAAAATAAAAGAAATTAAAGAAAAAATAAAAAGCGTCTACCACGTGCAGTTGCATAGTCCCTCTGGAGGAGACACGCAGAAGGAGCAAAGGGCGCAGGACGAGCGTGGGCAAACCCTTCATTCGCAATTTGCAGACTGCGTTTCGAGCGCTGTCCTCTCAGAGCCCTGCGCATACACACTCACGCACAACAGACCGCACATGTAGATTGCAACGAAGCATTTTTTATGATACGATTAAAGTCATCATATGAATAGACAACAGTGATGAATTCAAAATTGTTGGAAATCAAGACGAGGGGTAGAATCAATTCACAAATTGGTGATGTCTACTGAGCGGTATATACGCATTTATAAAAAAAAAAAAGAAAAAAAAAGGGGAAGGAGAGCGGGAGACTAAAGTAACTAAGCGAATGTGACAACTTTGCATTACCCAATGAAAAAATCCACCTACATGTGTACACATGTCCAGCATGCGATATATAGTGTGTACCTTTTTTTTTTTTTTTATATGCAATTAAATCGGTTCAGTTTTTTATGAGTACGCGGGGTCTTTCCAGCATGTACCATTTGGGCTACACGCTCCATGCGTCGTCGCTAAAAATGAGGAGCTGCTCAACAATGGGAGACTGTGCGGATTGGCCCTATGCGAGAAGTCACACGTTCTCCGTGTGACTCGAGAAAATTGTTACACATAATAGTGGCGCACAGGACAGCTCACAAAATGGGATGCAACTAAAAAAAAAAAGAAATATAATATCAAAGTCGACGTGGGAGTCAGTAGAGGCGAAGTAAAAATGACGAAATGATTGCACTTCCCCCGTGTCACGTAACTTCTTGCACATAAATTTTATTTTATGAAAGATGATGAAGGAGGGATTTGTTCTATACGTAAAAATTGGGGAGCAGGTGAAAAGCGCAAGGGGGGTAGGGGAGACCCTTGGGCGGAAATGTTGCGCAGAGGTTGGAAGTGAATAGTGGATGGAAATGACACGAGGGGTACGAACTAATACGAAGGATGCGCGGAAAACTCTAAGGGATAATCACAAACACTCCATCATGACACCTTTTCCGTGAAGTTTCAAAAGAACAAAAAAAAAGTGTACGCGGAAAGGTGAAACACAAAATAGCCAGCACAATTTTGTGAGGTCTGGGTGCAAAACAAATATGACAGCACATATACGGATGTGTATGTGTGTGTATCCATAAATGCTTCGACAAAGGGATTTTCATATTTCCAGGTAGCTTTCGAGCGGAGTTATGAAGTGCCGTAATGGTGCGAGGGCGAGTTACGCGGTTAAGCCGTTAAGCGGTAAAACAGTGAATCTGTTAAGCGATGAGGAAACTAAACGATGAGGCAACTAAACGATGGGGCAACTAAACGATGGGGCAACTAAACGATGGGGCAACTAAACGAGGGGGCAACTAAACGAGGGGGCAACTAAACGAGGGGGCAACTAAACGAGGGGGCAACTAAACGAGGGGGCAACTAAAGGATGGGGCCATTGAACTATGAGGCCTTTACACGATGCACTAACTCATTGATTCACAGGGGTAAGTCAAATTCTAAACATTGCGGTGGTGACAGATGAGGAAGCGCGGGCAAACAGGAAAACATGTACACACGTACCCGTGTACATATAAAAGTGGGGGAGGCGAACCCTTGCGCTTTATTCCCATTTTCCTCGGGTTTCGCTTCGGTTTCACTTGCAGTGCTTGGGGGCTGGTGTGATGAGACGGGCTTCATCCCCAAGTCGCCTCAAAAAAATGTGTGCCAACAGCTAAAGGCATGCTGCGTCCCCGCGGAAAAAGGAGTCATTTCGCATCGGGGGGGAGGAATAGTCTAAAAGGAGGAACATCTGAATACAAACTCATATTCGAATAAAGCGTGAAAAATTAAGCTATTCGCCAAAGGGCAGCACATGGAAAAATTAAAAAAAAAAAAAAAAAGTGTAAAAATTTTGTTTTACAAAGGGTGGCACTACGTATGTAATTTTGGGAAAAAAAAAAAAGAAAACAAATACAACAAAAATGGCCCTAAGAATGGCCCCAAAAATGACCCATAAAATTAGTTCAAATTTTACACAAAAAATGAGAGGCTTATTGAAGGGGACTGAAATATTTACACTCGTTAAATATGCCAGAACAAGTAACCAATCGCACACCTTTGGGGGGGAAACGCGGTTTGCCACATCTTGGCGCCCCCTGGGAGGAGGATATTTGCACTTGAAATGCCTATTTTTTTATGAGTATTTTTTCCAGGAGTATTTTTAGCGACGTATTCTCAGCGACGTATTCTCAGCGACGTATTCTTAGCGACATATTCTTAGCGACATATTCTTACAAATGGCAAATTGAGGTAGAGGCGACATGGCAAACTCTCCCCTCTGCTTGTTCCATGTTTCGTTGCCCCTATTTTTTTTGCACAAGGGGTTTACTTTTTTTTGCGCACACAATTTTTTTCTACACGATGCGCTACCGCGCCGAGGGACTTTTCGCTCCGTCGCCTCGTTAAGTTGGTCCTTCCCTAAATTTGTGAAATTTGCCACGTTGCCAAATGTGCGAGTTTTGTGAAATGAGTCAAACTTGTTTGGGTTTTCCCTGTTATTTTTTGCTTTTTTTTTGTGAAGTCTTTGGTTTTTTCTGTCAATTTTTTCCGTTTTTTCCTTTTTTCCCCTAGCCTGACTGAAGGTCCACGGTGCGAACGCATTACAAGAGCGTCTCACATCGATTGTGTAGAAAGGAGAGCGAAAGGGGGCAGCGCAATTTTTGCCTTGTTCTGAGCTGACACGGCAGCAATGTAGTACCTCAGCATCACGACTTGGTGGCTTAGTGGATCGTTTCTGGCAAACTTGGGTGTTACAAGAATTTCGCGTTGATGTGGAATATCACGGAAGAGAGGAAAAAAAAAAAAAAATAGCCAAACGCGTCCATGTGCAAGTTAAATTCTGAACACCTGGTAGGTAAACATATCAAGGCCGGGGTCGCGTTTTTCTCAATTTTCCAGTCGAATTTTTTTCTCGAGGTGCAACCCGTGTTCGAAGTGACAAAAAGGGTGGAGTTAAAATGGGCTAGTCGTTTATCGGGCGGATTTTCTCCAATTGGCTTTCTCAAGTTGGCCAAATAGCTCCAATTTGTTGGCGTAAAGGGGGGGTCGCATTAGCAGTCGTAGTGGTAGTAGCGGCTGGTGTGGTGACAATCGTGGCTGCGTGAACAAAGAAGGTTTGTCCGCCCCTTTCCCCAGGGCACACGGTATGAACATCATCTCGCGGCTAATCCCGCTGTTGCTGACCCTGCTGCACTTTGTGAACAGTCAATTTAGCAAAGACGGAGGGAAGGATGCCAATAGTGGAGGTGTACCCATCAGGCAATATCACGTGGCCGGGAGATGCTTCATTGGTGCCTCCACCCCCAATAAGCGTTACCTATTTGGGAAAAACAGTGGAGTTGTAAAGAAATTCAAGACAAGTTTTAGCATAAAGGATCTCCAAAATGTGCTGAAGAACATTCCACAGATAAATTATCCCATTTTGTCTGCCCCACTGGGAGTAATACTTCGTCTGAGTAACATCTTGGCATTCATGTTATCTCTAAACGCGTTGAAGCTGATAAGGAATGAACATAGAACTGCTCTGACGGACATAACTGATAACATAAGCTCCAGGATATTTTTGCTAAATGCGATAAATGACGTGGTTAGGAAAATGCCTGAGGAGGCCCCTCAGTTGTGTAAAATTTCCCTCTTCTGCGTCGCCCAATTTTGTACACAGTTTTTTTTTTCGCGCGTAACTGCGTATTTGTTTTACGCTAGGGAGGAGAGGGGTGTCATAACCGATGGGGGAGATAACGGACGAGTGCTGGTGGAGAAAGAGGGTCAGAAGGAGATCCACCTGGACGGGGAAAGGGATGGCGTCCCGCCAACCGCAGGGGTCACTCCGCAAGAAGAACAGGAGAAAAACAACGCCATAATAAGAGCCGATCTGAATAGCCTAAAAACAACGAAGCATGAGGAAGACGCGGGAAAAGCAGAAAAAATAAACATGCTACAGCACATGTGCGTGCTAAACCAGTCCGGACTGATACCAATATTTGTCTACGGAAACCTGTCGAAAAGGCTCCACTATGAAGAGAAAAACATTTCCCTGTTTGTTAACTGTTATGTGATAATTAGCGGCATTTTATCGAAAATTTATGTAAAATTCTTTGTAAAAAAAAGAAAAATAGACATATCAAGCGATGAGATGAAGGGAATTTGCCTATCGTCCATGTTCACTTCCCTTTTGAGGAATTCCTATTTTCGCTTCCTTTGCATTTCGATTTTTTTCAAAATTTTTAACAAAGCTAATGCATTTTATGACCAGTTCATCAAACAGTCAACGATTATGTTTAACACCATCTTGACTCCATCTGTGTATGTAATCCTGTCAAATATTTTGTATGAAGGAATTAAATTGCCTTCTCCTGTATCTTTTAAAGATCTTCTATTCGTGTTGCGAAATAGATACCTTTTGTTTCCTTCCCTCATTTGGGCCATGCTGCACGTGAGCAATCGCTACGGAGTTTTTAAGGTATCGGGTGAAGTGACATCACGTTGAAGCGAGTCGATGCATAACGATGGAGCGCAGAGGGGTGGATATTTCTCCTGTCTGTGTGTCGAGGACTAGTAACTCATTCGTCCCTTCCAAGCGTTCACATTGAGCGACAAACCATTTAAATACAGCATCACGACGTTTTATTTGATTTTCTCATGTTCCCCCTTTTGACCCTTTCTCCGCCTTTTTCCACTTCTAAACTTTTTTTCCCCCTTTTTCCTAGTTTGGCAAAAACTTACAGCTGTACTTCCTACTCCAAGCCATGACCCCTCCAAACTACAACCTCTTCCATTTGGCGGTAAGATAACAAAGAAAGGATAATGAGGAACCATTTTGCGACATTTTAATCAAATCAAAATGGTGAAGTATGTGTATGCACGTTGTCTATATAGCCCTGTACATTTCTTATGATTTTTTTTTTTAATATAATCCCACCTCTTTAGAAAAATTATGGAGAGCCAAAGAACATTAGGAAGATCCTCAGCGTGTCCTACCCCTTGTATCTCGTAGCCTTATACTTTTATGCCCTAGCCCTGTTTAGTTATTTTAAGAATTGAAGGGGGTAATGAACGGTTAAGCGAGCTGTACCCTCCGCCACCATCCGAATAGTCCATTTGGTTCCCCTTTCCCAGTGGCTTCTATTCTACGAGTTTACATTGATATGCCAGTCAACCCAAACATTAGAAGGCTTCCCCGGTTCACTAGGATGCAGTAGAGGAGGCACATCTCACCGGGAGCTGTCTTGTCCTAATGAAACACACATCCGAACGGTAACACGGAAGAAATATAAGAAATATTTTTTTTTTTCCTTTTTTGTCTGAAGATCATTGCGTTACTCATTTTTGCACAAACCTGGGTGCGTATGTTGGCGGTGGGGTGGGGGCGTCGAAAAGAAGTCAGGGGAGGGGACCCACTACAAAAAAACTTAATTCATTTTCACGTTTGAACTTTTTTTGTGTTCTACAATGTTTCTATTTATGCTCCTATTTATGTTGCATTTTTTATTAAAAGAGGGAACGCGATGTCAACCCATGTTGTTATGGTAACATATTGCCGCCCCCATGTTCCCGTGTTAACGGAGGAGGGAAAAATATGTTTTGCCCCTTCTCGTGGGGAAAGAGGCTACCCTCATTGCATTTTCGAAGGCGCTGATTAATCGATGAAGACGTTAACTCGAAGGTGCCAGGAAAAGTAGCGGTTTTATTACCCAAAACAATGCATGTGATTATTCTCATGCTGGGACGTTCTACTGTGTGTATGTATTTGAGAAGAAATAGACAGGCAGGTATTTACCTACGCATCTGCTTTGTCCAGAGGAAGGGACAAATGGGGACGTTGCATCTTCTCTGTGATCACCCTTAGACAGGATTAATGGTTTTCTTCCCGTGTCGAATAAATTTCCTTTTTCCCGTTTGGAGGTGCGCTGCGTTGCCGCCCACATTTACCTATTTCCCTTTATGCGTATATTTCTGGGGAGGCCCTATTATTTCAGCTCACGTCTGCCTATTGGGGGGCACAGTCATACTGGCAGTTCCGGATGGCAGTTCCAGTTGACAGCTTCGGTTAGCAATCCCCCTTTCGGGCGTCGGCTTCGCGCAAATATTTGGAGAAAGTGATTGCCGAAATTATACGGTCTATTGATTGATACAGTGTTTTTTTTTCCTTCTTTTTTTTTCTTTTTTCTTCTGTTTTTTCTTCTTTTTTTTCTTTTCTTTTCTTCTTTTCCCCCTTTTGCGCCCCTGTAACACTGCGGTGTACGCTGTACACAGTGGCGGTGGCAGTTAAACCCTCCTCGGCGTCTTGCGAATTCGTTAATTAAGATTTCGAGGAAATTTAGAGGCCACCAACAGGGAACCCAGGAAAAAAAAAAAACAAAAGAAAAAAAAGAAAAAAAACGAATTTACAACGTAACAGGAAAAATGCATAATCCACCATCCGATCCAAATTGCATAGGTAATTTTTTTTCCTTTTTGTTTAAACGCTTTCTTTTTTTTTTACGGTTAAAAGGTGTCGCGAAATGGAGAATGCGTTATAGCAAATATATTCACTTCACGCGAACACCTGAACATGGGCAGAGGTTCAGTTAAATACGGTTGCGTCGGTGTGCGGCATCTTCACACATGAGTCATATGAACGTTTGTTATGAATGGCATTTTGTGAAGCAGTAGTATCTGCCGAGCCGTTTTGTTTTTTCCCAGTGGCATTTTTTTTTCCGTGGTTATAAATTAAATATTTTTAATGTGATAGTGACACTTCGGGGGGTAAACAGAAAAAAGGACGAAGAAACGGGAAGAGAAAAAAAAAAAGCAGAAACTGCCATCTTCTGACCACCTTTTACCTACCGGGGGTCATATCACAGTAAAGGAGAGGTGTGAGTCTGTTTTCCCTGCGAGGTTACAGAAGGCTGGCACGAAATGGGCTCCAAAATAATGCTTCCCTTGTTTTATTGTCCTGCATCGCCAGATCGTGTAGAAGATATATGAAGCAAAGCTCGCTTCGACTTTTGTATGGCGGAGCAATTGTTGGGAGTCCCCCTAGTCGTTTTTCGTGACGAGGCAACACAGCGAGTTTTCCCAACATAGTTGTATAGCATAACCTCGCCGCTTATCTTCCCCGCTTATCTTCGTCTCTCCACCCCCCTCTCCACGCGTTAACCGAATCGGAGGGGGCGTAAAATGACGGAGGCGTCAAAATGGGCTCTGCACAATTACCTGCTTCCCCTGCTTGTCATTCTGCTCACCTGGGGCGATGGGAAGGCCTGGGTTAGCTGCTTCAGCAGGGAGGGCCATGAGGCCATAGGGATGGTTGCCATGTCCGGGATAAAGAGCGAGCAGCTGTACGAACTAAAAAAATTGTTAAGCGGAAAGGACATAGTAGACATTGGGAAATGGGGGCACCTAGTCCATGACAAGATAAAAGGAGCGGAGTCGATGCATTTCAATTTACAAAAGCACGACTGCAAGAGGGCCGTCTTCAAGTGCGAAGATGAAAATGGCTTGTGCATGATAAACTCGATAAAGCACTTTTACGGGCGGTTGGCTGGCGGTCACTCGGGGAACAAGCCAGGAAGGGAGTCAACGGGGGAGTCAGGCGGTCAGCCGAGTAAGGAGCCAACTGAAAAGCCAATCGCTCAATCAACTGAACAGCACGGGTCAAATTCTTCCCCCCCCGGAGCCAAGGCCATCCACTTCAAGTACCCCAAAAACATCGCCTTCACAGACGCAGATGCCCTGAAGTACCTGGTCTCCCTCATCGCGGACATGCATCAGCCATTAAGAATAGCATACCGATACGACAACGGAGGGAAGGACATAAAAATCATTCACCACGATGACTCCAAAACGGTCAGAACGAACCTGTTTGATTATATGGAGAGCGATCTAATCAACAAAATGATAAAGAGATACCAATCAGCATGGTATGGAGGTTGGACACATGTTAGTCGGCTATTGGACGAACATAAAAAAGACGAAAAATTATTTAGTGAGAAAGGAATCGATGCGATCGATATCTGGGGTGAGCAAATTGTGAATGAATTTTGCTCCGAATTTTACCTGGACAGCTATACAACCGATTTTATGATTGCGAAGAATGACGAGTTGCATTTTGATACCTCCAAGGAGATCGAAATTACTTATGAGTTGGAGCTCCACTTGGAGAGATTGCTCAAAGTTAATATTTTGAGGGCTGGCTCGCGGATAGCCATCGTGCTTAACAGCCTCTTCGCAAATAGGAAGTTTTCCAGCCTGAGGAAGAAGTCCGAGTTTGATAGAGGTGGGCATGAGAGGGTGTGCCTGAGCCACTGATTGCGTAATACCCCTAAGCGTGTTGTTGCCATGATGCTGTTCCTCATACATAAATACACCCACCCAGAGACACGTGGACCCATTTGAGCAGGGGACCACCTGAAATTTGTTAACACTGCTCTGCTCTCTGCTAACCTCCAGGGCTGCTACTCACATGATTCACTTTTCTCCCTTCTCCTCACAGTCGAGTACGAGCAGCTAGAAAAGCACAAGACGGCCTCCGTATATAAAAGAAATGCCATATTTATAAATTTGGCCATCATTTTTCTAGTGTTGGTATGGACAAGGAAAAGATAAAACAAAGCAGGGGATATCTGCAATTGTCGCGTCTGTCTTTATGAGCACATGTGTACTTGATTCGGGCACTCCCTCACCTCACCAGATATATTACGTTTATGGGTTTACTTCATTGCTTTTTTTTTTTTTTTTTTTTTCTCTCCGTTCAGGCCGTGATACTCTACTTCAACTTCATTCTTAACAGAAAGAATAAAATGTACCTCCCGAGCAAGGCGGAAGAAGTCGAGTTGGAGGCTAAGTGCAATTGACCATTTTGGTACAGCAAGACGTGTGCATGGGGGGAAGGCGGATTACACTGCAAATAAATTGGAAGATAGGGAGCTTTAGTCCTTTGTCCCTGCAATTCCCATTTGGTGATAACACTATGTCCATCTGCTGCACTCTTGATTGAGTGCAAAACTATGTGACATCTCTAAATGCAGGCTGATTTGTTCCCCCGGAGTAGTCAGCGTGTGGGAGTTTGCTAGAACATTAATTGTGCTTTTTTTTTATTTATTCTTGTTTTTTTTTTGTTCTCATTTGTCTTTCTTATTTTCCCCTTCCCTTCCGGTCCACACATGGGCCTCCCATTTGTTTCGTGTGTCGAATTTTATTTTCAATGCATCCACGGGGATTGCAAATCTCAAGTGGGTGAAAGATTTCATCCCGTTCCTTATCGAACGTGGAACATTTTAAAAAAGGAAAAAAATATATTTTATGTCCACTTTCAATCTTTGTGAGGTGCTTCAAGTGGTAGTAAGGGTGTAGAACAGCACGTGTTCGTGTTCCCCATGGATTGTTACGCAAGCGAATGGGCATGCCACCACCACGCCAGTGCTTCATCCTCCTGTAAGACGGGTGGTGAGAGCCTCCGCATGATAATCCTCACAAGATGGATCCACTCAAAAATCTTCAACTGGTGTAATTGCGGAGAAAGGCATCATATCCCGTTCGCGCTAACTGCTGTACGGGGGAATATAATCCCTAATTGGACTTTTCCAACGGATGTCGATTTTTTTCGGTTATTTTATTGCTATTTTTTTTTTTTTTTTCTTTTTGGCAACTTTGCCCTTTGAGCAAAGCGCCCTAGTAGGCTACTGTGTGAGGTTAAAGAAATAAAAAAAGGAAAAGGAGTCGCACTTCATGCTTCCCACTTTTGAAAAATTTCTTAAAGGGGGAACGAAGCGGAGCAATACAAAAGGGAAAGAAACCTTTTCCTCTTTTTTTCCTGTTCTTCCCGTTTTATATTTTTCTCGTTGGCGGCTTTTATGAGGTACCTACCTAGCCCTGCTGCGGAAAAAAACTGACATAGATGCTCACACCATCAAACATACCACCGCGCGGAGAAGAAGGGACGAATATAGGGAAAAAGAAAAAGTCACGTTAATCGATGGCTAAGTCGAAGGGGAATCGACTAACACTGACCCTAATTATAGCAGCAACACTTGCCGGTCACTTTTGGGAGACATGTTTTGCATATGTAATTAGGCAGGGAGCTAGCTTCCGTCTAAGGCGCTACACCCTAAGAGGGCGGAACCCAAGTACCGCCGTTCGAATGTCAACTAGCCAAAATGAGAAGGACCTAAAAATTGTTCTATATCCAGACCCGGTGCTTCGGAAGAAGTGCGACGAGGTGGTGAACTTTGACGATAATTTGAGGGTAAGAAGGAGGTGCACCAGGCAGGTGAAAGAGACGCATCCAAATGACCCATATGCATCACAGCCCGGACGCTTCCCCCTTTTGCTTCCTCACCGCAGACCCTCGTCAGGAGCATGTTCAACGTGATGTATGAAAGTAAAGGCATGGGGTTAGCAGCTCCCCAAGTTAACATCAGCAAGAGGATAATCGTGTGGAATGCACTCTATGAAAAAAAAAAAAGGGAAAATGAAAGGGTATTCATTAATCCCAGCATTGTGGAACCAAGTTTAATTCGATCCAAATTGGTGGAGGGGTGCTTGTCATTTCCAGACATTGAAGGGAAGGTAGATCGGCCAAGGGTTGTGTCGATTAGTTACTACGATCTGGACGGCAATAAACATTTGAAAATTCTGAAGGGGATCCATGCAAGAATATTCCAGCATGAGTACGATCACCTCGATGGCGTTTTATTCATCGATCGATTTAGCCAGTCGGAGAGACATAAAGTTCGAGCCAAGTTGAACGAAATGATCCGCACGTTTAGGAGTAACTGCGAAGGGGAGCCCGCCATATGAAGTGGGTCCAAGGGCGTACCTCTCCATTTATGTGCCTAGGGTGCATATCTAATTTGGCCATCCACACGCGGGATAGCTTCTCCGGTTAGGCCCCAACTGACACGATAAGTCTACTTTTATGGGCGAAAAAAAGGAGCAAATTAAATAGAAGTAGAGAATTGCGCCCCTCCCCAGAAAAAAAAAGTCATAACGATGGAAGGAGTGGTAACCGGTGCAGCCGGAAGCTGAACTTCCTGGGGGCTAAAATGTACGCAAAAAAGAAAAAAAGGAGTAAAAAAAAAAAAAAGGGGGGCAAACAGCAGGGAAACATGGGCGGAAGAAGGGGTGCGATTTATCCCCCTTACGTGTTCATCCCAGCTACTCGCCGTCTAACGTGCCATCTGACGTACCCCCCAGAGGGGCCTACGTATGGATGGCGCTCTTGTACTTTTTCGCAATGCGGTTGGAAGCGATGGTAGTCGTCTTCCGAAGGGACGCTTTATTGGATGATGTTTTCTTCCTCAGCATATGATTCCTCCCCGCTTTTTTTCGTATCACCTTTCCATTTTTTGTTATTTTAAAGCGCTTCGCAATTGACTTGTTCGTTTTGGGTTTCACGTTTGTGTTCCCACGAACGTACAGATTGGAGAAACGGACGTTGCTCTTCTGCAATCCATGTTGTGCGTGTAAAAATAGCGTCGCCTTTATGTGTGTTCGCTTTTTATTTACACATTTGTGTGTGTATCTATTTTTCAATATGTGCTTATGGAGATCCGCTTTTTTTCTCAAGCTCTTGCTCAGTATAGCACTACCCATGAGCAGTCTTTCATTCCTTCCGTCGTGGGGGAGCTTTTCTGAATAGCCAAGTCGGAGCGCGAGGAGGCACACGATAAAAATGAGGAGGCAGCACGTCATGCTTCGTCACAATGCGGTCATGTGTGTACGTTTCTATTGCTATGCCTATATATTTGTGTGCCCATGAATATATTTTTTTTTCCTGCGAGGGAGTATTTCCACATTGGTTCCTTTTTCGTGTGTGTCTCCCCGCAAGTGAATACTCACTCGCGCTGCTATTCCATGTAGCTATACAGACTATTTGTTGGCGACGTCTTCTGCGCCCACATGGTGACTGGGTCTCCATTGACAATTTTGTAAAAGGTTTCCTCTTCCACGAAAAAAAAAAAAAAGAAAAAAACACATGTCACAGGTCACATGTTACACATTTCTCAGCCCAGTTAGTCATAGGTATAAGAAAAGGAACATTTAATACTCGACATTGGAAAAGGGGGGTTAATCTGATTCGCTTCCTCCGACGGAGTTTTACATTTCGATATATTTACTTCGCTCCATGTGGCATCCTTCTAGACATGGCACATTTCCATGGCACGCTTGGTCAGTTTCGGGGAGATTTTTGCTTCTTTTTTTTTAAGATTGTCACTTTGGGTGGCTACAACTGAAGGGGCTCAGTCCGGGGAACACCTTGAAGGAGACCACTTCCCAGCGCGCTACACCCCTTTGCGCAGAAGAGAGGAGGTGCTTCCTTTAATGGTGGGTACCTCCGCTAATTGCTGTGGCCAATTTCGTGAGTGGCTAAACGGGTGCTTCACTGAACGGGGGGCCACACTGAACGGTGGACAAATGAGCGGTGGCTGTTTTTACCCCTATCCGTGTGCGCAATACGCCATACACACGAATGCCCCTTCGCGCTGACGCCCTCTTCCTCATCCCAATGGACGTGTGTTAGCAACCACGCTTTTTTCTGCCTCTTCGCATACTGCTTCCTGTTAGGGCGTGATGCAAAAAAAAAAAAAGGAAAAACACGAAAAAGCGGAAATACAAAAAGGGAGAGGGGAAATGGGAACATTTATCCCATGCGAAAAGTTCCCCGTTTGGTTAAAGAAAAAAAAAAAAAGTGTACGTATGGACGTATTTATCGTAACTTTTGCCCAAAATGGGGCAGTCACTTAATTAAAGAATAACTCATGGGAAATTTTTGGGGGGAGGGTTGTCGAGAGGGCCTCATGAAACCTCCTATCGTATACACAGTCGGTACAGCTTCATGGGTATAATGAAGCATTTCTCTTCATTTCTCTGCATATGGTGAAGCAGGCGCGAGGGAGGGCGCACACGCGCCTGCCTACCCAATAGAGTGAACTACCACGAGATAGCTTATCCCAAGGAAACACGCAAAAGGCAACAGGATATATGAGTTCCCCCATCGCCGTGAAAATACGTGAAGGGGGAATAATTAGTAAATAACTTCGGAAGAGCTGGGACAAGATATGTCAATTTTCGAAACATGGCACAGCCTGTTTGCGGGACGGTAGCACCATTTATGCGAGCCGCATTCATGTACAATATACACGGATAAATGTGCGGAGCGCTATGTAACGGGCCACCACGGCTTGCCTTACCAGACTGTCTCGCCAGTTAGCTGTCAATTTGGCTGCCCCAGAAGCAGCCTCCTTGCACCGCCCCTGGGGCAACCCTCAACTGTGAATGAACAAATCGGCTCGACGAAGTAAAGCAAAGGTCAAAATTTGTGCCTCGAACCCACCCTTTTTTATTTTTCTCTTTCCATAGAAAAAAGCAAAAATTTCAATTTATTTTCTTTAAAAAGTTGTTTGCCTTTTTTTTTTTTTCTAAAAATAACTACAAAAGGGGGTACTACAATTGTGTTATGTTATGTAGTTGAAAAAGGGAAAAAAATAAGAAAGAAATTAGTACGCACAGGATTTACAAAAAGTACAGAAAAATTAGCAGCTCTGAGTGAATTGATTTGACATATGTATCTTCCTCTGGGAAGAATTCCAGCTGGACGTTCATCTGCGCATGAGTGATGCGTATGCTCTCTGCTCGAATACGTCGTAGTGATTTTCTTTCTCTTTGGCAGGCTTGGGAAGGTGGCTCATCTTAACGTCTGTTTGAGTATACCCTGTATGTACACATATATTATATATATTTATGTATATATGTGTTAGGGATCTACGGGATAGGCTTTTCCCTGTTCTTTCCCTGAGTAAATTGCCTCACGTCGTGTAGAGGTCTCCCTCCCATGCCCCCTCTTAATGGCGAACATCTGCTAAGTGCAGAGAAGACTCCCTAGGGCTACATCTACATGCATGCGTGTACATTTGGTGCGCAGAGAAGCCACATAATTGACGCGGTTGTACCGATATATTTGCTGTGATTTGTTGGCGAGTCTCCACTGTAGCCTGAGCGTCCAGACGCCAAGCGGCGAAGGTTAACCCAACAGGTGAGGCTATGCACATCCGTCTCAACCGACGCCCAGAAGTCTGACTGGTGCACTTTTATCATGTCATTGGAGGAGAAGTAGAACAAAGGAGCTAAAAGGAAAAGAAAAAATATAACCAAGGGATAAAAAACGCGGCAAGAGGGGAAGCTCCAGATAGTGCAGTTGTACGAAGGAGAGAAACCAAGACGTGGTTGGCGCGGTAAACCTGACAGACACGCCCGGCTAGTGTCACCGCGGGAAGTTTCCTCCGGGAAGAAGCGCCCCATCCGTGTGTGGATAACTGGATCCCCCATTCTACGCAAAGATACGAACCGCCACTTATAGATACGCTTCGCAAGACATAGCCAGACTCCTCTGCATCCATAATGGAAAACATCCTGAGCAAAATGGACAAAATCGAGCCGTACGATCCGAAGGTTAAGGAAGAATACAACCAGTTTAAGTACGACGTAACAAAGCAAGCGATCGAATCCCTTAGAGAGAGAATCCCGAAAAGGATAATCTACTTCAACACACTGGTGAATGTAAATGCAGAGCCAGGATCTATCCTAGAGCTGAGTGACCTAGATACAAACACATACAGATATACATCAAATCAGACGGAGAAAAACATACGGAAGAAGCATAAGACAAATGATCACGACGTCATTGAAAAGAAGAAAGACTCCATAGAAATCAATACAAAAAATGATGTAAACTATGAAGAGAAAAAAATAGTAATCGATGAAAATGTTATATACACTCACTACGTTCCTTCGCACAAACAAATAAGTGCAGAACTGGAAAAGATAAAAGCTTATTCGTCGGAGCTTATCGAAATCATAGGTAATATAAAATTGTGGATTCAATTGAATGTCCCCAGAATTGAAGATGGAAATAATTTCGGAGTGGGCATTCAAGAGGAAGCTATACAGGAGCTCGCTAGGGTCGAAGAAAGTGCTTTCAATTTATATGATGCTATTGTGAAGTACTATATGGACAGAGCAAAATTGTCAACCAAAGTTATTAAATATCCCAATGTGCATGACTACCAGGAAGCTGTCCGAGAGCTGGACAAAAAGCAATGGATTTATATCAAAATTACCATGATTGATATGCGGAACAATTATATTATGCTTTACGATCTGTTGTGTAAGAACTGGGAAAAGGTCGTGAAGCCCAAAAATGAAGATGCCCATCATAGGATGACTTTCTAGCTGTCCCTTAAGCGGCGGGGAGGAGACTCCCCTAGTTTATGTATTACCACCATTTTGCTATCGCTACTGCACAGATGTGAAGCAGTGAAATTAAGTCGCCTGTTATCTGGAAATGAAGTGAACATTCTGCAAGGAAGATCTGCTGTTCTGCCCCCCCATACCCACACAGAGACATACACCCCTTTAAGAACATCTGCACAGGGGAGGAGGGATCATCATCAGGGGGAATATTCAAAGGGGACAGAAATTGCAGCGAGCACTCCAACTTGGGGGGGAGCATATAACGCGTTTGATACCCATGCGTGGTTACGAAGATGGAGCGTGGTCCTTGGGAGTGGCACTATCGGGGTGGCATCTTTGGAGGATAGAACTTTGAGAAAGCGCGCCACGTTTTTTTAGCCTCGGTGTGATGTGCTTGCCGCAGCCATGTCACCATGCCGCCACGCTGTGACACCGCAAGGGGCATACAGAGCCGTGCCCCCCCGCGCGCATGGTTATCCTTAATTTGTCGATTGCGCATAGGGAAGCACCATCCTACGCACAGATGTGTGTAGATTTACGTTCGTGCAAACTAACACGATGGAACGTGCGCACAGAGATTGCTTCTCTTTTTTTTAAAAAATGATTTTACTTTCTTTTTTTTAACACAATTATCGCATAACGCAAAAAAAAAAAAAAGTCATACGAGGAGTACGCTCGCCGAAGGGGCAGCTACCATTTGGGTAGTCACCAATTCGCAGCGGGAATGTCAGCACCTCTGCTAACCTCTCTGGGAAGCAATTCCGTGAGGATGCCAAAGAGGGAGAAGCTGATTGGGGCCCCTCTAAAAGGGTGGTAGATACACTTCAGGTTGGCTTCAAAAAAAGGAAAAAAAAAAAGAAACGTGTCGTTGTCCCATCATATGTGCGCTGTGGAGAAAGACCCTACCGCTAATCAAATGTGTAACTCGCTAACCAGCCTGATTTGTTACCCGCTCCCTCGAATAGGCATTCTGTGTCCCCTCGGTTGGAAAGCACACTATTTGCTATTCAGCTCAATATACTTCCTGGGGATGTTATAATTTTTAATCAAAATTTCGTGAATCATATTAACAACATTGCCCTGGACGAGGACTTCCTCCTTTTTGGTGGAGGTTGAAATGACAATGGAACAAGAACAAGCTAGCTGTTTCTGTACATGTTCAGTAAATCTGTTCAGATCCACATGGAAGAGGAACAAATTTGTAATGTGGGTAACATATTTTTTCCCTTTCATCCTGGCGACTGCGTAGATGTGAATGGATGGGCACTTGCCCTTTGTGACTTTAATTGGGTCTATATCGAAATTAGCATACGGCTTGATTATGGCATAGCAGGGAAGTTGGGTCGAGATGAACTGGCTCAGGAGAGACTCGTACGACATGGTGGACGACTCACATGGGACATTTAAAATGGCTCTCAAATCATCGTTTAGTTTTACCAGCTGGGGATCCTTACCACTGACTAACTTCTGCTTCTGTACATAGGACTTTAGAACATCCTTTAACTCCATAATGTTGTAATAGGAACTCCTTTCCGATCTGCTATCTACACATTTGAAAATATTTATCCCCTTGGAGGATGGCATGTAAAATTCGAGTACCTGTGCACCTTTATTTGTTGCTTCGTCTGTTGCGTCATTAGTGGTGTCATTCTCTACACTTTTTTTCTGATGGGCACTGTTCGGATTGCATTGCGCTCCGTTTTTTTCAGCTGCCGCATCATTTTGACCGCCCTCCAACTGGTACCGTTTCTTTTCCTCCAAAGACATGGGCTTATAAGACGAGATCATGGAGCTGCTCTTTCGTATATTCACGACGGATATGACATTTCTGTTTTCTTTTATCTTAATAAGCTTTAACTTGGAGCAGTGCTGAATAAATTTGCTGATTTTTTTGTACGTCGATTTTTTAACATCCAATTCTAGGTTCACTTCTTTTGCTTTTATTTTGTCTGTAATGCTGGTTGGAATCCCCAGTTTTTGTAGCTCTCCCAGGAAGGATTCATTCCTGTGAATGTAGGAAAACTCCCTGGTCATCCTACTGTAGACTCCAGAAACTTCCAACGGGAGGTTGTCATCACTAAGTGATTGAGCTACTTCGAGGAAGAGGTACATCAGTAGTGCATCCTGCTGTTCTCTGTTCAGTTCGAATGTGTTCTTTTCATTTCTTTCGTGGGGCATATTCGCATTGGATTCCTGTACAAAGGAGGCTTCGCTTACCGTTCGCTGGTCGTCATATCTGGCCTCTTTGGATTCGCTTCTCTTTTGAGTCTTTTCTATTGAAACTCTTTTATTGTCATCCTCCCCATTTTGCGCATTTTCTTCCCCTGAGAATTCGTCCCACTCGTTCATTAGGTCTGTGTCTCTGTGGGTCCTATTTTCCACCGCTTTGTTTATTTGGCCTCTCTTCCCCTGGTCAGTTACAGGGTTACCATCGAAGCAGTGCTTCTTCTGATCACTTGTTTTGTCCTCCTGAGGGGCATCTACCTGATGGGAACTCTCCTCCATAGAGTCCATACCCACTGTGCAGTCTTTTTTCGTTTCACTTGGGAGATCCTGTTCCTTAAATTGGGTTTCCGTCACGGGTTGTTTTTTTCCTTCCTTGGCATTTTTACTGCCGGTAGGATGTGCGTCTATCTTTGTGTGGCTCCTTTGGGCCAGTATCACTGCAAAATGTTTGTAAAAATTGTCTAGGCTTTTTTCGCTCGTCGTGCTTTTGGGCTTGGGTTCGTTCTGTCCGCTGGGGCCACCCTCACCATTTGACTTCTCCTGCTCGCTTTCGTCGTCCGTGAAGGCTCGGTAGCGGTCATCATCGCAGGGGCTTTCATCGGGGAGGCTGTCATGCTGGGAGTTGTCATCATGAGATTTGTCATCCTGGGGGTTGTCAGCAAGGTGGGCATCACTACCACCGTTTCTATCGCTGCCCAGCTTTTCCTTCGCACCCCTCTGCTGGCCCCCTGCAGGCGCCTTCTTCTTCTTCATCCCCTTATTCTCATCGTACACCTTAAACTCGTCAAAGTTGTCCACAACATTCTCCACCGAGTCGATAATCTTCGCCTGGAAGCTGCTGTGAGGAACAGTTTGCGACCCCAGCTTCCACAGCTCATCATTAAAAATGTGCACGACTTTTAAGCACTTCCCTTTTAAATCATAAAAGTAGTTGTTACTGTCATAGTCCACTGAACACTGCCCAACTGCAAAAAGGTGCGGGTTATTAAACACACGAACGCCCCATACACTTCCAACCTTTAGTCCTTCTACATTGTCTACTTCTTTGCATATTCCTGGGATCATCAAATCCGCTCCCTTCATCAGAAATTCCGAGGCAGGTGGGTATATGACGAAGCAGGGGATCATGTGTGGATACTTCCATAATGTGTACACTGTTGGGAAGATGTCATTTTTGATGGTGAAGAGAACTGGGATGTTCTTGGAGAGGTAGATTGTTATTTTTGTTTTCTGGACTTTGCAGATGCATGTGTTTTCCTTGTCCAAAATTTCCTCCACCTGTTCGTCGCTGTCCAGGTTGAAAGTGCTCTTGATGGTCACGGCTAGTCTGCGTATTTGTGTGTATGGGGGGGGGAAGAAGTACGCATTATGATGAAAACTTCCCTGTGAGGGCAAACAAAAAGTCCTTCCATTCTTCTATACCTCTCTCTGTGCACTTACTTTTTCCTGTCCTTGTTTCCGAGGAAGTTTTTGTTTCCAAGGGCTATTTTGCTTTTAAACATGTTTTGTAAGGGGGAAAGAAAATCGAAAAAGAAAGCGAAAAAGAGGGAATGAAACAGCACCGGGTAACATAACAATGTCGAATTATGTACTGACTAGCGGCAAACAAAATCCACTGCGCATCGCTACATTTGCGACAGCTCTATATTCAAATTTGTGACTTGCATAAAATGTAGAAACACAGGAGAGATGATTTAACCTATCCCGTGGGAGCAATATGCAGCACTGCTCTGCCGTTTTTTTTTTTTTGGGTGGCCTTTGTGATTGGCATTTCGCTCAGTGGTGTGATACTCAAATGGGGAACAACAGGTTGCGATTATTTTTTGTCCTTTTTTCTACTTCTTTTTTCTGCTTTTTTTTGCTCCTTTTTATTTCTTCTTTTTTGTGTCCCGCCCTCACCGTTGACGTCCGCCTTCGCCTTGGTGTTCACGTTCACAATTTCATACCTATGGGGGTGCCGAATTAACATCGCGCCTATATGGAGTGACCGCATAACAATGAGGCCTTGCTTTTCACTCCCGCTGCTGCATTTTCAGGGCGCTTCTTACTCTTACGTGAAAAATTGCGCGTAATATGCCCCGGTAAGAGGAATTGCAATTTCCGATTTTTTCTTTTTTTTTCGGTCACTCTAGGGGATACATAATTATGCATCATCTAAACTGCAGGGGGGAAACAACCAGGGGACAATTTCGCATGCTTGAAATTTCCTCCATTTGATCTGGAGTGGCAAAAAAAAGGGGAACGGAAAGGGAAAGGTCCAAATGCGAATCTATCCCTAATCTAAAGTGTTGACCTGCGAGAAACCACCAATTATGGTAAGGGATATGGGAACATTCCCGCCCACCGCTCAATCGCGCAGGGAAAGAAAAACGACAGGTACAGCGACAGATACAACGACAACTTATCAGGATCGACTTCCTTGTGTTCAAGAATTACCCTTTCGTTTAAATTACCTATAACCACTTCGTCCTAGTGTCCACATGGAAGTAAATGGTTCGGGTTATATCTCCATGTTGTGTGGACACACACGTCGAGTTACACAAGTATCCATGGTTCACTTCTTTCGTGTGGCACTTTAAGGGAAGGAATGCCCATAGGCACGTAGAGGCACATGTACTCATAGAAGAAGAATAAGAATAACTCCCCACGGCGTATAACCCGTTGCGTCATCATTCCACATTTTTCACTTCACGAGTAAACGAACGGGGGAGGTATACGCCGTATAGTATGTACCCCCCCACAGAAAGACATATAAAAGTTTCGCGCCATCATCCTTTGTCAATGCAAAAAAAAAAAAAAAAAGTTTCCTTCCTTTGGCATGTTATCTCCCCGTTTAATTCCCATTTTTCCAAAAAGAACACTAAAATGGCTAAAGTTTTATTTTCACATTCTACTTTTAAGAATAAAGACATTGTTCATTTTGCTGAGAGATTAAGCGAATGGGGTCAATTATAAAATTGTCTGTTCGATTAGCTGGCGACTTCTTTTGTGCAAGACGCATAGACAGACATCGCTTAATTTAACATTTTGAGGAGGGAAAAGAAAAGGAGCAACAGGAAGGGGCGTAGCAGGGGAAATAATTTTGGTGCTTTTCTTTTTAACATTTTTTTTCGGATATCTTCCTGTCTACCATGTTTACATATCCATCAGCGGCTCCGCTTTGGCTAGACAACGTTGTCGCCTTTTTTAATGTCCAAAGTTGGATACCTTGGTGGAGTTATTTCTCCAAGTTTGTTCCTCTGTAATTTGTTATTTGTTCACCGTTCACCTTTTTTTTTTTTTTTTTTTTTTGCGTGTGCACATGAGCGTGCGCGGGAAAGGGTCCTCCGGAACGGAGTTCGATGGGCAACTGGGGGGAAACACTAGGAGCGTAATGTTTAAAAGACGAAAAACTATGTTCGCAAAAAAGGGTAAGATTTAGCGAAAAAGAAGTCCAAATTTTGTGTAAAAAATGTCACACATTTTTATAAAAAAAGTCGGCAAAAAAAGTCAAAATTTTGGCAAAAGAAGTGGAAAAATTTGCGGGGAAAAAAAACAAAGGCAACATCGCTCGGCCATTTTCTACAAAAAGGAGAATTAAAATAAAAAAATGTACCACGAAGAATCGCCTCGCTTAACGCATTTTTGTCTCCCCATTTTCCCAGTCTGTTTTGTTGTGTGCGCGCAGGCATAAGAAGTGTACATTTGCACTCACATAGTTATATGTACGTGCATACACATACGTGTGTGCAAATATATACTCCCTTGTAGCTGCGCGCGATTGGCCCTTTTGCAAATAAGCAACCGCGTCTACATCGCGTCAACACCGAATCTGTCTCGCGAGCGCTGTTACGTTGAAGCAGAAAATGTATTGCCAATGTGGGGCACTTTTTTCCACGTCAGCTCTTAGTAAGTCAGAAGAGGAAGAAGTGTATTTGCGCGCGACAGTGTACATCATTCTCGTCCGTTAACTTAAAAGGGAAAATGATTTTTTATAATTTTAAAAGGAAGTACAACCTTTTGTATTACAGATAAATAACAGTTTAAAGGAATTGCAGGGACGCGGGTTCATCGGTTAATTCTAATTTCGCGAGAAAGACGGTAACATTTCGATACATGTTTCATGCAAGTGGGTTTACACAAAAATCATACACAAATGTCTAGCTACATACACTTGCGCCAACTCCGCCCCCCCTAGCGTGCCAACTGTTGCAGAATAAGGAACAAATCTGATAACAATGATGCCGGAAAATTGTTCCAGGAAATCCGTTTCCAAACTGTTCCACTGTCTATCGAGGGTAACCCCTCTTTAAAGCGTTTGCCTCTTCTGATATTACCACACTATGTTTGCATACCTTTTGCGTAATTGGATCTGTATGTGCAAATTGTCCTCCAACTTGAGGTACCTATGAAGGCTATCTCTGTCTGGCTATTTGTGCCATTTCATTTGTTCGTACATTTTTTTTTTTCTTTTTTTTTTCCCATTTCAGGAAATTGAAAAACAGCAACCAAAAAACGTTATTCATTTTATGGTAGATTTTTTATGTAAAAATTATGGTTCACATTTGAGGGGATTTGCCCATGTCTGGGATGTAGGTAATTAGTCGGAATGGCGCTGCATCGTTAAAACGCGTCTGCATTTGTTCGAAATTGTGCAGAGAGGGAGAGGTTGGTCAATAACGAGGAAGGACAAACGGGAGGCAAGCGGCACCCAGACATTTAAAAATAGGAAAAAAGAAAAATGCGTTTTTTTTTTCTTTTTTTTTTTCTTATTTTCCTTTTTGACTTCTAAGATTTGGAACTGGAGAAGGAAAAAAAACTCGTCATTGAATTTTTTAAGAGCCAGAAATTAACCACAGAAATTGCCAAGCATTTCATCAATGTCGGATTTGACAGTGTAAGAAGGGGGAGGAGTTCAAATAATCTGCACTTGCCAAGTCCACAAAGTTGCTGCTTTTATTTGATGTACTACATTTGCGCTAATTTTTTTTTTCTTTTTCCCATTTAAACAGATGGAGTCTCTGCTATACTTGAATGCGCACGTTTTGGACGACATCGAAAAGTTTAACAATGTCAATTGGCTGCCGGGGCATAAAATAAGATTGCAGGTGAGGGAATGTGACGTGGACTCTGCAAAGGAGTTGCTTCCACGCGCAAGGTTGCAGGGGCTTTGCTCGTTCATTTGGGGGATTATTCCCCCCATCTTTCCGCCTTTCGCCATTTTGCCTTTCCCCACCCCTCCAACGCAGCAAATGTTTTCAAACATCCAGGAGAACATCAAAACGTTCTATGCGGAGTATGACAAGGACGACATAAGACACGGCCTCGACTATAGCGCATTGCGAGTAAGTCCGGGGAGGCGAAAAAAAGAAAAGCAGCAAAAAAAAAAAAAAAAAGAAAATTGTGAGGGTTTCTAGACACTAGCGTTGGCAATTACAGCTGTGTGTGTGCACATAAGCATGAGAGGATAGTTTTTCTGACAACCAATTATAGTGACGTCGTTTCTTTCCGTTTCATGCAGCAACAAGCAAGCTACACAGTACTGTCTCCTTTTCAGCAGTTCTAAATTGTGAATAAATGTCAAAATGGGAGGGAAGCAGTGTGGACGTGGAATCTTCCTAAGGTGTAGTCCACCTCCTTTGGGAAGATACTTAAATGCAACCACACCAGTGGTGATTACACTTTGTTCAACACAGTGCATGTGGGAGTTTTTTTTTTTGGCTTTTTATTTAGCCATCCATTGTGGTATTATTTAGCCGTCTTCATGGGGGTGCGATTTCCACACTTGTGTACATTACATGCGCGCAGATACGCAAGCGTATTACAGTTGCCGAATGATACGCACGTTCAACCGTATACTGTGTAAAACCTGACTTGTAAAAAAGCGAAAAAAATTATATCCCTTCAAAGGCACACTGCGTGCTATGGAGGTTCCCATTGTGATTTCTTCTTGCTTTCCCATTTTGGAAAGAAGGCGAGGGGATTCGCATCATGGTAAAACGGAAAGGGGGTAGGCAAAGAAAGAACGTGGCTGCTAAGTGGAGGGGAGTTTTCCAACGAAAAATCCCATTCGCGAGTTTACCGAACGAAAAATTGCAAAATTGTGCAAAAGTCTGAAAAGTGCATTTTCATCCCCCACTAGAGCGTATAATATTTTTTCTTTTTTTTACGAATATGCGGGTGATTGGTACGAATTATTTTTTACTCAGGGGAGGGAAACGGTCTAGCAGATTTGCACACCAGAAACGCGCATGAGTTGCAATTAGGACTAGACGATGGAGAATTGGGTGTGCCTCATCTGCGCGTTAATTTTCTTTGCGTGAACAATGGACGCCTGTTGACGCGCACATACAACGCGTTCTATGTTTGTTTGTTCGTTCGCTTGTCCGCATGTTCGCTTGCTTTCGTGTGTCTTAAAGGGGTTCAGGTTTTGCGAGAGAACAACTTCGATCAAGGAGGTATGTCCCTGGTCAACAGACACGTCGAGTCCCCTTACGGTTGAGTCAAATCGCAAAAAGGTGAATACACACGTGTGTACTTTTACATACGCCCGTTCACCCCTGTCACGTAGTTACGCGTGGCCTTGCACACTCTTGGCCATTTCTTTTCAAAGAAAGTGTAGCCCTGCGAAGGGATTATGGCGCCTGCTTTTTCAGGTGAGCGGCGAAAGAAGATAAGTCGCGGGAGGTAAATGTACGGGCGGGCTACACACAGGGACATGCACATGTAAAGCAGTATAAACGTACAAATGGACATACGCGTAACATTTGCAATGTGCACGCCCGTACTTTCAACCATCGATGAACGGGAGGGGTCTTTGGGGGTGCGCGTGTGCATAACAAGCATCCCCCCATAAAAAAAAGATACACTCAGCATGCGAAGGACATTTGGGCTTTCCCCTCATAGGAAAAAAAAAATGGCTGATCGAGCGACGGTTTTGTAAGCACGACCAAGCGATTTTAAAAGGAAGCATAAATGAAAAAGCGCTAACGAAGGGGATGGTACACATGGGGACGAAATGATTAGTTAAATAAATTTGCAGAGAAAAAAAAAATAAAAAAAATAAAACAGTGAGCCCAAACTGGTCATCCGTAAAAATAAATTAAGTTAAAATTACGCCAAGGCGAAGAAAAAAAAAAGGAAAAACTGAAAAAAAAAATAAATAACCCTCCGAAAATATAAGCATTTTTTCTCACTTTTTTATGGGACTTTTCTTTTTTCATTCCTTTTTTAACACCCTCTTCTTCCATTCCATATGTTGTTTTATAGCGCAATTTTTTTTTCTCCTCTTCCACCGTGCGTGCTTAAACTATGCGCATCCATCCCGTTTTGATGTTTCCTTTTCCCCTCCGCCACGTTCCTCACGTAATTGGTGATTTTCAATTTTGATTATTTTTGTTTTCTCAACTGCATAAAAGGGGGGAGTTATATTTTTTCTTTAAAAAAGGTCGCTTAAATGAAGGAAAGCATTGTGTATACATGGATACAAAATGAGTCACATTGGCACATACAGGAATGTATGCTTTGCCAGTTCTAGCTCAATGTTCTTTAGGGACAATTCCTCCCCTCGAATGCGCTTGCCTTATGTATATCTCCGGGTACCTCTTCAAACACGAGCAGCACATTGCTTAACATCATTAGCTGCGGCGCAAAAAAGGGAACCTCCCTGTTTGTGGCGTAGTCGTTCCTGCCGGAGGTACGTCTGCTTGAGTGGAGCAACTTCCGCTGTATTCGCCATCGGCTGTGTCAGCGGCGGATGGGTAGAAACAAAGGTTAGAAAAAGGTCGAAGAGTAAAGCAGCAAAGAGCAAAACAGCAGAAAATTGAAAAAGCAAAAAAAGCTAAAGTAATTAAATCGCAAAAAAAAAAAAAAAACCAGAATCTGCGCCCCTCCCCAATCGAAGTAGCAGCCGAGCAAGGAGTATGCAACCCCCCCGCCGGAGCGGAAGTCCCAACACCTGATAGCCAACCCGCGAAAACAAGACCATGAAAAACCTCGATGCGCACAAGTACATTAAATTGGTGAATTTTTTAAACAAGAAGAAAAAGTACCCTCAGTTTAATTTTAAATATGTCAAAGGTGAAGATGGATGTGACCTTCAGCTAGCCACTTATGTAAATACAAACAAAGGAATGATACGAAACGATGCCTTAAGATACACAAGTGACAGTGCAGTCTCGAAGATACTTTCCAATGTCGCCGAGCTTGGAAATGAGTCGGTCGTTTCCTCGACGCAAAGCAAAGGGGTAGAAAGGAAAAAAATCTTTGCATCGAATGTCACCAAAGAGAAGAGGAATAACAACCTGGGTAGGGGTTCCCAAACGAATGATGATTTAACGATACAGATAGGTTATGCCAATGGGGAGGATAACCTCCGAAACGGTGCTATTGCACCGTTAACAGGTTGCAAAATGAAGCAGACAGGATGGAGAAGGGTAGACGTACCATATGATGATGGACTGGGACAGGCTAGTCAACAAAAGGAGGACCAGGTTAATTCCAAAGTGATGCGAATGCATTGTAACGGGGCATCATACGAAGATGCTAATGCGACCGACAGGCGAAGCAATTTACACAGAAATGGCGAAGTGAACAAATTTGAGTTTTTGCAAAAGAGGGAATCCCCCCGAGATGGGTGTGCCATGGAAAGGGGGCAAATACACACGGATGAGAAACTCACCCATTTAGGGTTTAACCACCGAGGGGGTCGTTACACCGTTAGTAATGGCGACGAAGGGGGTTACGACGCGGGTGAGAAGAATCGAGATGTCAATACTCTCCAAGGAGAAGACATCACACAAAGAGAAGAGTTAACTAGCGAGGAAAATTTTGCCAAGGTGAAAATTACCAAGGAAAATATTATAATCATGGATAAGTTGAAGGAAGAGGGGAGAAAGGGAAAAAAAACGAAGAAAATGACCATGACAGAGGAGAACGAAAATGTGGATGATCATGTAGAGACGCAAGGGACCACCGTCAGAAGCGATGGCCAGGAAAAATGCTTCAAGGTGCAAGAGACAGAAGGAGGAGCAGAAGAAACAGCTGGTAGCAGTGAGGGAGGAGACAACGATGACGTGGCAGGAGACAGGCAGAAGAAACTATGTGATGATAATCCAAATGAGGAACAACAGGAAGATACCGAAAAAGACAATATAAATTTTCAAATGAAGAATGCCAAGGTGAATAAGAAATGCCTCTACCCACATGAAATTGTAGAATATTTAAACAAATATATTATAGGACAAACGGAAGCAAAGAAAGTTGTCGCAAATGCATTGAGACAGAGGTGGAGAAGGATACAAGTCGATGACGACATGAAGAAGGACATCATTCCAAAGAACATATTAATGATAGGGCCAACTGGTGTTGGCAAAACGGAGATAGCAAGAAGAATTTCGATGTTTGTTGATGCACCATTTATCAAAGTGGAAGCGACAAAGTTTACTGAAGTGGGGTTTCACGGAAAAGATGTCGACCAGATTATTAAAGACTTAGTCGAAATAGCGGTGAAGAGACAAAAAACCAAGTTCGAAATTGAGATAAGGGAACAGGCACAAGAGGCGGTGGAAAATATCATTTTGTATTCCCTACTGGGAAACATAAAAGAGGAGGAGAAAAACATTTGGAGAAAATATTTAAAAGATGGCTCCCTAGACGACAAGGTTGTCAGTATCGACATTCCCAACTATGTAAATAACAACATGTTTTCTAACGACTCAGTTGAGAATGCAGTGAAGGAAGCGCTAAGCAATCACCAAAATATTAAAAGCGTCAAAATTATCCACCAGAATATTAACAAACAGAATGATAAGAAGACCATGACTATACGAGAAGCCAAACAGAAACTGTTGCAGTTGGAAATCGACTCCTCGATGAACCAGGACGTTATCTTAAAAACAGCTATCAGCTCCGTAGAAGAAGAAGGAATCGTGTTCATTGACGAAATTGACAAAATTTGTTCCAAATCGAATTCGTCTTACAATGGACCAGATGCAAGTGCGGAGGGGGTTCAGAGGGATTTACTGCCCCTCATAGAAGGATGCGTAATTAACACCAAGTATGGAAATATCAACACGAACTATATTTTGTTTATCGCTTCGGGGGCCTTCCAGAGAGTTAAGCCGAATGACATGCTAAATGAGCTGCAGGGAAGATTGCCCGTCCATGTGAACCTCTCCAGTTTGACCATAAAAGATTTTATTGAAATATTGACAAAGACACATAATAATTTGTTGCAACAGAATATTGCCCTGTTGAAAACGGAAGGCATCGATCTGCAGTTTACGGATGATGCCATTGAAACCATTGCAAATGCCGCACATGACATGAACTTTTACGTGGAGAACATCGGCGTGCGGAGACTGCATACCATCATAGAGAGAATCATGGAGGATATCAACTACGACGTTTACAATTATGTGAACAAGAGTATCGTCATCGACAAGGAGAAGGTGAAGAAGTCCCTCGAGGGATTCATTAAGCAGTTCGACTTGAAGAAGTACATCATTTGAGAGGTGGTTTTGGGGACTGCTTCTGAGAGGTGCTTCTGAGAAGTTTTGAGAAGTGGTTCCACGGGGGAGCGCTCGGGCAACGTGCGATATAGGCTTCTACATTTTTTCACCCCCGTTTTTCCTACACATACAATTCTGCGCCTTATATAATGCACACTTGTATCACCCATTCCTTGTACTATATTCCATGGTGACATTTAAAAATTGGCCCGCGATGTGGCACACTTCCTCCATGCCAACCGGGTGTCACCTCTCATGTTTGTCTCTTCCCCTTTTTTTTTCGGAGGGGGGAGGCGAGCTTCATTAAAGGCATCATTTTCCGAGGCGTTTTTTTTTTTTTTCTTCTTCTTCTTTCCTTTTTCCATTTTGGATTTGTTCAAGCGCGATGCGGCAAGACGATTCGCCGTTGTACGTTGCGCTGCTGTGTCGATCACCCGAGTGCGGATCGTCCTTATGTGGATTCCCCATATGTGCATAATAACTAGGTGTGCGACCATTTACATTTTCCTGAGGGGTGGCGCCAAACAGGGCAGTTGCTCTGGGAATGGAAAACCGCACCGTTAATGTATTAAAAACGAACTTAGGTTAACTTAAAAAAGAAGAAGCGAGTTGTCAACGACTCCCACGCAATTAACAAATGTATATACGCATTATGGTCACCTTTCCTCTCAACGAAGGGAGCAATTGCGAGGTGTTTACGCTGCTGGCGCGCGTGTGGACGATTCGTCGGAAGCATATAAGCGATGCACTGGGTTCGGAGTCAGTTTTGTGCATCCCTCCTTTTGGCGAGATTCTTCCTCTCCGCCATGGCACTACAGAAATAGAGATGCTTTGCGCCCCGTGGGGAAAAGGCTCTACCTATATATATTTGGCAAAGAAAAAAAAAACAAAAATTGTTTTCAAAATGACACGACATTGAGCTAAAGCAAAACGTGCCAAAGTAGCGGCAGAGGAGAATAATTCAACAGGGCGGTTGACAAAAAGTAGGTAGCACTTGTTCCGTAAGTCCTCTTTACATATGTATTCACCCCAAGGTGTTTGCATTAGGAGCGACTGGTAGAGGCTCTTGTTTTCACCTCCCCCGCACAACCTTAAGGAAGCTGCCAACAAATAATGGCTGATGAGGGAAACTTCCAGAGCGAAGAAATCCAAGGAGCAACGAAGAGGCTCCTGCTGAAAATAAAAAATGAAAAAAAAAATGAAGAAATAATAAAAAAAACTATTGACGAGTATAAGCAAACGATAGAAGTAATATCCACCTTAACAAAGAAACTTAATCACAGAATTATAATCCCATTTTCGAAAGTAGCTTTCTATGAAGGCGAAATCAAATATACAAATAATATATACCAGGACATCGGCTGCAACACGTACTGCGAAAGGACAACAGAAAAAGCGAAAGACCTTTTAGAAAGAAAATTAAAATTTTATCAAGACAAGTATACCATTGTGCAAGAGTCATTAACCAAATTGACAAAAGAATTGGATCTTTCCTTGGAACTTAATTTTCACTCGAATTATGAGAAAGAGGTGGCACGTTCGGGGGAAGATATAAACAACGTGTTTGTTCGTCCCGATGGCTTTCTAGAAATTAGGGAAGAGTATCACGAGAGTGATGACGAGCGAGATTTGGACCAGGTGGGGAAACAAAGGGAGCACCCAAAAAGTGGAGTTAAGAACGAAGGGGAAGGACAAAAAAGGGAGCACCGTGGTGGTGGGCTTCACAGTGGTGGCCCTCATACTGGTGCGCTTCAAAGTAGTGCACTTCATAGTGGCATACCCTACCCAGGCACACAACGAGGTGGAAGAAACATCCCTGTCCTGAAGGGTGTTGCTGCGGAGGGCCGAACAATTTCGCCAAGAAACCTAACTGAAAAGAAGCAACATTGGCAGGAGGAGATACAGGAAGGTTCTGCCAATATGGGCCGCAATTCACCCAAAGGAAACTCTTTAAATGTGAACAAGGAGGGGTTTTTAAATATAAAGGAAAACTACAGCAGCAGTGGCAGCGACTGTGAGGAGTGATCCACACCTCATGTTTGCGTTTCGTTTGGTGGGCTCTCCACTCTTTTTAGTACAACCCGTGGCCTTGGTCCCTTTCGTCTCATTCGTCCCTTTACCATTTTGCCGCCACCCTATTTTTCCCCCATTTCCTTGTCATGTATATCCCAAATCGGGTCTAGTCCAAACTGTGCACCTTTCAAAACGGGGCGAATGGACCACCATTTTTTTTGTGCCCTCTGTGTGGCAGCGCCGCCCGGGGGGTGAATTTGAAAAAGAAAAAAATAAAATAAAAAAATAAAGTAAAATATAAATTCATTTTTGAGAAACTGGAAAAATAACCCCCACGTGAAGGGAAAACAAAATGGGTGACATGCGTGTAGCGAATGTCCAAAACTTAAAACAAATGAATTTTGCAGAAGGGGAGCGCAGGGGTCGGGGAATCCGTGTGCGCATCGGTTAATGCATTATTGGGAACTGGGAATACTCACGCGGAAGGCGCTAAGTCACGAGGGAGGAGTTGTTAGATGGGGCTAATGACTACACAAAATTGAGGTGTGAAAGGGAAAGAAGAAAAAAGAAAAAACTTACATCTTTACGCATAAAGGAAAATAAAATTTTATACAAGAAAAAAACAAAATGAAATTCAAGTGATTAATCAGGTTTAAATTATTTTTTTCTTTTTTTTGTAACTCAGGTTCGCACTTCAAATGTACAATTGTTCCGTTCGCGGTTGGGGGCAGTGCACTCCACGCGAGCAACAAAAAACAAACAAGCAGATAAAGAAACGAAGAAATAAACAAACGAACGGTCGATCAAGCTAATTGTTTCCCCCCCACACATGCAGAGCGCCTCGAACGCAACGTGCAGTGAATGAACGGCTGCACACACAAACAAACACGTGGTAGATCTCCCGCCCGGCGAGACACCTATATACCCACTTGCGGAACATTCTAAGGGTTCCATAGTAACCGCGCTAATTTCCAAAAAAACGAGTAGACTAGTTGCCATCGTCCCTCTTCTCACCCTGTGTAGACCGCCCCTTGTTCTCCTGTTCGTTATCCGCATTTATGTCATCCATCTCCATGTCCCCACTGGCTTTGCCAAACTGGTAATATTTATTTATTGAAGAAACGTCAAACCAGCTACTGTCCTTGGCGTAGGAATGTATTAAATTAAAGATTCCTAGTCCATTATTTTTTTCGTCATTGTTTTGTTTCTTTTCGCTATCGTCCGGGTTAATATATTGGCTGATGCTGAAAATGCTTTCTTCTTCTTCCTCCTGCTCATCATCGTCCTCATCTTCAATTTCGTCATCATGATTTTCATCTTCACCATGTTGACCCTGATTCAATTTTTTTTTTTTTTTTTTTTTTTTTTTTCCTCTTACTTTCAGCTGTTTCTCCTGCTTTGGTCCTGCGCAGCTCCTTCGCATTGCTAATTTCTTGTTCCTCCTCCTCATTCATTTTTTTTTCAAATTGTTTCACCTTTCCTGTGATGATACTTTCTACTGCGTTGTCATCATCCCTTAGCCAGTAGCCTTCATCCCTCGGGGCAGAGTTCTCCCTATAGGGGTAGGAGCACTCATTGCTAGCATCATTTGAGTTATAGTAATATGCGTGCCTTTTTAAGCTGCTTGTGAGACTTTTCCTTTCTTTACTAAGTCTAAAAAGTTTTGTTTGTAGATTCTCCCCCAGGGAGGTGCCACGAGAGTTGTTCCTCTTTCCATTCTCTTCCTTTCCATTACAAGACGTTACGCAATTTCCTTGAAGTAAATCGTATTTTTCTCCGTGTTCCTGCTTCTTCCCGCCTGGATGGCATTTCTTCCTTCGGTTGAATTCGACGAAGGAGTCACTTTTGCACAAGACGTGTTGGTCTGCTTCCTGGTCCTCTTCATCGAAGTGCTGCTTCTCTGTATGGCCACGCTGGCCATCACTGCGTTTCTCCCTCCTGCCACGGTTATGGTGACCTTTCTTCCTACTTCTACCAATCTGCTGTGCCGCTATGTTGAAGCTAGACAAATCTTCTTCGCTTACGTAACTGTCGTACATTTCATAGTCGCCTGCGCTAGTCCTCGCACTGTCTTTGCTGACGTCCTTCCCTCTGCGCGCACATTTTAAGGTGGATCCTTGGCCAGGATTGTTACTACCTGCATGGCGAGAGTTGCTTCTCTCATGCGTTTTGTTTCCGTTCCGCGCAGAACGGGGTGACTTATGATCGTTCTCCCCTCTTGCCCCTTCGCTACGATCCGAATTCAGTGACGTACGCCTCTCCTCTTCGTAACTGCTTTGGCATGAATCAATCGCAGTCGGCATCATCCCCTTTTGGAGATTCACCTTTTTCCCCTTTGAGCCCTTCTTATCGGTACTGGGGAGTGGTTGTTTTCCCCTCCCTGCGGCGTAGTACGCCCCACTGCTGCTGTTCATGTTTATGCTTTTCGATTTGCTTCCTCCTATGGGGAGTGACCTGGGGACACTTGACGACTTCACATGGTGGTTCGTCCGATGGGTCTGATTGATCGAATTGCTTAAAATGCCATTTCCCGTTTCGTTGCTGCTATTTTGGCTAGTCACGGTTGCATTTTTTTTTTTATTTTTTAAATTATTTTCATTGCTGCTTAAAATTTTGTAGTAAAACGTGTTCATGTTATTGCTCTCTCGTACGTTCTTCGCCTTTTCATCCCCATCTTGGAGATCCTCATCATATTGACCAGGTCTATTTTCCTTTGATTCTCCTCTTGGACCTCTCCGGACGCAGTTGGTTGGCGGGGTGAGCTCCCTGGTGTCTTCTTCGTCTTCTTTTTCCGTTCGATGCGGTTTTGGCGACCTCCGGGGTGTGTAACTCTGCTCCCTAGCCGCTTTTCCTTGTGGCGATTTCCTCTCCTCTTGGCATTCCGCTTTGGTGTCTCTTTTGAGCACTCGGTTGGAGAAGAAGTTCAGGAGGGGAACTCCGTCAAGGGCGGCAAAATTGGAGGGGCTAAAACTGCCTGGGATGAAACTGCCTGTGGGGAAGCTTACGGGGGGAAAGCTCCCTGGGGTGAAGTTCCCTGGAGTGGGGCTGGCTGGACAAGACTGGTCCCAATTGGGGGTCCCCCTTTGGTCCCTGTTTATCCCATCAGTCACTCCTGTACCAGTGGTGGCCGGCTGCTCCTCCACGTGGGTAAAATGACAATTATTGATATCTCCAATGAAAAATTTGAAGTTCCCATCAAAGGGAATGTCCTCCCTCTCAATGTTGTCGAAGAGGAAACTAAGTTCAGGACTTAAATTCACAGATTCTGATTTTTTAATCAGCAGCTTTGCGATGAGAATATCATCGTTACTCTCATTGTACTTTAACGATTTTAATAATTTCAAAATTTTCTCAAACTTATGTTTCATTAAGTAGCTTTTTAAAATTTTCAACAAAGCAACGGAAATGATGAGGATGGTTTTTATGCTCGTACTGAAGAGGTAATCCCATATGACTATAACACTTTTGATGGGGAGACTAGCAATGAATAGGGTTAGTAGCCATTGGTGGAGGTACACAGGAGGGAAGACTTCCTCCTGATTAAAATGGTCAACCAAGTCTGGCACTTCACATTGTAATATTTTCTCAAAGAGATATATATATCTATTAAGTAGAGGGAATTTTTCTTTATAAAATTCCTTCAGATGGTAATTATTCATGAGACCAACTAGAACGCAGAAGGTCTCCATTTCGTTAAAATTGCTGACTATGAGTAGCAGTCCCACGAGAAAATTCATCCCTTGGCAGTACCCTACCGAGGGCTCGAAATTTGAATATGCATTTAAAATGCGAAAAAGCTGCTCCTGAGCGTATTTGTCAAATATTAACAACTCAGGGAAGGTCCTCGATATATCTATCATTATCAAATTGGTATAATTTGACTTTTTTTTTGATAGAAAATAATATTTTTTTTGAAATTTATTCATCAGAATTTTACTATTCGTTATTTGGAACCAGACTTTCCACCTATATTTTTGTGGGATTCCTCTTTTGACTCTCCTTAGGAAGGTCGTTTTGTGTGTCTTCATGAACCAGTTGATGTCTCTGTTAATCATAGATGACCACTTCTCCAATACACGTATGTTGTTTTTTTCTCCACATGAGAGCAATTCATTTGTGTAGTGCCTCCTTAACCCTATGGTTGGATCGTAGAGCCTTTTCTGCGTCTCCTCCCAGTTCTCCATGAACTTGGTTTCTTCATCGAGGTCGGCGCACGTGGAGCTGTCTTGCCCCTCGCTTGGCCCGCGGCTTCGCCGTTCCTTCCCTCGGAGGGTTTCCGCAGCTGCGTGGTTGGCGGTTTGATTGGCATTTTCCCTGGTGGCTCCATTAGCAGCTTCGTTGGTAAATTCTTTGGCTGATGCGCCATTTTCACCCCTAATTGGCTCTGCACTTCTTCTCCCCGAACCACCTCTGCGGGGATGGCCATTTTGCCTCCTTTTGTGCGCATCGCTGTGCCCCCTCGAAAGACTTCCCTGCTCATCATCCCGATGCGAACCATGTACATTCTCCTTCCTCGTGTTTAACCTTTCCTTCCATGGACGGTGCTTTTTTCTATCACCTGTGTTTCCCGATTTTATGTCCCTCTCGCTGTGGTCTTCGTCGATAGGGCGCAGCTCCACAGCGTCTGGGTCCCCCATTATCACGTCTGGGAGCGGTCACGTTACCTCAGATTCAGGGGTTAGGCACGCAAAAAAGAAAAGAAAAAAAAAAGGAAAAAAAAAAAACTCACAATAAATTGCTCACCGCGTAGCCTGCAATCCTGTTTCCGCAAGACTGTGGCATAGGGTCGTGTGTACCAGCGTGGGGAATCAAATTGGTATGCAAGCGGTGCAGCAGGAAAGTAGCATATGGGCGATTTCCTTCTGTTGACTTTGCCAGAAGTAGGATCGAATAAGACAGGAAAAAGAGAGAATATAATCCAGGCGAGTACCCTCCGCGACGCAAATAACTAGGCTAATCGCGATGTACAGCACGTCCGCAGGAGCCGTCTTGCATAAGGGGGATCCGCATAGACGCAATTACGTACACTTATGACGAAACAAATATGTGAGCATACTACACGCTACATAGGTACGCGCGTGGAATATGTTGATGAGAGGACAAAGACGAAGTGGTAACAAAAAAAAAAGAAAAAAAAAAAAAAAAAAACGGTATCACAGGTTGCATGTGTGCTGCATGACTATCTAACGTAGGCTATTGCACTGGAACCACCATAAATAGGGTCATCGTTGAGGACCGGACTACTGCTAAGTGGCTACCTCCCCCTCCATGCGAGCACTACAAATGGCCGTCCTGCTCTTTCCCGCATGGGTAATTGGCGCTTACGGCAAATTAGTTCTTGCCCATTTATGGCCACGAGTTGGTAATGTCATTTCTGCTATGAGTTGGTTGGCTATGTAAATTCATGCTTCGATAATTAGCACTTGGTTAAAATGTAATTCACTAATTATACAAAAAGGGTGGCGGATGACAGTCATAAAAATGGACCTTTTGGGGATCCCTGTAGGCACGGAAAAAATAAACGCCCTGCAAGAGTAACTATACTATGTTTTGTTCTTTCCTTTTTTTCTTTATCTCAGCTATTACTCCGCGCTTCAGTTGTGTCATATATATGCTCTACTTGAGTTTTTCCCCCTTTTCTGTTCTTCCCTTAAAATAGTAATTTTGAAAAAGGCATAAAAAAGGGGAAGAAAGGAAATTGCTCCAAAAATCGTAAATATAATATAAAGAAAAAACGATGACATTACGATTTTTTCCTAACAATGGAGCGAGTTAGTTTTCCTTTTTCTAATCATGTCCTCCTAAGGAGGTTGACGAGGTCATGACTTCATGTATGGGATATTTACTTTTAATATGCTCGTTTCAACCCTCAAGAGCCGAAAAAAAAAAAAAAAAATTCTCTTGTTACGCGCAAGTCATCAGAGTTCGTTTGACCTACCCCCCTACAAACGGGTTTCGGTTTCCCCCTTTATCGTACGTATAAATAAAATTAGTAACGAGTTGAATTATGTCCCTCATGGCAGGAGCTACTACCATCTGCAGCACTTGCGCGTAAACAATTATTTTAACGCGCATGTACGGGCTGGTGCATATATGATATATATGTGTTATGGGGAGCCTGACATATGGTATTTATATGCGCAACTGGCCTCTTAACCATCGGACGCAGTCGGCGACGCCAAGGAGCCCGCGAGTCACGGAAAAATAAACATAAAAAGGGGAAAAGAAAGAATAAAAGATGAAGAAGAAAACGCAATGATGAACTGAACCAATGTCGTAAAAATAATTCTCCCAAAACGCGCCAAGCAAAGGTTTATATACCTACAGTTTGTTTGTGTGCCTGCAATGTACACTTTATTTTTTTTCCCTGTGGTAGGCAGTACTCCCATGCACAGAGCGCCCTGTCCGGCTGAGGAAGTCTATTTTTTTCAGGAAAGAAAAAAAAAACGAAAGAAATTCTCATCCTTTTCCTCACTCGCTTTGCGTAAAAAAATACAGCGTCCTCCGATTCGCCTACAATTATCCCTGAAACATTTAATCATTTTTCCCGGTGATGGGTCCATACCATTAGACTTTTTTTTTTTTTTTTTTGTACTTTTGCTCAAACTGTTACCCCGTGGTATACTGGTAAAAACGTATATGGTCATATGTCCTATGGTGTGACAGAGGTAAATGGCATGGCTTTCCTTTTTTTCGGCTCCCTCCTTTACATTATGGTCGTTTCCCCTTTATTTCCGTCCCACCCCCTTTTGCAATGTCCAAAGGATTGCAGGAAGAAAAATGTTATGTAAATTTTTTTTTTTTTAAATGTCAAAAAGTGAGTGATGTTAGGTTTAACTTTACATTGTTCCTCCTTTTTTTTTTTTTTTTTTCATGCACTTATTGTACACAAAATTTTGGGAACTTCTTTTTATTTTTTTCTTCTTTTAACTGTTCTGAAAGCGCAGAAAAGGCTATCTTATCATTTTCTCTTCCATTTTAATGACCATGTGCTGTATATCGTATGAAGAAGTCGGCCAATGGGAGAAATTTAAACTTTGCAGCATTGGCTTTACGAAGTCGTAGTAGCAGTTGTGACATGTAGTTCACATTCGACGTGTGGATGTAAATGTCTGTACGCCTAGCGGGGGGGGGATTGATCAGTTCAGTTGAAAGAATTGGATACTTGTGGGGAATTCACATAGCGGAGTGAGGTATGATCATGTATCGCTCTAAGCACGACGGTGAACAATTCTGCACTTAGCCCTTCCTGATCCCCTTCCTATATGCCAATTTGAGCTTCATATTGTGCATTGCACTTTGTGCTTGCTCATGTGAATATTGATCCATTTTGAATCAACCCTTCTCGCACGGGCGCTCTTTATGGTACACTTCCTCATCTGGGAACACATAACATAATCCACTCGCACAAGTTTCCCCTTTGCCAACATTTTTACAAAAGTGACATGGGATACCCATTGTCACACTCGCCAATGATGAAAAGAAAGACAGAATGTTACGTCTTTACTGGGGATAACTTCGCGCGCGAGGTACCACCGAGATGTGCATGAACTCTCTGAATGATCACCGTGAGGCCAGTGGAGCTAATCCCACATACGAACACTTATTCACAAAATTAGGCTACCCCTCCTCTGTGTTGCTTCTTCACGATAGGAATGCCCCCACCATGTAGTAGCGCAAGATGTAACAGTCTGTTAAACGGTAATGTTCGGTTAGCCAATTCTGTTTAAACGGTTCTATCATCATGTCCCGTTGGCGTGACACTCCTCAAGCAACCTCCTACCTCGTACATAGCTTCGTACTCGGCATAGGAAAAGGTGTACAAGGGTATGTGCGCATGTGGGTATCTACGTAGGTAAGTCCGCATCTTTTTACCCTATATGTTGACCCCAAAGGAAGGGGGGACAAATGCACATATAGGTATAAATACGCATACAGGCTCATGCACGGAAGGGGATTCTTGACAGTAATCAGCGGCGTGAGGGTACATCATTATACGGTTACAAATGGATGAGGTAATTTTCTTTCCATTTAAAAGTGGCACTCTCCATTTCGTGCGAGACAAACGAACGGCGAATTTTGTGAAAAGTTCCCTTGGGAAGGGGTATCTCTAAGAAGTGTACACGAACATTGATATTTTTTTTTTCAGAGCAACATAGCAAATTGTGTTAGCGTGATGGAACTGTACCGAAAAAAAAAGTAGTACTAACTGCTTCTGTGTAAAAAGAAAAAAAAAAAAAGAAAAGCGGCGATAGTAGAGGTGGCCCCATTTGATAGATGACTCAGTTTCGAAAAAACATCGTCCAAGTAGCAAGTCGCATTTGTATGAACAGTTATGTGCGCACATTTTTCTTTCATTTCGAGGGGACTCCTGAGCGGTCCTCCACCAGTGGAAGAGGCCTAATGTGGGTGGTGTGACAAGCAGCACAAACGGGGCAAACTTGGAACAGGGCGAGGTACACCCATAAGGCAGACACCCAAAAGAAGGAACGAAGCACAGATGATGAACCCCAAGGAGGAAAGTCACATTGAGGACGTCCTACCTAAGGGCGCACGGGGTGGAGATGTAGTGAACGTACTGAAGGAATTCTTCTCGACACACATTCCGCTAAGTGTCCAAATGGTGAAACTGCAGAAGAGGGGGTGTAACGAACGAGCCCTAAAAATGATGAAAAACAATATGAACAAACTTATAGACGAATGCTTCTTTGTATTGCACAGTATTATTAGCTGTACACTGAGAGGCGTTTTAAAGATCGAGACGATTGAAGAAGCACAGAGGTACCATCTCATTTACGTGTGGTTCATTCCTGTTTGTGAAGGGGGCAGGAGCAGAAAAGAGGCGACCAATTACTGTGAAGGGGCAACTAGGGAAGAGTTAGATGAGCAGGGGGGGAAGGACCTATGCCGAGCTACCTCCTACTACTCCTCTGATTTTCTTCCAAATGGGAAGGAGTCAGGAGGAACGATGATTACCAAGATGGAAAAACTCTTCCCATTCGGAGGGGTCTACCTAAGTGAGTGGATCATAACGGGAGTTAACAAAGCGTTGAGCATGATGCTTTGTTGTAGCGGTGGCGATAGTGGTGGCGGCGAACACCAAGTGCCCCTCGAAAATTGGTCATTCATCCTCGATTTGATCAAATTTGTCTATACCGAGGGGGATATCTTATCCAACTACCTACGCGGACGGGGGCTATGGCAAGCGGAGAATGCACCACCGCCCCAGAGTGCCACCCACATGGAAAAGCATAGCAGTCACGTAAAAGCTATTAAACAAAGGGAAAATCACATCGACACAGCATTGGAAAAGTACCATGAAGATATTCACAACATTCTTAAGGCATATTTTACCCTCCCATTTGTCCTATTTAAGTGTATAACCAATGTAGGGGAAAAAAAAGGAGATGACGAAAAGAGAAAGCTGTACATTTATCAGCATATCATTCCAGGGGAATTGAATGACGAAGGATTTTCTAAACATGCTGTGAAGACTTGTGTCTTTTATTGGTTGCATGGAGACGAGGCTACAGTGAACTACGAAAAGATGGCCCTCATAACGAAGCGGGTGCTGAACTGCCATTTGGTGAATCCCTTTTGTCAGACATTGCTTGGGGGGCTTCTGCTCAGGAGAGGGAGTGGCAAGGTTGAAGAATTGAAAGAAGCAGACGATATGGTCAAAGTGGAAGAAGCGGACAAGGCGTCCGACTTGCGGGAAAGTTCAAAGGAGGGGCTAAAGTTAACCTGGATGAACCAACTCCTGCAGAACCTCTTCTATTACGTACACCTGTACTGCCATGGGGAATCTGGCGGAGAAAAGCTACTTGCCACCTTAATCGAGAATATGAGTCCCTTTATCAAAGTGGTTCAAAATGAAAAGAAGCTGTCGTTATGTTTATTTAACCGAACGGTAAAGCATCTTCTGTGTGTAATTATCAATCTTACCTTTTTGTATAAATGGGATTTCTACATTTTGGAAAAATTCTTCAGCATCTTCTCCCGTAACTGTTTGCCGCTCAGTTTTTGCCTCACCTTCATTGAGCTCATAGCCGATTTGATGGGGCCCAATTTGACAGCTTCTAGCTCCCTGTTTGCGAACGGCACACGGGAGAAAAAAGTGATTCGCGAGAGAAGAAGTTACCGCACTGTTGTTAGCCAAGTGAAGAGCGAAGAAAATCAAAGCACGTATAGCTGTGCTACAGATTGCGCGTTGGATGAACGGAGCAGGGTCGGAATAATGGCGTTCGATTTTTTACAAGAAATGTTTTTCTTCGTCTTGGGACAGTTTTCCCCCAATTGTGAAGAGAAAGCTGCTTCCACTTTTGTTCCCATCATTTTGAGCAAATTACTCTACACATTTAGCATCCATATGAAGCTTATAAATAAAAAGCTTGTTGAGAGTTCGTACCACTTTGACACACTTTTCGAGGTGGAGTTACACATATACAAATTGAATTCCCAGAACAGTGCAAAACTATTTGAAAGGATTACGACAGTGGTGCGTGAATTGTTTAAGCGCAAGGATGAAGTGTCCTTGGTCGCTGGGCAAATACTGGCTGACCATTTCAGGCTCTACGTTGATGCACTATCCTACAAGGGGGAAAAGAAGCATGTCCGGACCGATATAGAAATGGGCAGTTGTGAAGACCCTAGGGAGGGAGATAGTCTCTTCCCCAATTTGCAACAGCCAGCAGAGTGCTTTCCAGAAGAACTGAGATGCTTCAAAGTTATTAGGCAGAGTGGGTTTGTCTACTTGGAGGAGCTTATCCAGACGAGCGACCAGGATGGAGGCAGCGAGGGTGACCAATTGAACGACAAATTGGGTGATGAATTAAATGACAAATGGGGTGCCAACTCGGATGACAACTCGGGTGACACCTCCCATGACAAATCGAATGACGAAGTGGACGCTCTGGTGGAGACCCTACAGGAACCACGCCCTGACGAAGGGAAGAAAAAAAGCGAAGACGACATGCTGATTCAAAACGCAGATTCGTTAATCGAAAACGATCTGTACGAAATCGAAGAGAAGCAGTTCCTAGTTGAGCTAGAATTGGAAAACGAATTCTACCTCAACGTAGATCGGAACAAGCACATGTATACAGACCCACCGGAAGATCTATTTGAATGTCTGCACAGAATGAAAGTCAAAGCAAATTATATCGAAAGAAATGAGCAAGATATGAATTATGACCATTTGAAATTGAATGACAAGAAGGAAACATATGAAGAGGAAAATTTTCGCATATGTCAGGCAGTAGTGTCTTTGCCCAGGTTTATTAAAAAGGGAGATGTGTTAACCTATTTGTGTGTAGAATTATATGAAGCACTACTTTCGCTAAACCATTCTAGTTGTGTGCTGCGAGAAGGGAAGAACCCCTTCGCCACGATCAAACTGTTTGATATGATCCTTCTTACCATCAATGCGCCAATTGAGATATGCAAATTTGTTTTTAAAAATGTTTACTCGAATATGCACTCTAGTGTACAAAAGGTGGTGATGCTGTTGTGTCTGCAGCATTGCGTGGTGTTTCTTTCTGGTAACGCTACTCTGCGTGAAGTGTTTCAGAGCGCGCGAGACGTTACGGCGCAGATGGGTCTGAGTGTGTCCGGAAAGAAGGCGAGCGAGGAAGCGAGTGAAGAAGGTAACCTCCGCGTTGATCACCAAACCGACGTAGGAGACATTTCGGATAAATTTTACCATCTGATTGAAAATTTCCCAAGCAGAAGAAGTTCCCCAAATGGTGATGGAGACGCTGCTAACTATGATGAGGACGCCATCCATGTCGCTTCCGAACGGGTGTCGCTGCTCCCCCCGCCTGGTTCGCGCAGTAAGAGGGAATTGGATGACGCACAGGTGAGGGGGCAATGCGTCTTGGCTGCTCATGGCACGAATGGAAAACAGGAGGAACAACTCCCAAGTGGAAGCACAGGATGGGAGAGGAACACCCACCCGTTACCGTTGCGCAAGCCAAATAGGGACAGACACGAGAGAAGCGAAATTTGTGACCTGAGAGAAAAAGGAAGTAATAACGCTCTCCTTAAAAGAAAGGAAGCCTCCAAGATGAGCCCCCAAAATAGTGTGAAAAGAACCAAGTTGATGACCACCCTCTGTAGTTTCTTCTTCGCTAGTGCATACACAAAACTGCTAGAAGTGAATATAAAAAAGGAAGCGATGAGCATAGAATATGACGAATACAGATTGAGAAAATATTATTCAAATGATGCATCCCTCGTCTTATCTTTAATCTCAACGTACATGGCATTTTTTACCAGCTCGTGCAACTGTAACTTGTATATAGACGACATTTTGACTGATGGATTTACATTAGCAAATTTTTACATTCGAAACAAAAATTTCCTCGTTCGAAGAGTAAGTTTTAAGTTATTATTTCATATGATAAATTTTATTTTAAATAAAAAAAAGTTTTATTTGTTGGAGCATGCAAATTACATGGACGTGATTAGTTACATGTCGGAAAATGTTGCCTTGGATCAGGATGGCCGATCCGTACACCTGATGCAGTGCATCTTAGGTGTTCACGAAGCGCTTGTGGGGGTACTACAAGGAGGAAAAAATGGGAATAAGTGATGCAACCATCCAAAAGGAGTAATGTTGCACAAGCCCCCCTTCAATTTTTGTCACTACGCTGTTTGGAAATTTTTTGAGGCTTTTTTTTTTTTTTTTGTCTACTCTTCTACATAAGAAATGAACTTCTCAGACAAAGGTGTGCCAAATGAGGAAGGCTTCCCTTCAATGGAAACCTCGGCTGCTTTAGGCGTGTTGCTACTTCACTTGGATGTTTTTCCTCTTCAGGATGAACGAGCAGAGAAGCTCCAATTCATCAAGGTTCAGAATTTTTAAGTAGGAGTCATCGAATTCTTTTAGAAATCTGGAAAGTGTTTGTGTGGGGAAGGGGGAAAGAGCGCACAAGGGGTTTGCACTTTTCTACCTTTTGGCTGTATCAGCTATTTTTAGGCGGTCCATAACAAATGGCATGCACAAATGGGTGACTCCACCGCGCGGCATATACTTACCTCTCTGCGAGCCGCTGGTCAGAGATATTCTCCTTTACGTAACTGCTCAGCATATCAGGGAATTTCTTGCTGTTGTTTTTGTACTCACTCATTTCTTGGAGGAGCGCATCTTTGTGTTGTTCATTTTCATCACTCATTTTTTAAAAAAAGGGGAAATTTACCACTGGTGGGATACTACTAGGGGGAATTATACAGAACGGCCACTCATCTAAGCATACGCAACAAGCACGTATGCATGTGACAGGGGGGTTGGACGCCTAGGAGGGGACAACTGAAGTGTTTGCCCACTACCAAAGATGGGAAGCAAAAATAAACTGGGACGGTTCACCAAAGAGTACGCCGCAATAAAGAGGGCCGGGTTGACAAATATCATACCTTTCCAGAAGAGGAAAAAAGTATGAATATTTTCAAAGTCAACATTTGTGCAGAATTTTTAATTCATTATTCATTGTAGCAATTTATCAATACGCAGTGTTTTAAAAATTAGAGGGAGTTAATAAAAATATTTTCGCATCTGTATTTTGCGCTGCACAAATTTGGGAGAAACAAAAAAAAAAAAAGAAAAGAAAAACAAATCCGTTTTGCATGGGAAGCTTAACCTTCTTATGCACTTACATCGCAACAGTTAGTCACCCTTTCTGGTTTGTTTTTCCCCCGATGGGTTAGTCCCACGAATGGATGTTTTAGTAAAATGGCGAAGTGGAACGGGGGGAGGGGGCGTATAATATATACCGTTATAAAATGTTGCTGGGACGTGGAAGGCCAGCCCCAAATGGCCCAATGGGCAGTTAACCCAGTCCGCTGTTAAGAATAAGTCCATTTTTGTTCCCCTTTCGAGTGAGCCCAAAAAAAATGAAATGTAAAAAAAAGGGGGCTTAACATGCCCTATGTTGGCGATAAGAACTGCCCACACATGAGAACGAAGCAGAGGGAGTAGCCACCCCAAGATGGGTGTGCAGCTACGTATCCGGTTTGGAATTCCTGGCAGTGTGCACATCCGCGGCGTGGGGCGGCATGTAAAATGTTTGAACGCTGTGTGGGTGCCAACAAAAAGGCTCATTCACAGTCTTCCATAGTGGGTTAAAATTCGTCCAAATCCGTGATGTCGAAAGGGGGAAAGTCTCCCACCTCGATGGAGTTAATATTTCCAAGGTACCCATATTTGCTTCCCTTACATTCAAAGAGAAACTTGTTTTGATATGTCCCGTCGGAGTTCCCCAAAGGTTCGTCTAAATCGACGCCAACAGAAAATTCGTTTCCCTTTTTTAATTTTCCCACAAATTTTAAAACGCCTCTGCGGTCGCCTATTTTGATTCTGCACCGGTTTCCAATTTGGTAGGTTTGTTCATCGTAGGGGGGGTTGTCGAGGGGGTCTTCCCCATTTGGATGGATCTGCCCGTTGGGGTGGCTTTCCCCATTTGGAGCCCCCCCTTGGAGAGCCCCTTCCCCACGCGCCCTCAACTTTTTTATAAAATTCCTAAACGTGTCCTGCCGCTTCTCATATTCCTCTTCCTTCATTTCATATTTGAAGTGTTTCAGTTGGTTAAGTTTCTCAGCATCATCTATGTGATAAATGATGTCGTTGGGGATGGCATTGTTTCTATCTTGTATGTAAATGGTGTAGTTGTCCTTCACATGGTAATCATTAAGACACAACTGATCGTTACTTAGGTGGACTTGGCTGTTCTCTATGTTTAGCTCATCATATGCATAGAGATCCATGCTGTTATGGGGGGTACCAGTGTGTGTGTATATTTTTTTCTTCACATTTTCTATGCTTTCAAATTTGTTCAGTTTGATTTCTTTCCATTTTTTATTCTTGTACAGGTTGTGTACGAGGTCAACCTTGACGAAGTCGCTCATTTGTGGACGGATTCTTAGTTGGAATGTCTGTGCACCTTGTCCTCTTGCTAGGGTACTGTGGTAAAGTAGCTTCCGTTGCTGCGGTGGTGGCTACTTCGCTTAAGAGACAGTTATAACAGTAATATGCCCCTTAAACTGAAGTAACTTTACGAGGGGCAATTTCGAGTGCTTTATCGCACTGAGGGGGGATGGCCAAAGGTTTTGTATTTTTAGGGTAGTCTTTTTTTGGCAAATCCGGTAGGATGCTTATCTGTGTTTGTCATCTTCGTAATTTTGGAAATTTCGGCAATTTTGGCAATTTTGGGAATTTGGAAAAAATGGAAAAATTTCACCAACTTTATCCCCGTTTTTCTACCAACTTTAGCCCCCTTTTTTGAGCCACCTTTTTCCTCACCTACTCAATTTTTGGGAAGGCCAATTAAATCGCGTATGGGCTATGACCCCGGACAAGGCGCACAATCGAGCTGCGTCTGTCCCTTTGGTTGGAAAAGCTACAAAGACGAATTTAACCTCCTTGTGATGCCTTCGCTGACGAACTTTTTAAAGGACAGAGGGCAAAAGGTATTGAAAATTTGTTCAATGTTTTCAAACGCCGTTTTTTTGGCGCAACTTCCTCGATGTATATGCTCATTCAATACTTCGAAATGGTGACCATCAAATTGGATGACCAGTTTTAGCGTTTTCTTGGTGACCATATTTTTGGACTCCTCATTTTCTTCACTCATATTTATATCTATGCAAAATGTGTTTTCATTTATGTAGCAAAATTTATCGTAAAACTGCTTATATTCCTCTTGGATAATTTTCACTTCGTCGTTATTCATCATTGGGTCTGTCGTGACGGTTTACATGACATCCTTTGCGGTGATGATTAAATCCCTCGGAGCTGGGAGAGGGGGATGAAATGTAACTTTGAATGGGTGTATGCTGTCCTCGGGGCAGGATCCACTCGTGCAGTTTCCGCTCTATTTTGTCCTTTATCTTTAGAGAATCCCTTGAGTTAATAAATTGGCCGTTTTTTTTACCCGTTCCATGCGCGTCCGTAGGGATTAGCTTCTGCTCGAACGAAAACCTACATGGAAAAAATGGGAGACGCTGAAATGGAAATAGTGCGATAAGGCGAAAGAAAACACAAAAAAAAAAAAGAAAGAAACCTCCTTAATGGCACTCCAAAATTAATGTGCATCCCTGTGTTTTTCCCCCCCACAACCACACACAACCCCCTGTTGCTGCTTACCTCTGCATCGAGAAATGTATTAATAGGTAGTACCTTGTGGAGGTATACATATGCAGTGACAACCCTGCCGCATAGCTCCTGCTGGTTCTACCTTAACGATGGACAAGTGGATGCAGGGAATGCATATCAAGTGTTTTAAACCCTGTTCTGATTACTCCTTTTTATTATGGTGAAAATTTCAAATTATAGAAGTGTCGCTCAACGTTGCATAGGAGAACAATGCGGAAGTGAGCCACTTTTTCTCGTGCTTGCCCCATTTGCACTCTCTCGTTGTCATTGCGAATAACCCATTACATGTCACTTGATCCTTTATTTTCTTTTTTTTTTTTTCGGGGAATCGAAGGTTATTTCCATTTTAGGGGGTTTCGCCCAACATTTGGAAGGAGTCACTGCAATGCGCGCGTGATTAGGTAATAGGTAGGCGCGCAAATTAGCGCATACATGTGCGTGAGAATACGTTCCAGTCCGCACAAAGTTGAGCGTCGAATTTACTTCTGAGTTCCTTTCTCACCAACAAAATCCCAACGCGGGTTCAGACTCCTGCGTGCCAAGTGTCATTTGACCTTATTATGATGTTCTCCCGATAGATGATGATCCGTTGGTCCCTTTTGTATGCGAGCGTGCCACGTCTGCGCGGACATGCTTGGGTGAGAGGTTCCTTGGTACGACAACTGCCGTTTTAGAAATCTGCGTCCAGAATGAGGGAAGCTGCGCATGGTGGTGAGTGCGAAAAAAGGGGAAGTGCCGTGATACATGGCAATGAACGAAGCAACGAGGGTGTAAGCAGGACGATGCCCCTTGATCTGGCTCGCTACCACGGGGAAGAAGGCGACTGTGGAGAAGAACGGGGACACCTTAGAAGGACTTTTGTGTACATGGAACGGACAGATGAGCCACCCGATGGGTGCATAAAGCTCATATTAAATTTTAAAAAACTAAAGTTAAGAAGCGAACAAGATTTTGCCCAAATGGTACGTCAAAAACGTCCAACCATATTGGATGCCCTAAAAAAGGCAGAGGCGGGAATAGGAGCAGCTACCATTAGCAACATAGGGATACCTTCCCGAAAGAACAAAAACGTTCAATCAGGAAAATGTGATAACCAGGAAGAGGCAAAAAATTTAATTGTGTGGGAATTGGATCTATCCTGCAATTACTTTATACACCTCTCCATTGACAACCTTCTGTGTGTTCTTATCCAGAATGAAATAATTAGCGAGGGGAGTGTTTTAAAGGTGAACAATTTAAAAACAATAAACATACGAAAAAATCTTTTAATTCTTTTTCCCTACTGGTTGAAATACAAATTGGAGAATCTGCTTCATTTGTGTTTATCGCATAATGAGATTTGCGAACTGCCGCCCATGGATGGTGCGCCTACGCCTGCTGAAATGGAGACACGTCCAGCATGCGCAATTAACGTGGAGAGAGATCCTCTCTTCGTAGCCGAGACGAAGGGAGAATACCCTGGTGAAGAAGGGGCACTGAATTGGCAAGCACCAAATTTGACTCACCTTTATTTACAAAACAACAAAATTACGTCTCTCCATTTTGTTAAGTACTTACTCAATGGGCACAAAAATATTTCCTACATAAATATCAGTTTTAATAGAATAAAGTCGTTAAGTGACTTCCCCTTTTTGGCAAATTTGAAGCAATTCGATTTATCCTTTAACATGCAATTGTCATGCCTGCGTGGTGGCGAAGAAGTTGAGCGCAAAAGGGTGAATAATCTTCTCAGTGTGTATGATCACGAAGGCGAAGGTGAACAGAACGGCCACGCGAGAAGCAATTTTTTTAACATCCCCTTACGTGGCGATAAAAAGTCGAGTCATCACAACCTTTTTGTTACGTTAAAGTATTTTTTCCCCAATTTGGAAAGCATTAATTTGAAACACACACCATTGCTTAGCATTTAGCAGCGTAATGGCGCGGGACGTTTAAAGGAAAAAGAAAAAAAATGCGATCCAGTCTGTTATTCTTACTATGAATTCCTGTCGTGTGGCGCACATATATGCATGCACATATACGTATACGAATGTGTAGTCATGGATGAAACACCCTGATCGGTGTGCACTGTAAGACAAGCTTCGCTACTCAGTTTTATCCCCCTGTTGCTGCGAATGAGTCCTATTCGAAACAAACGAAGAATTTTTTTTTTCCATAACATGAAGGGCAACTTATTCGTTTTGCCGAATGGGCGTTGCGTCGTAACTCTAAACGGGCAGTCATTCTGCTATGTGACAATGTTTAAGCGTCACCAATTTGAATATACCTCTTAAAATGGTATGATTCTGTCGTGTGTGTTAATACATACACCGGCACGAATGAACATGTCGAGATGGGTTTGTAGTAACCTCCCCTTTATTTTAACGAAGGGCATAAAAAATGATAACAAAAAAAAAAAAAGAGAGAGAGAAAAAAAAAAGAAAAAGGCGAACTGGATACACGGCAGGACGGGAATACAAAAAAAAAAAGACTATGGCATATGCCATTACAACCACGCTATATTTTGTGTCCTTGATGATGGAAAAAGTCCACAATTTTTATTAACCCGTTCGTATAGTACATACCATGTGCTTAATGAATCGTCACATGCAGAAACGGCTGTACTTTTCATAAGCAGGGGAACTGTAGAACTCCCCTTGGTGAATTTTATGTGGATATACCTTACATTGGGGCAACGTAACTCGTCGTCCTAATCGCTTCTTCCCTATATCCCGCGACAAATTACTTAAGCAGAGTTGGCAAGATGGGTACATAAATGTGGTGTATCCATTGGGGCAGTCGCACGTAGTTATACACCGCCATGGCACTACGCAGAACGACATGAATGTACGACTTCCACTACGCAAAAAGTGCACATTTGTACCAGTGGTACTTTTGCTCTATCTGAAACACGCGCGGTAATGGCGAGGATGAAGTTCAAAGATTGTTAATTGATGCCTTACTCATTCTTAAAAACGGTGCAGATAAATGTGGGGCCTCTTCTTACACGTGGGGGTTGCCCATAATGGCGATTTAATCATTACCGCAGGGGGATACAAAAGGGGGGCCAAAATGCGGCAAAATGAAACGCAAGGCCACTTGCACAAACGCGGTAAGGTCATCGTGCATATATATACATATATATACTTATCTGTATGTACCTATTTGTGGCGTGCCCGGAAAAGCCCCATTAATCGCAAACAGAAAAAAAGCCACACTCTCCCATGTCGCGCGGGGGTTAAAATAGAAAAATTGCATGCACGCGAAAAGTGTTACAGGTCTGCTTTGTTTTCACGTGTCAATTAAAACGGGGTCACATTATTTATATGTTCTATTTTTCCAATCGGAACATGTGGGCGCAATAAAACGTGCCCAAAGCGCATGTGCTGTACGTTGTGCGCAACATACGCGACCGACAGGTGGTATTACGGAGGTGCGCCCTTGGTACAAGTAACAAAAAAAAAAAAATTTTTAAACGACCAGCCGTGCTATTCAAATGTTATATATAAGGGCACGATAACTATTATTGCACTGGGATTGCTATTAGCGTTCCCCCTTCGCGTTGGCAATGGGCATAATTTTTTTATGATCTCGGCTATGCAACTTGGCATCCAATCCGAAGAAGCGTTTAAGACAGCGACACCGGGCGTGCAGTGCATTTTCTCAAAATTGTTAATCGGTCGGTCAGGTGAAGTGGCCAAAAGCACGCGCGGCTTTTTAAACGTACATGAGGCTATTAATATGTGCTGTGGGTAGAGCGGGGTTGCCTGGATCCGAAATTGCCGTCTATTGCTACGTTTGGTCGATATGCCAAACATCGGCGCGATTTCGCTTACGTGGCAGCAACAGCAGCAGTTTTGACACCTTACTACAAACGTTTAATTCGTACTGCTTAAAATTTGGGCCATAATTTTGCAAAAGGAAGGAAAGGGGTAGTTACGGCCGTTGCCATTTTGCGCGCAAGTTAATGTCCTTTTTTTTGTTTTTGCGCACTTATAAATGTAACATGCAGCGCGGATATGTTTTGCAACCGGTTTGCGAAAATATGCTCTGAATAAGTGTTTGTTCGCCATGAGAAGAGCGTTTTCTCGATTTTACGAGGTGGCGTCTCGCGCAGTTATATATACATATATTATATACATTATATATGTACTATATATTTAGGTTTACTATACATATGTTTCTTTTTTGTTTTTTTTTTGTGGCTCAATTTTTTCCGACAGAACAACTTGTGCGTCACGCAATTTTTGCCATTCACGCGATGCAGGATGTTAAGCACATGCGCAGTGAAGCAGTGCACATATTGCAGGTGAAGAACACTCGCCTATGGCGCGTTTTTTTACTTCGAATGGGCTCATATAGGCAGCCCCACATAGGCATAAATTTACATATATATTTATTATTTATATGTATAGAATATAAATATAAAGTATATACGTGCGACGTATAGGGCCGCGCCTGTAATATTCATACAACCTGCTAAAAGGCGTATATAATAATCATGAAGAGCACGCTTCTGTACAAATAGGACGTATGTATTGGGAGCGTATACATGGAACTAGGGCTACAAGATCGGTTTTGCTCTTCCGTTTTTTCGCGGCATTTTTTTCTCCCTATAGGCGCATAACAAGAGCTATATATATAATACTATTACATTACATTGCGCATATATATATATATATGCAAATTTTTATATCCACAAAGGGCGCGAGAAAAAGGCACTTAAAATTGAAACTCTCATATATATGTATACATATGCAATCGCGTAGAGGCAGCTTCTTTTTTTAAGAGGAGAAGAATCGATTTGAACTTTATCTACGCATATTGTATATATGAACCATAGGCGACGTGAAAGTACAAACAATTTGTACAATATTCTATACGTATGAGCAATTCTGCCATTTATGCAGTGAGGACGTCTCGGCCGATCCATTAATTTATAGGATAGATGATGTATTTTTTTTTTTTTTTATACCCCTACTTTTTACGCCATTAATTTAATTGGAACAATTCTTGAAATCTGAATTTAGGCCAAATTCAGCGAAGAAAAAAAATAAACCATTTTCTGATATATATTAATATTATATGTATGTATAATTATAATACTTCGTTACACTTGCATATATATTTTGGCGCCCCCTATACGTGAATGTACATATATATATGTAAAGAACGAGCCCTTAATGATTATAAATTATATATAGCAAAAAAATATGTCATGTTTTTTACGGCAGTTTTTGTGAAACTTTTTATAAACCATATATATAATGACATTGCAAAAAAAAAAAAATAAAACGGCAGTAATAGCAAAGATAAAAACAAAAATATCAACAAAAGCAAAAATAAAAAGAAAAACAGAAACAAAAGCAAAAACAAAACAAAAATAAAGAAAAATAAAAAGAGCAAAAACGTAAAAACCCAAAAAAGCATAGAAGCAAAGAGAAGCTAATGCAAAAAGTTAAAATGATATAAAACGCCCAAAAGATTAAAAGAAGATTACAGAAAATTTTTGCTTATAAGAAAAAAAAAAGTCCTCCCCTCACCCCAAAAAAAGTAGTACTTTAAAACTTAAACCTGTTATTACAAAATAGCATGTTTTATTTTATTTTTTTTTTTATTGTAATATTTTTTAAATCTTTAAAAAGAAGTTATTCATGTCAACCCATGTTTATATAATTTTACGTAAACTGTTTATTCTTTTTTATCGTATATATATATATGTACATTGATATATTAATATAAAACTGCGTCGCCCTCCCCCCCCCATCTCATATGGGCCTTTGCTAATATACCTCAGTACGTAAATATATATACTTATATGTGCCCATATATACCTATATTAGGCGCTTACGTATACGTATATATAAGAGTACCACGTTATATATAGTGAAATTTCCCCATACTTTTTTTTTTGAGACCTTTTTTTCTATTTGGAATGCCTATTCGCACATCCTCCCCCCTTGCGCCACGCCTGCTTGTTTCTATATACAAACATATTTCTTATATGTATTTATGCCTTTTCATTTTCGTACAATTTGACCCCTGCATGTTTATACCTGCAATTAACCCATCCAAACAGAAATATATAATGTTTATCTTGCATTAAATGTTTCTTTAATAATTTTTAATAGTTACTTTTTTGTGTTGAAGGATATATATTCCTTTCAAATTAAATTCACGTGCACTGTTAAGGTGTATGTGCTGTACGGATTGTATATATTCGTACGAACATGCACTTGTACGGACGCACTTGTGCGCATGAATCTCACTGTATATACACGGCCTGTCTCGAGAAGGAAGGAATATACGTGAGCTTGTGCCATGCATGTGTGTATATGTCTAGATAGATAATACCTACATATATATATATATGTGCACATGTATAATGCTACCTTTAGTGCTTTTTTTTTATTAGTTTTTTTTTCCCCAACGGTATGGCAACACGCCCCTTTTTATTTTTATGTATATTAAATTTTATTTCTGCTCTCCCCGTGCATATGTGCCCGCACGTGGGAACGGCTGTAGTAGCGGTTAAGCGACAGAAGGCACGAGAGAAATTTTCACGTAGTTCCCTGGAGCACGTATTGTGATTGCATGCGCATGTGCCATGTATGTTTGTGTATAATATATGCAACATACGGGAGAATTCGCTCATCACAATCGCGCTTCCCCCCCACACACACAACCTGTGTGTTTAACGAAAGCAGCTTGTTTTTAGCCAATCGTATAACTAAAGTTTACGCATGTTTATATGCTAGCGGCTTTACGAGGTCGAGCCTCAGAAGAAGAGCGTGCACATGTGTAAATGCATATATATATGTGTGTATATATATATAGGTATAGCACACTTTTACCCCTTGACTACCCGCCTAGACTTATCTTGCATACCTTCACACTCGCATAAGTGTGCATAGGCTTTATTTTCTTCCAG